GAGTAGCTATAAATGATAAATATGAACAGAATATAGAAAGCATAGAATACGTGTGCGACAGAATCCTGAGAGTAAAGATTATGTTTGACCAACCCATTCACATTATATCAGTGTACGCACCCGACATTAATAAACCTGAAGAAATGTCAATGGACTTCTACGAAAATCTACAGTCAGCGATAGACAAAATACCAAGACATGAAAAGATAATTCTGTTAGGGGATTTAAACGCAAGAATTGGAAACGAGGTAGTGGATGGAATAAAACAAAAAAATATAACGAATAGAAATGACGAAATTTTGACCGAATTCTGTGGACAGAATGAACTGAGAATAAACAACACATATTTTCTCCATAAAGAACAACACAAATACACCTTCTATGACAATAGAAACAATAATACAATAATCGATTATATCATCACCAATCGAAGTTTCTTACCTCAACAGATAATAGACATAAGAGTCTTATCCTCAGCCAACATTGGAACAGATCACAAACCTGTGCTAGGAAAGATACGAATAGGTGCGCCGCTATCCAAAAAAAAAAAAGACCATCGAAAAAAACTGAAAAATTCAATATAGAATCCCTCAACCACGAAAGCACTAAACAACTTTATTCAAACAGATGCCAAACACATGTCACTCTTAACCCCATAGTACAGTTTGATACTCCTAACACAGCTTGGAACAAACTGAAAGAAAACATCTGCAAAGGTGCTAAAGAAGCTTTAGGAACACGTACTATATCACACAATAGAAGACCGAACATTAAACCTTGGTTTACATTAGAAGTCAAGAACATTACAAGGGAAAAGAAGGAAAAATACTTACAATACAAGAAATCTCCAACACCGGAGAACCGAAATATCTATACCGAAATAAGGAACAGGACTAATAATAGAGTACGAGAAATTAAAGAAGAATATTGGCAGCGATTTAGTAGCGAAATGGAGGCGGATATCTACAGAGCACAAAAACGTATTTGGAAGATGTTGAGGGGTTGGAAACGAGAAACAAATGAAACAATACAACTAAGAACAATTGTAGAAGATACGTGGGAGAAATATTTCAGAGACATATACGCAGAAACAGATGAACCAATGGAAGCACAAGAGACAAGCCAAAGAGATAATACAGAAGATCCTGCGCAAATCACTTAAAAGCAAGTAGAAGAGACAATAAGGAAACTTAAAAATAGAAAATCTCCTAATCAAGATAAAATACCAAACGAGCTAATAAAAAACGCAGGCACGGCTATCATAAAGGAATACACAAAACTGTTTAACATTATATTACAACATAAGAAAATACCAGAAGAATGGAAACAAAGTATAACAATACCCATTTTTAAAAAGGAGATAAAACAGACCCAGCAAACTATAGAGGAATAACATTACTGAGCACCTCGCTAAAACTTCTGACTAAGATCATTGCGGACAAAATCTCCTCAATAGTGCCAATAAGCGAGAAACAACAAGGATTCCGAAGAAACCGATCAACTACCGATGCACTATTCATACTCAGGCAACTAGTTGAAAAATCCTTAGAATATAACTCTCCAGCCTATCTATGTTTTATAGATTTAACAAAGGCCTTTGATAGAGTCCAACTAAAAGACATCATCACCATCTTGGAAAGCAGTAATGTCTCGAAAGAACTCACAGAACTTATCAAGGACTTAAACACAAACACAACAACCCAAATAAGAACAAACTTTACCTTAACGCAGCATCTTCGAACTACAACTGGTATTCGCCAAGGCGACAGCCTCAGCCCTCTGTTATTCAACACAATCATGGATCAAGTAATAAAAACCGTCAAGAATACTGGATTAGGATATCGAATGGGAATGCATAAAGTAAACATATTATGCTATGCCGATGGCAGTACTTATTGCAGAGTCAGAGGACGACCTCCAAAGAATGCTACAAGCTTTTAACAGACAGGCAGAAAAACTTAACATGCAAATTTCCACAAATAAGACCAAATGCATGACCATTACAAAGGTGCCTCTACGGTGCAAATTGGTAATAAAAAACAAAACTATTGATCAGATAATGTCATTCGAATAACTCGGATGCAAAATTACAAGCTCAGGATTCCTGGAAGAAGAAGTAAGGAAACAAGCCAATAAAGCTGCCGCAATATCCGGACATCTTAAATATCCCATATAGAAAAACAAACATTTGAGTACAGAATGTAAGTCAAGAATATACAAAACCTGCATACGACCAGTGATGACATATGGTGCGGAAACCAGAGCTGAAACATCAGTAACAAAGAGAATCCTACGAACTACTGAAATGAAGACCTTAGGAATGATAACTGGATACACATTGAGGGACAGACAGAGAAATGTAGACATAAGAGAAAAGTGCCAAACAAACGACGTTGTCAGATGGATAAGGCAGAGAAGAAGAGAATGGAACCAGCATGTCAATAGAATGGGCCCCGACAGAATGGCCATAATAATTCGCAACAACGTACCCCATGGCAGAAGACCTACTGGACGACCACCTAAACGTTGGCAAGACAGTTGGCAGTCAACCTCGCAAGAGTTGCTTAGACGAGGAGGAAACCGGAACTAAACAGGCGATACGCCTTCTAAAAGAAGAAGAAGAAGAAGATACGAGCTAGAGTTCCAGAATGAGCCGTTGTAATGACAGAGCCTATTTCAAGCAGTGGAGGAAGCATACAAGGTTTTACAATTTCTGAATTTACAAAAAAAATCATTTTCATTTAATGTTAATGTTAATTTAAAAGTGCACACAACTTTGGTTTTGTCGATGTTTAGCTTAAGGCCCGAAGCTTAAGTATGCCCAGGTATATGTGTTCAACATTTCTTCATAATTGTTGTTACGTGTTTGCAACTAGAGCGCAGTCATCAGCGTATTGAAGTTCTGTGATGAATTTTGTACGTCTTTTCGCCCTGAGTCTTTTTATTGTCCTAAATAATAACAGGATACAGGACACATACATCCTCCTAATTTTTCGCAAACAATAAGATACTTTTTATTATAGAATGTGAATGGGTTATTTTAATTTCTAAATCGTTTGTTTGTATAATATCGAACGAACTTTGTAAGAATGGCATTTGTAAGTAAATACACCTAAAATAAGCTATCTTTTTGACGTCATTATACTCAAAAATAACTATTCCGGTCTATAATTAACACTAAATTAAAAGGCGAATTAGAAAAATGCTGAAATAAAAATAGTATTCCCAAATTCCTAAATAGCTCTATTTTTTACTTAACAAGAACTGAAATAGAAATTACTACAATGATGTTCTTGGAAGCGATTGTATGAAAAAATACTGGTATTTGCGGAAATTCATTAACATTTCTTCAAAATTTGTCTGATGCAGATGTTTTCAGATACTATGTGCTTAAATAGATTGATGATGTGTCTTTTTTTAGTAGATTTTTAGTTACTTTTTATACAAGACGATAATGCAATTTTATCGTCGTGTATAAAACATTATTACGTTTTAAAAAATATTCAGAAATTATTTCAATGAATTTATTACGAATAGAAAAAATATTGTGCTGGGTTGGCGTTGGTTTCTATGTAATTTGACAAATAAATAAAGCTGTCTCTTTAGTTGTCAGTTTTGAGTCAATATTTTTTAATTATCTTTCGTGTCGATTACTGATTAAATTGGAGCCAGGAATGGCTCAAAACGAAATAAGTAAATTACCAACAGATATTCAGGCTGAGGCGACAAACGCCATATCCAAACTACTTCCATTTAAATCCCGAATAACTTATGAAAAAGAATAAAAAAAAATTCAAAAATGGAAACAATTAAAAAACGTGCGAAAAAAAATAAAGTTTTTAACCTATCCTCGCTGTTAAAGTATCATTTAATCTACCCTTTCGGTTAAAGTACTATTTCATCTACTATTTTTGATAGATATAAGACAATTTTAACAGTTGCTATGGAAAAAAATAAATTCCTTATAATGCTATCAAAAACAAAGATAGTTTAAATCTGTTAAGTTAGCTATACACTTGCAGTTTTACCTTAAGGTATGTACTGCCCACTTCAAGCCTTGAGATATTCTTCAACGTATATGGTGAAGACTTTGGAGCTTCTTTTCCTGTATGGTGGTTTTCACTTTGTTACAGTTTTTCGCAATAAAAAAATCGTCGAGAAATGCTCCACATCTTTACATTCTCTTTAATACATATGTATAGTTAACACGCGCTAAATACCAACATCTATTTCGTTTTTTAAATATATATTTATATATTACTAACATTTATATTTTTATAAGTATAAAATTAAGTAAAAGTTGAATAAATAACTTATTCCAATGGGGTATAATTTAATTATCAGTCTTAGACACACATGTCTACCGACTTAAAAATTTAAATTAAGTAGATATATAGATTTTAAAAGCATTTATGAAATGCGCACCTTTCCATTAGCAAACTAGGGTATTTATTTTTCGCATAAAAGACATAATAAAATAGTTAAATACATTTCTTACTCTTACGTAAGTTCAGCCAACAGGGCTTAGTTTATAGAATAATAAAAATAATTGGACGAAATATCGTATAATCGAGAAAAAAAAACGGCGTCAAAGACAGCTAGGATGACAATCGGTGATAATTTTGACGAGGTCAAGCCCTAGATGACATTATTTGACCCATGCTCTTCATTATTTTTAATGGGGCTTACCTTAGGGGCTTACTGCCAGGTGGCCTTAAGACGGTTGGAATTTATTATTATATTGAGTAAAATGATTTTAATGCTGTATACTCCTCTTTGACGCCGTTTTTTTTTAATACAGTACTGTACTTCTAGTAAAAGTCAGCTAGATAATATTTTATCTCCCTGCCTGGGTCCAACATTGGTTGATTCAAAATCTATATTTAATAAATTATTCAGTTAGCTCTTATCACTCTTATGCAACCAAACATACACTACATGACCCATTTACGTTTAAATTTAAATATACCTACTTCTGTAGAAAGTTGTTTTATTGGTATAATACTAATGTTGTTGCTGTATCGCTAAGTAACCTTGGGATGCGTATATAATATTTATTTATCCTCACATAAGATTAAAGCACAAACCAAGTAAGTGTTATTGCAGTTTTGTTTAAAACAAGGTATGTACTAGAAATATTAATTATCCACCGCAATAAAAACGCAGTCTCATTTTTTTACATGTAACTTTTACACATTTAACACAGTTAATTATTTTTCAGAAACAATTCTGATTAGTATTGCTTGAGAGAAATTCTTAAAGTTGTCTAAATTGGCATTTTTTTCATATGTGCCTCTTTTGCTGTAGGCACAGTAATTCAGAACGAGATTTGAGTAGGTCAGTAAAAAACATTTTTGGTTTAATTAACTTTCTTCTTCACATTAAAAGTATATAGAGAATACTCAATACTAAATCTAACTTTCTGTTTCTAATAATTTCAGTAAAAATACATCTATTTCTCCGCACCTTTTTAGGTACTATAGATTTTTCGTATTAACTCTTGAAATTAACACATATACACTACTATAGTCTGTCCAACGAATCAGGAAAGATTTCGACAGAAGAGACATCCAAAAAATGACAGAAAATGCAATTGGAATGTGATTTAAAATGACAGACGCAAAAGGGTCACTGTCAGGAGTCCTGTCGTTGAACAGACTTATACAGGGTGGTCTGAACTGTATTCCGGAAACTTCGGCAGCATATTCTGCAGATAAAAATAAGCAAAAAAGTTTGTATAAATGTATGTTCTAAAATGCTTAGTTTCGGAGATACAGGGTTTGACATAGAAATTTCCGTAGAAGAGACCTTTTTTACGTAAAAAATATTGTAAATGTATATTTTTTTACTCCCTAGTTTTATACAGGTACGGACGAAAAGTTATTACCCTTTGACTTATCTTTTTCTGCAGAATATGCTGCCGATGTTTCCCGAATACAATTCGTACCACCCTGTATATTTTCACTTTTTAAATACAATTAGAACGACACTGATAAACCGATATTCACAAAAGTATCGCGAATATTTAGTTAAATGTTCCACTGCACGATTAATATTGTATTGCTATATTTATATAACTAGTACCAATTAAGTTGATAACATTTTCATACTTTCATATTTTTAGAAATATGGTTATCACACTATATTCCGTATCTGATGGCCCACCATCTTTAGCCGTACAACAGTGTTTGAAGTACTTGGATCTAGAGTATAATCTAGTAAACGTTGATTTTGGATTAGGGGAACACATGACAGATGATTTTGCTAAAGTAAGAATAATATCAAAGTACACCATATAAATATACTTAATTATCTCGCTATATATTTTTAAAAAAAATAATGATTTTTAGAAAAACCCACAAAAGGAAATCCCAGTGTTAGATGATAATGGATTTCAACTAGGAGAAAGGTAAATGGCCAATAAAGATAATTTTTAACCATTTTTAAATGAATTATATTAATTTCAGTAACGCCATTCTACAATATTTAGCAGACAAATACCCCAAAGATGAAACTCTGTACCCTAAAGATCTTCAAGAAAGAGCACTAGTGAACCACCGTCTTTGTTTTAATTTGTCAACATATTACAGATATATTTCGGAATATGTTGTAAGTATTTCCAAAAACCTTTGAATTTAAAAATTATAGATACATTATATTGTACCACAAACAATTTTTTTCTCACTATGAGTGCAAAATTTTTGCTAATCGTAATATACAGGATATTTAAAAAACATGTGACAAATTTTAAAGAGTTGATTCTTCGTTAAAAAAATTGGAAAAATGTTTCTAAAAAAAGGGAAATTAAAACAACTTTGGTTGCGTCATCAATGACACAGTGCGTCGTCTTATGGAGTTTGCTGATGGTCGTATTATGGCAAAATGCATAGTTTTAAAGATACAGGATTTTAAACTTTAAAAAATAGGGTTTTTGAACTTTTAAACACCCTGTATTTAGTACCGTTGGCAAAATGACTAAAGCTAAATCTTTAGTCCAAATTATGAGAGAATATGCAAGGATTGTAACCAAAAATCTGTGGGTAGACCAGAGGATATCTAACAAATAAATGTCATTAAAAATGTTAAGAGAAATACCGTATAATCGAAAAAAAACGGCGGCAAACACGGCTGGGGAAAGACAGTCGATGATAATTTTGGCGAGGTTAAAATCTAGACGTTCGTTTACTATTTACTTATTTTTTCTCGAATTTTAAACTACGCCATTTAAAAATTATTTTACCTAATATAAAAAAAGTAAATTACAAAGGCCAACTTGCAGGGCTTGACCTTACCAAAATTACCATCGATTGTCATTTCCTAGCCGTCTTTGACACCAGTTTTTTTTCGATCTATAATACCATTCACTAACCATCAGAAGATCGATTATACGCTCAATCGCCTTGATTTTTTTTATTAATTACTTTTGTTATTATTTTTATTAGATGGCTCCCATATTTTTTGACTATCAAAGAACCCCACTGGGTTTGAGAAAGACTACAATTGCTCTAGATAATTTTAATACCTATCTGAAAAGGACAAGGACAAAATACGCGGCTACCAGTAAGTATATGTCAACAAATTTATAATCCTTTATAATAAATAAATATTTTTAATAAAATAGATAACATCACAATTGCTGATTTTCAACTGGTAACGGCAACAATGTGCTTGGAGGCCATCAACTTTGACATTTCCGACTATACGTTTGTTAAGACTTGGTACGCAAATTACAAGGAAGAATATCCAGAATTATGGAAACTTGTGGAAGGTGGCATGAAGGAAATCAGCGCTTTTGAGAAAAACCCTCCCGATTTAAGTCACATGGTGCATCCGATTCATCCAGTGAGAAAGCAAACCAAACTATTGAACAGTGACCTGTAATAGCATACCGTATGATTGAAAAAACCGGCGTCAAGTTGGCTTGAAAATTACGATCGATGACGTTACCCATATAATTTTACATATAAAATAACAGTGATCTTCAATAATTATTCATAACCGTTCCTGACGCCGTTTTTTTTTTCGATTATCTTGTATTATATTACATTATACCTTATGATAATAGAATGAGACATGAAACCATGATAAGTGTTCAGGAAAGTGATATAAACATACTCCATTACCGTATCTAGCAAAATACCTGTCAACCACAAAGTCATTGAAATTAGCAAATTTATTTTTTATTATACTTTTATATTTGTTATAATAATATAGTTTATATATAAAAATTGTTTTATAATGAAAAATAGAAATATACTTATATTCTATTTCATAAATTTATTTATTTCATTATATTTAATTTATTTTCTTTTTTCATCTACGTCAAACTAGTGATACACCTACTATTAAACAGGGTGTTTCATATAACATGGGCCATATCTCGTGGGGAGATTCCTCACGAAAAAATAAGATTTATTTTTCATATCAACATAGTTCCGATTCTGCTTTGTTTCGTAGCTACAGGGTGTTAAAATTTTAATATTTTTTCGATTTATACTCTGTTTTTTTTCTCAGGTAAGATTTCGACAGACGATGACAGAAGAAAAGCAGATGACGTCCCATACCAATCTATTTATTTTACTAAAAAAAGTTTCTAATAATTTTTAAGTTATCTATGGATGGGTTTAAATATAGATCCGTCATGCGTCGTGTCTTGTTGTTTTTAACCAGTTTTATTGGTTTATTTAAAAAATGACAGATTGTATTTCAATTTTATTGGTTTGACGGAACGATGAACGACAAACGGACGCCGATGCGTATGAACTCGCCTTTAGATTTTTGTCATTTTTGACGCTTGTCAAAGTCTTGCCAAATTATAGGTTATAATTTTGTGTCAACTTTTATTAAATACCCTGCGTTTTGGAAGATGATGCATTTTGATTCGTATTATTACGTGTGTTTTGTGTCTTTTGAAGTCAAGTGGAGGAAAAATCGAGTGAAAATTAACTGTAGACCCAGAGCACAGTTTATGGTTAATACTCGCTGCCCAGGCAGAAAGTCTTATACACCAATGAAGTTGCCATCGATAAAGTTTGTATACCATTTCGTCGTAGATAAGTGCATCTCGTATATGGTAGAAGGATCAAACAAAACACATACTAAAAACTGGAGTAGCTGTAAAATATCGACATCACACGATAGGTAAATAATGGATTTTAGTACTGCAGAACAATAATGTCAAAAGGTACTGGTTTAAAAAAATTAAGATTAAAGTTAATTAATCAACCTTTAAGGTATAAAATTTGGTAGGTGTTATTATTAATAAAATAGTTTGTTTTATTTACCTATGTTGTTTTATTTATTACTCATTTCTTTGTAAAATAAAATAAACTACTTTGAAATTAAAATGACAGACACATCTATCACTGTCAAGGATCTTCTCGTTGGACAGACATTATAATTATCTTCCAAGTACTTTTAGCGTTTCGAATGAAATTTTGAGGGTAAAAGTTACTATAAATGCAACATATTTTAAAACTAAAAAATTGTCGACATATTCACCAGGGGCGTGCATATGGTTTTTTACTGAAATATTTTTCTAAAAAGCATGTACACCACTGACTTTTTTCTCTTTTTAACGAAATAGTGTAAGCAGTTTAATGCCGATTAAAAGTTATCCTTGATATTTTGTCGATTTCGGCCTCCTTGATGAGATAAACGCAATTTTATTAATTTGCCTTGATCCAAGTCTAATAGCAACCTTTAAAAAAAATTCATGAACTTGCAAAAGTTTTAAATAAGTACTCATTGATTCCTCATCAAAAAATATAAAAAAATTCCTATAAATATGGGTATGGAAATGCATAGTTTTAGTTAGATAAAATATATAATTTATTAAATATATTTTTATTTTAATTTTATTAATAATTGTGATTAATGAAATTGCGTTTATCTCATCAAGGAGGCCGAATTCGACTAAATATCAAGAGATAACTTTTAGTTGGAATTAAACGGCCCAAGCAATTTTAGTATCAAAAGAAAAAAGTCAGTGGCGCACATGTTTTTTTTTTGAAAAATATTCCAGTGACAAGTAAAACCCATACGCACGTCCCTGATGATTTTATCGATATTTTTTAGCATTAAAATATGTAGCATTTGTAGTAACGTTTACCCTCATTCCAATCACTAAAAGTACTTGAAAGAAAATTATAAAAAATCGAAAGCTTATTAAGACTTTAACACCCTGTAGCTACGAAACAAAGCAGAATCGGACTTATGTTGATATGAAAAATAAATCTTATTTTTCCGTGAGGAGAATCAATGTCCCCACTAGAGATGGCACATGTTTTTTGAAACACCCTGTAGAACAGAATATTCTGATCTTAATAAACATACATTATATTACTGCGCTTTCAAATAAAATCAGATGAATAATCTAATGAAAATAAAACTGGCTAAAGACTGTATTTCATTTATTTTTTCCATGTTTGTCTTATCGTCATTTATATATTTTTATAATTTATTATAATATTAGCACATTGTTGCAAGTCTGAATTAATATATTCTAAAAATGAATATTAATTATTATTCACCTATTATAATTATATAATAATATTATTCATAAATTCACCATTAATAAATGTAATAATTATCTTATAAAAAAAGAATGTTTTCAGTTAAGTCAATACATTTCTACAAAGCTCTTTGTAAATGTCAACCAAATGTTATCTAAAATAAAAACTTCGTATATTTTTTGGCCATGTTTTTGTATAATATTTTTATATTTCACGTTTTTTAGCACGTTTTTTTTGGTATTTAGATCTTTGAAAATCCACAATTAAACACAAACAAATAAAAATATGTTTTCAAATTAAAATGTACAGAAGATAAACCAAAATAATGGAAAATAGATCAAAAGAATGAAACTATAATGGCTTATCATTCTATGCCAGTCAATAGGAGTTAATAAAATCAATAAAATATCTATGAATATAAACAACCGGTAAAGCAGTGAAAATATTTTATTTAAATTAATTTAACATTCAGTTTCTTACACAGTATAAACATCAATTTAACAAACAGAGAGAATAAGTTAAACATCGAATTGTCTATAAAATATATAAAATATCTCTGGCCATAGATTTCCAATAACGCAACAAAAAAATTAAGAAACATCAGCCTATCGATGAAATTAGTCCAAGGGTGTAAGTCGTTAAAGACGAAAAAGTATTTCATGATTTTTTCAAAATAAGTTCTGAATTCTGAAAGACGGCTAATATAATTATAATTAGATTATACCACAGCCATTACTACCCCTTTCCCGTTCAAAATATTCTAATAAGGTTGCGCTGAGTTTTTTGAAGGGGCTATTAAGCTATCTTGTACCACTTCGCACCAAAAGAGGTTCTGAAAAAAACAATGTTCGAGTGCAAGCTCTGTTAGTAAACATTTTTAAGCTTAAAATATCACAATACAATGCTTATTTGAACCTAAAACTCGTAATGCAAAACTAAAGTATTAAAATGAATGACAATGTCAAAAAAAATCAAATAGGGGAGTCTCGTTTTACGCGGGGATTACGTTCGTTGAAAATAAAACCGCGTATATTGGAACAGCGTCTATCGAAACAGTGTATATCTAAACCGGGTATATCGAAACCGCGTATATCGAAACAGCGTATATCGAAACAGCGTATATCGAAACAGCGTATATCGAAACAGCGTATATCGAAACATCGTATATCGAAACCGGGTATATCGAAAACGCGTATATCAAAACCGCGCATACCAAAACCGCTTATATCGAAACAGCGTATATCGAAACATCGTATATCGAAACAGCGCATATCGAAACAGCGTATATCGAAACCGGGTATATCGAAAACGCGTATATCAAAACCGCGCATACCAAAACCGCTTATATCAAAACAGCGTATATCGAAACAGCGTATATCGAAACAGCGTATATCGAAACAGCGCATATCGAAACAGCGTATATCGAAACCGGGTATGTCGAAAACGCGTATATCAAAACCGCGCATACCAAAACCGCTTATATCTAAACAACGTATATCAAAACAAACATTTTATTACATAAACTATACAGAGTCTTAGATTAGTGCAAAATTTGCCAACCCTAAAAATATTTAATATTTTTAGGATTGGTATATTTTCGACCCCAGTAACAACTCTACAGTTTTTTTTTTTAAAAATCGAAAATTTTGTATTTTTGAAGAAACGTAATAGAAACGTAGTAGGGTAGAAAATTAAATTTCGAGGAAAGAATAAACAGAAGACAAACAGTGGATTCAGAATTTAAACAAATTGTTTTTTAATTTTCAAAGTAAAATAGTGTCAGAAAACAAATAAATAAATAGTGGCAACTTGCCATTTTTTACAGCAGAGCTACCAACTGAATCCCCAGCGGGAAATTTAAATTTCAGTTAGTCAGCCCAACGCCGAATATGTCCATGGATGGGAACAATGAATTTAGTATTCGCGTCCTCGATGACGCAACTAAAAGTTTAATTGGTATAGCTTATAGAAGTAAAGCACTTTTTTTTTGGGATACGAAATCATATAGTATATTTAACAAAACTTTGGTTGTACGTCATCAATGACACCATGCGTCGTCTTATGGAGTTTGCTGGTGGTCGTATTAGCAATTATGCAGATAACTATAAAGATATGTTTCTCAGTGTGTCTGGTAAACTATGATTTAGTCATTTAATTGAAAATAGGCTTTTACCGACAACAACTTACACCCTGAGACCTCGACTAGAAATAGGCTCTAATCCAAAAACAGTGTAAACATCCATAAATTGCACCACCCACGATTCAAAAGAGGTTGTTACTTCAACCTCTGAGTCACATTGGCCAAAGCCACAGCAAAAGCTTGCAACGCCGAAAAGGGATATTGAAAATCCAGAGTGTAGGCGTTACCATCTATTCGGCCAAACTGCATCACCTGGAAGATTTATATAATACTAAGTAGGTATATCTTTGAACTAAATTTTAGCTTAAAAATGTACCTGTTTGCCTCTAAACTCGATTTGGAAGTTTTTGGCTGATTCTTGGGTTACTCTACCACCAAAATCAAGTTGGTACACTTGGCTGTTTTCGTTCCACATTGGTGCTTTGTTATGCATCACGAATTCTCTTCTTTGTGGGACGTTTTGGTTGTTGTTACAGCAACTGCTTCCGTTTGGTTCAATTTTACCCCTCTTCAGCTAAAAAAATCAAATTTTGAAAATTTTACAGAAACATTTATTCACTCTACCCAGTGAGCAGTTTATTCCTTTAAGAGTCTGTTACGCTGTACTTTCGGGTCGCTCTCAGGGGTCGGGTAAAGCGGGTGTTTGACCGAAGGAAATATATATTATATTTCAGAAATCTGCCTAAGGCTTAGCCCGATCCTGTCATGTTAAGCCACGCCTAAAATTCCAACCAACACCTGTGCTTTAATTAAGGTTTGCAGAGCCTCAGCATTTGCCATAAAATAGCGAGCAATTTGTTACAAAACCACATAAATTATATATCACTGTAATCACAAAATTTCAATCTATTTCCATATTGTAACGGAATTTTAAATTATGTCTTTATTTTCGAGAAAATTTAGTCCAAACATAAGGAATATTTTGTTGATGTTTGACTTAAAAATAAAGAAGTTGTCTAAAAATGTACTACAATACGGATACATAGTATAATCCTTTATCTTTAATTTCCTTCTTCATTTGTGTAAAAATACCTAGCAAGAGACTCTTAATGAAAATGTGTTCTAGGTGACGTCGTTATTACGTTACCAGGTCCTTATTATGCCTGATAAAGAGCAATAAAACGCAGATACATAACTGTTCCCTAATGTTCCCTAAATGTGACAAAACTTTGCTAACTGGGTAGATAACCATAAAAAAGGAAAAAGTGATGGCACTATACTCACCTTTTGCCTCAACTGAGATTTCTGGAAAGTCTCCAGATCCTTGTAGTTAGTACCGTTAAAAACTTCGTCCGTTGAAGCTGTCACTTCGTCATCCGAGCTTTCTTGGTATTTGTTCTTTTTTCTGGAGAGGAAAGGAGAATTCATAAGTTTCTTCCTAATGGGAGACGCCGACTGGGGTCTAAGACCTGGAAAATATTGGACAAAAACACGTTTAATGTAAAATATTCAGTAATAACTGAACAAAGTACCTTTTTTGACTGGTGCAGGCGATGAAGGAGAACTCCTAGGCAATCTAGGAGAGTTTGGAGGAGTTGATTTTCCAGAATCGTCTTCCCTTAACCTCGTTATCAGCTTCTCCAAATTGGCTAAGGCTTGGGTATGGACTGGAACCCCATTTTTCTCACAGCCATTCTTTTCTCCATCTGTTGAACCGTTTTTACTCTTCCCTAGAAGTATAGATATTTAGGTTATAAGTCCAAAACAACTTTTACAGTATGAGTGATCTCTTAATCCAGAATTTCGAAAAGAATACTCTAAAAGTTAATTGGGGATGAATGACGTACAATCTTGTATTTCATACTGTTTGGATAACACATATGGAGTGGTAAGAATTAAAATGGATCAAGTTCAATTTCCTATTATTTTAAGACAATCGTCTTTATACGTTTTTAAAATATTGTTTTTTCCAGCAGAGAAATGAATGAGAATTCACGCATAAAGCAGCTATATAGCCTGTTTCTGTTTGGTTTCCGAATATTCCGTTGACTCCTTTCAAAAATGACACGTGCTAAAATTTAGAGCTAAAAAAATATTTTTTTGATAAAATGGATGACAATGAAACAAAGTCAGAACCAATTGTACCAAGTGAATCAGATTATCAGCCATCTGAAAGATCTGATTCTATCGATTCTGAAAGAATAGTTTGATTTATCATTATTTTCACTATTACTACATCAATAATTTAGGCTGTTTTTCTTACAAATACTTAGATATATCTGACATGTTGTTGATCTGAATAAAACTGCACGAGGAAGACAAATCTTATCATTTCATATAGACGTAACGTAACACACTCTAAAAGGCAACACATGAAAGATCTTCTTCCGTTCATCCCGCCGATATACCATAATTTTTATAAAAATCGAAGAAAACACTATTAATAGACAATGTGAACTCAACAAATCCATTAATGACGAAGAAGAATGTACAGATAAACCAATTTATATCTAAAATTTCAAATATTTTCCGAGATAACATGGTTCAAGTCCAAAAAAGTATAAACAAACATTCTTAAAAATGACCACAGTTGAATTTTGAGTTACTTTAGTTTGCAATTATACAATTTATAATATAACAATGCATTGTGTCAAGTTTTCTTCTCCAGCTTGTTTTATTTTGATTCAGTAACATTAAAAAACTTTACTCTCATTTTCTCCATAATTATGACTTGATCCAGTTCACTTGTGAATCCTTCACATGTTTTTAGATAATAATTACCTCTATCTTTCCTTCTTCTCATTAGGGGAGACGAAAAAAAGTCCCTGGCAGTAGATCTCTTATTACTAACGACTTTCTCGGGCTTTTTTGGTTCTGGTTCCTCGATTTTCTCAATAACAGGCGCCGGTTCTATCTGTTCCGGAATCTTTTTCTCCTTCAACACAAAACTAGGCGTTGTAGAACCGTGAAAAATATCACTGGAGTCCAGACTTTTCGATTTGCCGAAATTCTTCAACTGTCCGTTCACTTTAACGCTGGCAGGCTTCGTTCTCAGCCTACTCTGACGTCTCTTTCCACCGTCTCTATCGTTATTCACCAGAACCAGTCTCTTGTTAGCGTTTTCCCTGTTCAAATTGGCAGTTCTGAAGATGGGCGGTACCATTTGGACGTCGACCATGTCCAGGTAGCCGACGCTGCAACTTCGCGTAATCAAATGGGCAGTGCGGACTTCGGGTGGTTTCTGATTTTGACTCTGAGGAAACTGAAAGCAATCTTTGTCGTCTTGCGGAGGCGCAGCTTTTCCAGGGCTGTCTGGGTTTTGTCTAGATCTAGAATAAAGAAAATCAAATAGAGGAGTCTTCGCCTCGTTTTACGCGGCGATAACGTTCGTTGAAAACAACGCGTATATCGAGACAGTGTATTTCGAAACCGCGTATATCGAGACAGCGTATATCGAAACAGATTATATCAATACAGCGTATATCGAAAACGCGTATATCGAGACAGCGTATATCGAAACAGATTATATCAATACAACGTATATCAAAACCGCGTATATCGAGAGAGCGTATATCGAAACAGATTGTATCAATACAGCGTTTATCGAAACCGCGTATATCCAGACAGCGTATATCAAAACAGATTATATCAATACAGCGTATATCAAAATCGCGTATATCGAGACAGCGTATATCGAAACCGCGTATATCGAGACAGCGTATATCGAAACAGATTATATCAATACAGCGTATATCAAAACCGCGTATATCGAGAGAGCGTATATCGAAACAGATTGTATCAGTACAGCGTTTATCGAAACCGCGTATATCCAGACAGCGTATATCGAAACAGATTATATCAATACAGCGTATATCAAAACCGTGTATTTCAAAACCGCGTATATCGAGACAGCGTATATCGAAACAGATTATATCAATACAGCGTATATCAAAATCGCGTATATCGAGACAGCGTATATCGAAACCGCGTATATCGAGACAGCGTATATCGAAACAGATTATATCAATACAGCGTATATCAAAACCGCGTATATCGAGACAGCGTATATCGAAACCGCGTATATCGAGACAGCGTATATCGAGACAGCGTATATCGAAACAGATTATATCAATACAGCGTATATCGAGACAGTATATATCGAAACAGATTATATTAATACAGCGTATATCGAAACCGTGTATATCGAAACCGTGTATATCGAAACAGCGTATACCAAAACAAAAATTTTATTAGATAACTACACAGAGTAAGGTTTAAATTAGTGCCAATATTTTTAGAGATGGTATTATTACGAGGGATTTAAAAGATTTTTAGATATTAAAAAGATTTTTAGAAATTAAAAAAAACATTTTTGTTATAAACTCACCTATATGAACATTCTGCTTGCGTTTTCCTCAAAGCTATAGGTTTGTGATCATTCGAATTCAAGTTGAAACTAACAGACAGATCATTCCTAGCATTGTGTTGATCGAATGTCGGTTTCACCTGAAAACGGTAACGAAATGAACGTAAATACTGATGGTTCTAAGTGAGAACAGTTGATTTACCTGTAAATTGTTATTACTACTAGTCGAATAGGATATGATGGTAGGTGCAGATGGCCTGTCGAAAATAATGTCGCTAGGAGCTACGGCGTTTTTTGGCGATTGCAGCGATGGCACGGACACTTCGCAGCAGATTGGTGATATGGCGTGTTTCTGGTTCTGACCTCCGGGTTTACCTAAAATTAAATGAAAATAACAAAAATAAATAAAGAGAACAAGTTGAGAAGAAACAACGGCCAATGCAAATTCTGTGGGAAAAATTGAAAAACACCACAACACTGAGTGTGCCGAGACGACAACCATGTGTACCTCTGTAGTTTTAAAAGTTCTAGGGATACTTACCCAGTGAGCCGATGAAACTTGTAGAATTTTGACTGGTAGTCGGACGCAAAAGGTTCTGTGGACGGATCTGGTCTCTGTCTTCGATCTCGACGAAGGAACACTTGTCCTCGCCGGCATTTTCGGCACTAAAATTGGCAACATTGGATTCGTTATGCAAGTAGGCCTTCTGTTTGGTCAGGGCACTCGTCCTCGGTGACATCGGCGCTATCGGCGGGCAGTTATCCATACTCATCCTGAAATGTCAGATTGGTAACTAGTAGTAACTAGCAATCGTACTAATTATATGAAATAAAATATTAAAACCCTTTCCAGGTCTCCAAAAAAGTCCTAAGGGAGACACAATAAATGTAATGGTGTGTAATAAATTAAAAACCAATTAGGAACGTGCATTGTAACTGTATTCGTAAATCCTCAACCACAGAATGTAGACATTACCTTGGATTTTTAGGTTTCTCTCCAGCAGAGTTGGCTACTGGTTCTTCCTCGTCCTCGCTGAACAAGTTCGGATTGAAAGTCGGATCAGGTCCAATAGGAAAATCATCTCTAAGTTCTGTAATGACTGGTTTAAAAGAAATCATATTAATTTAGAAGTCTAGTAATATTTAGTTAGATATTGGACTTACCTAGAGTCATTTGACGAGGCTGCAAATGTAGCAAAGACGTTTTATAAGTCACCTGACCCAAATTTGCGGGGACTACGCTTGCTAAACCGTGGATTTTGAATTTGGTGCCCCAGATATTGGACGTCACCTCCACTAATCGCACTTGCTAAGCAAATAAATACAGTTTTAAATATCATTTTTTACACAGTAACATCATAAAAGCTTATACAATATGATCGAAAAAAAAAACGGCGTCAGCGATGACTATGAAATGAAGATCGCCATCATTTTATATGTAAAATTATATGGGAAATGTCATCGATGTTCATTTCCAAGCCAACTGGACGCCGTTTTTTTTTTGACGATCATGTGTAGTGCCTTAACTTTGTAGCACTAAAAATTTCTCTAATTTTTCCTTTTTTTGTGCAGACCAGTGTTCTAAACGAAAAAGCTTCAGTTCATTTCATTTCTTTTCTTCAAAAAAAATCTTTGGTGTGTTTCTACTAAAATACACCCCTAAATAATCACCCTGTATTACCTCAGGTAGCGTATCTGCATAGTTCAGTTCTTCCTGATCTAAATCTGCATCACCCCGGTACTGCCATGCCGTTCTCTCTGTCCTTTCCCCAAACGAGTTTTTATGTTTCTTCTTTTTCTTCCTCTGCATCCTAGGCGAGGCGGTACAACCTTCTTCCCTGTCCGATTCCGAACTATCACTGTACCCGCCACTGGCATTCGCCGTCGAGGTTCCCGAACTGGAGGAACTCTTGGATTCCGAAGACGTATGATACCTATGGTAGTCTAAAAACGTACTTTATATAATAAATAAGCAAAATAAAAGAAAAATAGCTCACGTTCAAGTTGAGGATCGAAGATAACAAACTCCGGACGAATTTTGCTGGTTCTCTTGCCTTTGAGTAGAGGAACCAAGCCACCTAGGTACTCCAGGTACAACGTATAGCACGTTCCTGACGATATGTTGACGTCTTCCTCGTGTCTGATCATCGTACAATGTAATCTGACTGATCCTGTAGGGGGTCTGGATACAAAATCTCTTAAAGCACTTGGTTCCGGTACACAACACTACAAATTATAAAATTTCATAAAAATGTCTTATAAAAATAACACACTAGCTAGACAACCGCAGTCTATAGAAAAAATACCGTCATCCGCCGGCGGTATGATATTTATATAACTGCACATACCGGTGGAAAAATGAACGAACTTGTCGTTGACGGCGCGGCGGTATAAACTTGAACGCGGCATATTGTAAATCTAACCTAACCTAACTTCTAGCCGCTGCCTGTAACTTAATAAGTCTCTGCAAATTAGAAAATTACATTGGGAAAGACAAAAATACATAAAATTTGGTAAAATAAGGGCGGTATTTCAGTCTTTTAAATAATATACCGCCGGTATACCGCCATATACCGGCCATATGATATTTTTATAACTTCATATATCGGTGGAAAAATGAATGAACTTGTCGTTGACGGCGCGGCGGTATGAACTTAACGATAGAGATAAAAGCAACGCGGAATAAAAGTCCAACAGCGGCATATTGTAATAACTGAAACATCAAATACCGTCAAAATTAACTAACTTTTAGTCGCTGCCGGTAACTTAATTAGTATCCTTAAATTAGAAACTTACGTTGGGAAAGACAATAACACATAAAATTTGGTAAAATAAAGGCAGTATTTCAGTTTTTTAAATAATATACCGGCGGTATGGTATTTTTATAACTGCATATTCCGGTAGAAAAATGAATGAACTTGTCGTTGACGGCGGTATGAACTTAACCATATCAAATACCGTCAAAATCAACTAAATTCTAGCCGCTGCCGGTAACTTAATTATTATCCTTAAATTAGAAACTTACGTTGGGAAAGAAAATAACACATAAAATTTGGTAAAATAAGGGCGGTATTTCAGTTTTTTAAATAATATACCGCCGGTATATGGCGGTATACCGGCGGTATAAAACTGAAACAAACGGTATACGGCGGTACATATAGCTTCGGTTGAAAGAAAAATTTACCTCGTTGTTCGGCGGTATGCATGTTAATAAATATGAAAAACTGTCTAACGGCGGTCTTGCTTTCATCAATTGTCTATACCGCCCGTTTGTAAAAATAAAATAAAATGATTTACCCTTATTGTTTGAGCGAAAAGATTGCCAATAATATTCCTCAACCTAATCGGTAATGGAAGCTGATTCAGCATCATCTCGCTTGGTATCAAGTTATAGATTCTAAGCCTACAAAGCAGCTGTAACGAAGCTATCCTCTTAGCCACCCAGGCTATGTGTATTTGAGTGCCGGTAGCTAGAAAAAGTCGCTTGTCGTTATGACCCCATGTCAGCGTCGATACCCTAGCCTAAAAATATTTATTTTAAAGAAAACGTTAATGAAATTCAGGACAGATTTATTACATGCTTGTCAGGAATAAGCGTTTGGTACAACAGAACGCCCTTGTCTGTATAAAACTTCAACATGTTGGTGTACTCCATTTGTGGACCTAATGTTGGGGATTTCAGTGTTATTCCTGCTACAGCTAACAGTTCTCTGGAGTTGCTCCACTCCATGCACAAAGATCCTTGAAGGCCGGTGTTGATTTGTATTGGAGCCACATCGTCAAAAGTGGTTAAGAGGTAGATGTAACCGTTTTGTAACGCTACCGCCAATACAAATTTCTTATCACCTAAAAAGAAACAGGAAAAAAAGATTAAATAGACTTTTCTGGGTGCATAACATTAGTACAAAAAACCCACAGAATAAACTAATAAGTTAAGATAATTTTTTTACCAAACAAAAAGACACAACCATCAAAAATCCACATTACAAACACGACAATTTCAATACCACAATTCACGACACCCACATCACGCTTGTCCTTAAATTTTGAAGTACCTTGGCAATAAAACCTCCTATTTTTTATGGTACCTGAGCTAGAACACTCGTCCTCCCCCTCCTCCATCTTGAATTTCTCGCAGGACCAGGCCATGGAGGTGATGCCAACGTCACCGCTTAGTTGGACTTGAGACACCATGGCCCCGTGGACGTCCATTACTATGATCTGGCCTGAGGTGGTACCAAAGTACACCTGCTGGTCGTCCGGTGTCCAAATTCCGCAGGATATGGTCGCGTCGAGGTTCAGCATGGAAGACCAGTACCTCTGGCCGGCTACCGAGCCCACCAAGACAAATCCATCCTTTAAATTAAACAACAGTAACGTAGATAACATTCCAGACAATGAAAAAATGTGTTAAAATTAATACTATTAATGGTTATTGATAGGAATTTAGAATTTATGCAATAGGTCTTAAAATATAAATTTGTGTATGCTTTAGAAACTAACTTGGTAACATATTAAAGCCATTCTTCCATCGTGGGACCAGGAAAAATGTGTCACGGGTGTGTTTCTATCGTTGATGAGCTCTATGGACCATCGTCCTTCATACTTGATCCAGACGAATATAATTCCAGAACTGTCACATGATGCCAACTTCTGGTAGGGTTCGTTCCATTTCACCAAGATCACCTAACAGTTGAGAAATAATAATCTTTACTTTGTGCCATTTAAAAAATTTGCGATTATTTAATTTTAAATAGCCGAAATTCATAAATCAGAGCTAATATCTCGCAGTCGAGCGAGCCAACCAAAAACACGTCCAGCCTGTGTCGCGAGCTTTCTTTGTCTCGCGAGGCTCTCGCGAGACCCGTCCACACTTAACAAATTTGGAGTGTCTAGCGCTCGTCTCGCTCTCGTCTCGTCAGGCCTGTACGCACCTTTAGAAATACGTAGTGACGCGACGTGTATTTGTGAGCAGTCCACGTGTTTATCAAAAATATTGGTGTTTTAATACAAATTTCGTGAACTCCAAATGAAATTCATGTTCATAAAATTATTATTATCGATAATAGATAGAGTGGGGGAGCTCTCCCGAAAATTGGGAGTAATAGAAGAAAACGTGAGCTCTATTTGGATACAGGATACCATTTTGCATAATCTGAATATGATTTTATAACAAATAAAATTTACAAAAATGTCTTTCTTACCTCCGATCTGTGTCCTCTCAAATTGTAATTCGTCCTCAAAGGAAAATCGACGTTCTTCTTGCAATGGCTGGTGGTAAAAGTCACCCCCACTATCCCCCTCACGTTCCCTGTTGCCAGCCATCCCTCCTGATAATAATTATTCCTATTTAGCTTCCATCCCTCGTCCTGAAACATAAAAAAGGCGTCACGTTTGGTCCTAGTCCTAGTCCCTATAAAGTCCCAAGGGTATTTTATTAAAAGCACTAGGTCATACCCCGGAAAACCCGAAGGCTATTAATCTTTCTCCCTTTGGGGAATTTTCTCGTAGGGAAACTGGGTTAACGGTTGAAAAGATATCTTTTTTTATTATTTTCTCGGGTTAAATTAGATAATATTTTATCTAATATTGTATTTTTCTTCTTATAAATGTCTTTATTTGTGGATTATTAGAAATAAATACATAATAAATTCAATTATCTCGTATACTATAAGGATTGAAATATAAATTCTAGGGTCCTAATACAGGGTGAGCCTTCATTTTTTTTTTAGTTTTTAGAATTCGTTTTTAGTTTTTAGTTAAAAAAACATAACTTCTTGATAATATGGCAACGTAGGTAGTAGATTAAATTTACAAGAAAAAAAACAGGAAAGATCCAGTGGTTCTCAAAATTTAAGCAAAATTATTTTTTTTGGAAATTTTCAAAGTAAAATATGAAAATAACTCGGTTATTTTGGACTTATTTGAAAAACGGTAAAGAGAAATATGTTTCTTTTATCGATATCTACCAGCCCTGAAAATATTTGCACTTATTTAAGACTCACCCGGTACATACAGGGTCCGGTAATAGTGCGTCGAGCATCTGTAGCTCCTATAATATAAAAAACTTAGGAATTTTGTGCAAGTGCAAACCTAAAGTATGTATTAGGATGTATTTCAGGAAAATATTTTAGCTTCTACAGGGTGACTCAAAAAAGTTAGAGTCGATCACCGATAATTTTTTAAAATAAAACACTCTGTATATTATTGAATTTTTGGCTTCCTTTCTGATCACTTTACATAATCCTAAGATATTATTAAATAAGTTTTGATAGTTTCAAAAATATTAATAAATAAATAATAAAAAATATATTTTTGCAGTCTTTTTTAAAAAATTACTAGGTATTTACCAGGATTTATCGATTCATCGATTTATTGATTTATGGATTTCTCGATTTATTGATTTGTCGATTTATTGATTTATGGATATATTGATTTATTGATTTATCGATTTATTGATTTATGGATTTATTGATTTATGGATTTATCGATTTATGGATTTATCGATTAATCGATTCATCGATTTATTGATTTATCGATTTATCGATTCATCGATTTATTGATTTATGGATCTATTGATTTATGGATTTATCGATTTATTGATTTATGGATTTATCGATTCATCGATTTATCGATTTATGGATTTATTGATTTATGGATTTATTGATTTATGGATTTATTGATTTATGGATTTATTGATTTATGGATTTATTGATTTATGGATTTATTGATTTATGGATTTATCGATTCATCGATTTATTGATTTATCGATTTATTGATTTATCGATTTATCGATTTATCGATTCATCGATGTATTGATTTATGGATCTATTGATTTAAGGATTTATTGATTTATCTATTTATGGATTTATCGATTAATCGATTCATCGATTTATTGATTTACCGATTTATTGATTTATGGATTTATTGATTTATGGATTTATCGATTCATCGATTTATGGATTTATTGATTTATGGATTTATTGATTTATGGATTTATCGATTCATCAATTTATTGATTTATCGATTTATTGATTTATCGATTTATCGATTCATCGATTCATCGATTTATTGATTTATGGATCTATTGATTTAAGGATTTATTGATTTATCGATTAATCAATTCATCGATTTATTGATTTATGGATTTATTGATTTATGGATTTATTGATTTATGGATTTATTGATTTATGAATTTATCGATTCATCGATTTATTGATTTATTGATTTATGGATTTATTGATTTATGGATTTATGGATTTATTGATTTATGGATTTATGGATTTATTGATTTATGGATTTATCGATTCATCGATTTATTGATTTATCGATTTATCGATTTATTGATTTATCGATTTATCGATTCATCGATGTATTGATTCATGGATCTATTGATTTAAGGATTTATTGATTTATCTATTTATGGATTTATCGATTAATCAATTCATCGATTTATTGATTTATCGATTTATTGATTTATGGATTTATTAATTTATGGATTTATCGATTCATCGATTTATCGATTTATGGATTTATTGATTTATGGATTTATTGATTTATGGATTTATCGATTTATTGATTTATCGATTTATCGATTTATCGATTCATCGATTTATTGATTTATGGATCTATTGATTTAAGGATTTATTGATTTATCTATTTATGGATTTATCGATTAATCAATTCATCGATTTATTGATTTATGGATTTATTGATTTATGGATTTATTGATTTATGGATTTATCGATTCATCGATTCATCGATTTATCGATTTATGGATTTATTGATTTATAGATTTATTGATTTATGGATTTATTGATTTATGGATTTATCGATTCATCGATTCATCGATTTATTGATTTATCGATTTATTGATTTATCGATTTATCGATTTATCGATTTATCAATTTATTGATTTATGGATCTATTGATTTAAGGATTTATTGATTTATCTATTTATGGATTTATCGATTAATCGATTCATCGATTTATTGATTTATCGATTTATTGATGTATCGATTTATTGATTTATCGATTCATCGATTTATTGATTTATGGATTTATTGATTTATGGATGTATTGATTTATTGATTTATGGTTTGATTTGGTTTGGTTATTTTACATCAATTTATGAATTTATTGATTAATCGATTCATTGATTTATAGGTTTATCGATTTATTGATTTATGGTTTTATGGATTTATGGATTTATCAATTCATCGATTTATTGATTTATTGATTTATCTGTTTATGGATTTATTGATTCATCGATTTATTGATTTATGGATTTATTGATTTATGGATCTATTGATTTATTGATTTATGGATCTATTGTATTATTGATTTATGGTTTTATTTTGTTTGGTTATTTTACATCGATTTATGGATTTATTGATTAATCGATTCATTGATTTATCGATTTATGGATTTATGGATTTATCGATTCATCAATTTATTGATTTATGGATTTATCGATTTATGGATTTATTGATTTATCGATTTATGGATTTATTGATTTATCGAATATTGATTTATGGATTTATCTTGGTATTTACTATAATTGGTCTGTACTTACTTTCCTATAATTTTCGTAATTTTAAACCATACAGGGTGTTCAAAATCCTATGCCAAACTCTCTAAAATATAAAATTGTTTTTCTTCGTTTTTTTTTGGTAAATGGAACACCATGTATGTTATTCCATTGTTAGATGGAGAATTAAAAAATTAACATTTTTTTTTATAAAAAGTATTTCAAAATCTTTAACGGATATTCGTAATATTATACTACGTATGGGTTTTTCGAGAGTTAATTTTTATCAAAGCTATCTAATTATTTTTGTCTGATATTTTACAGTTAAAAGAACCACATGGAATAAAACGCCATTGTCCACCATGGACCATAGAGGAAACAATCTTTTATCAATTGTATCATTGTGATTAGTAAATCTGAAAACTGCAAAATTGTATTTATAGTTTAAATTTAATTTATAAACTTGCAAATAATTGCAAAAATAGTACAGTTTTTGTAACAATCAAGTTGTTACACATAAACAGAAGAATAGAAAATATGGCGCCCAACGTGGGACACTTATATCTCGAACCATTTTTGTAAAATTATATTATTTTGTGAAACTATGCAAAAATATTAGATATCTTTCTAAAAGTCGCTTAGTAAAACTCTTAGTTCTCTAGACGGTGTTCCGTCTTAATACAATTCAAGTAAAAAGTATACTTGGTGCTTAAAAAATCGATTAAAAAAGTTCCTTTAGTGGTAAAAATAAGAAAAAAAACGATCAGGATCGAACTTCGTCAAAATTATCAATTTAAGAGTTGATGAAAGTTCCGCAATGGTAATTGGGGCCTAGCTAGGGGAAAATTTCCATTAATAATTCCGGAAATGACAATTCGAAAGAGGGAATGGAGGAACGGGATAGACTGACAAATTATTTCTGTATTCGGGGTAATGAAAACATATACAGAAAATGCTACGTCACTTTAACCCTGGGGTGTTTCTATAGAGAAAATTCTATTATAATTGTTGTAGTAAGTGGATTTTCTTAGAGATTTAGGAGGGTGAACATTTCGAAAACGATCGTCATGCTGTTGTTGAGAACTTGAATGCTTTCAGTGAAGCTGAAAGGAGAGAACCCACATTGACTATAATTATAAATTTGTTATAATATTGCGGTATATGATATACATTTCTTTAAAAAATATTGTGTTTGTACAAAAATGTTTTATCTAATAATTTACATTTAAAGATCTACATTTTCTTTAAGATAAATTTAAATATAATTTAATGCTGTTTATTTTTTTATGATATAGCATTATAGTAATTGATTTTAAGATTATTATGTGATACAAATATTGCTGTATTGCAAGTTAATATAAAAAGATATAATATCATTCTTAATTAAACAATGAATATAAAATAGTAAAATTAATTCTGATGTACTTAGATTATATAATGGTTAGATTATTTTGATTTTCGGATTCTGAGAAAAAATAAAGGTAAATTTCTTAGGAGCATATGATTAAAATGTAAGGTTTTTGACATATTTAGCATTTTCTAAAAATGAAGAATAAATTTTAAATTTCAGTGAAAGCTACCTAAATAGGAATTTACCCTGTATAGCCTAATTTGTCGTTAAAATAACCATTATAATATTTAAATCAAACTAAATCCTAACCGAAAATATATACAGGATGAGAAACAAAATTAATATTAATCAATGGTCACTTTACAAAAGCAAGTTACTCTTTTATTTAAACGAAACACCCAGTATATTATAGCGATATTCAATGGGGAATTCATGTCTCTTCCAAATACTATTGTCTACCCTTCAGACAAGGATTTTCCTAGATATTTTCATTTTTATGATTTAGTAGATATGTGTCAGCAGATATACAGGGTGGTCCGACCTATATTCCGAAAACTTTGGCAGCATATTCTGCACGTAAAAATAAGTAAAAAGGTTTGTATAAATGTATGTCCTAAAATGCTTAGTTTTCGAGATACAGGGTGTAGAAGTTTCATTTTTATTTGGATTTTTTCCAAATAATTTCTGAAGTAACGTCAATATTTAAATGAAAATTGGTGTCTGAGAGTTTTTTGATATGAGAAATTTGATTTTGATGTCAGTATGACTCCTACTTGTAGAGGGCGCCACTTACATACTTTTTAACTGGTTTGAAGAGTAATAACTTTTTGACCGTACTTGTATAAAACTACTGAGTAAACAATATACCGTAAAATCGAGAAAAAACGGCGTCAACGATGGCTATGAAATGAAGATCGCTGTCATTTTATATGTAAATTTATATGGGAAATGTCATCGATCGTCATTTCCCAGCCAACTGGACGCCGTTTTTTTTCGATCATACGGTATATTTACGACGTTTTTTACGTAAAAAAGGTTTCTTGGTAAAAATAGCTACAAGTAATGGTTCTAGAGATATTTGGAATCGAAATTATCAATACCTGTCATTATTGACATAACTTAAACATGTTGACTAAATAGTTATAAGACTGAAATCATAAATTTGAAATGTTTTTGAGCCAAAAGTTCAACAGAAACTGTTTTATGGTCATTTTTTTCGCAGAAAAAATTATGATTAAGTTAAAAAAATAAACATTTCCCAAATTTATTATTTCAGTCAAATAACTACATACTCAATGTGTTTATTTTTTGTCAATAATGACATGTATTTATTATTTCCATTCTAAATATCTTGAGAACGGTTGCTCGTAGCGATTTTTACCAAGAGACATTTTTTACGTTGAAAATCACGGAAATGTATATCTTTCACTCAGTAATTTGTGTTAGTTAACAGTTAAAACACGTGTAGGTGGCGCCCCCTACAAATAGGAGCCATTTTAACCTCAAAATCAAATTTGTCAACTCAAACAACTCCCAGAAACCAATTTTCATCCAAATATTGATGTTATTTCAGAAATTATTCTGAAAAAATCGAAATAAAAATGAAACTTCTACACCCTGTATCTCCGAAACTAAGCATTTTAGGACATACATTTATACGAACCTTTTTACTCATTTTTACCTGCAGAATATGCTGCCGAAGTTTTCGGAATATAGTTCAGAACACCCTGTATTAAATTTTTAACCGAAAATTTAAGAATTTTTCCAAAAATAATTTTTTTTCAATTTTTTTCACGAAAAATACCCATAGACGAGTTTCTGTGATCGAAATATACGACCCCTAAAAATATTTATACTTAAGACTCACCCAGTATAGTTTATGTAATAAAAATTTTGTTTTGATATACAGGGTATTTTCAAGGAACGTAACTAGGTACTCCCGTCATGTATTATATTAATAAAAAACAAACAATCAACAAAGAAGCTAAATCAACTCAAATAGCAATAACAAGTAAATTCAATTTACCATAACTTAAGCTAGTAATTTGGTCAGTCTTACCTCAGGTAACTCATCTGGCACTTTTCCCATCCATGTCAAACTCAAAATAGGACAATCCCCCTTCGCATTTACCGTCCTTTCGAAGTGCAGATGCATCGTAGGGCACTGAACACATGCGTGACACACTTTCATGAAAAAACGATTTGCCAAAAAAGGTTTTTTTATCCAACGTCACAGAAAAACGTTTCTTAAAAGGCACATTCTGCGTCCATCAGACACCAGATCGGTGTGAATTTCCCCGATCTTTTCCGCGGATTTTCATGATCGATGTTCGTGTGGCCGAGCGAACGACGCGATAACGGAGGAAAGCGACGGTCGGGTGACTTTCCACGGTTAGGGAAAACGAAGAGTACGGTATTGATTTCCGCGAGAGGGATTTTCCTGGAAAATACGCGTATAAGCAAGCGCCGGTTTGAGCCTGATCGCGCAATGTTTTCACTTTTCTTCTAATATGCTGGTCATCGATATTAAAAGATGTAGAATGCTAATTTTCCTTTGAAAACACTGACGGACATAAAATGAAACGGTTACAGGGTGGTCCAAACTGAATTCCGGAAACTTCGGCAGCATATTTTCCAGTTAAAAATAAGTAAAAAACTTCGTATAAATGTATGTCCTAAAATGCTTAGTTTTGGAGATACAGGGTGTAGAAGTTTTATTTTTATTTCGATTTTTTCCAAATAATTTCTGAAGTAACGTCAATATTTGAATGGAAATTGGTGTCTTGGTAGTTTTTTGACATGAGAAATTTGATTTTGATATCATTATGACCCATGGTACAAAGAATACAAGGTATGATATTGCGCAGGTTGGTCACAGGTGATAAACAGTACCATTGGTCGGCAAGCTCCGCGCGCCAATTTCAAATTGTCAAATAGATGACACAACAGATGACATAAATGTGAAAATAATTTTTCAAATGTCAAGCTCCATGAATTTGACATAACATTTGGGGTTATGTCCTAATTCTTCCCTAATTTATGTCTTTTTTATTAGTGGCAATTGCACAATATGGATATTTTTTTGTCAGGCGTATGACGTCACAGGTGGTATGCGCAGACTTAACGAAATTGGAGCCGCTATCGATCATACCTTGTTTTCTTTGTACCATGATTATGACCCCTATTTGTACGGAGCGCCACCTACAAGTGTTTTTAAAAGTAATAACTTTTCGTCCGTACTTGTAAAGAACTACTGATTGAAAAAATATACATTTTCGTAATATTTACGTAAAAAATTAATTGCTGATGATTTGGCACAAAAACATTTTAAATTTTTGATTTCAGTCTAATAACTATTTGGTCAACATGTTTAATTTATGTCAATGATGACAGGTATTGATAATTTCGATTTCAAATATCTCGATAATTATTACTCGTAGCGATTTTTATTAAGAGACCTTTTTCATGTAAAAAACGTATATTTTTTACTTAGTACTTTTATACAGGTACGAACAAAAAAGTTATTACTTTTCAAACCAGTTAAAAATATGTAGGTGGCACCCCTTACAAATAAGAGTCATATTGACACATATAAATCAAATTTCTCATGTCAAAAATGAAAGTTCGATATCCTGTATCTCCGAAACTAAGCATTTTGGGATATAAATTTATAAGAACTTGTTTACTTATTTTTATCTGCAGAATATGCTGCCAAAGTTTCTGGAATACAGTTTGGACCACCCTGTATTATAATTTGTGCTACTTTTTGTGATATGTAATATCATATACATATTTTGCTCCGTTTCTTGGATTTTTAAAACCAATGTGTAGACAACTAGTGTAACATAAATTTTAGTGTGGCGTTTCGTATATCCGTCAGTGTACAAGTAATACCGTATGATCGAAAAATACGGCGTCCAGTTGGCTGGGAAATGACGATCGATGACATTTCCCATATAAATTTACATATAAAATGACAGCGATCTTTATTTTATAGCCATCGCTGACGCCGTTTTTTTTTTCGATCATACGGTACTATTAAATATGCTTTAATAGTTTCAGAGATATTAATAAATAAATGAAAAAAATTCAGCCTTTTTAAAAAAAATATTAAATTACTAATTAAATGTTTAATCACGTGATTAAGCTTGGCCGGTACAGCGTTGGCTACTTTTACAAATTTTCTTTTAATCAACATATTTTAGAAAACATCAACAAAACTCACCTCCTTAACAGCAATTTAGGGACATAAAAGGCCATAACTACCGCTTTCCCGTTCAAAATATTCTAATAAGGTTGCAATAAGTTTTTCACAACGGCTATTAAGCTATCTTGTGCACTTCGCACTAAGAGATTCTAAAAAGAGCAATGTTCGACTGCAAGGTCTGCTAGTAAAAATGTTTAAGTTCAAAGTATCATAACACTATTTATTTAAACCAAAAACAAAAAAAATACACAACCAAGTGTCAAAACGAATGACAATTTCAGGAAATAAATAAATAAATGCGGCAACTTGACATTTTTTACAGTAGAGCTACCACCTGAATCCCCAGATTTAAATACAGGAAATTTAAATTCCAGTTAGCTAGTCTGGCGCCAAATATCAATTGTCGGCAACAATGAATATAAAAATCGCGCAATGGATTACGTAACTAAAAGTTTAATTGGTACTTGGTATATACCGGGTGTTGCATCGTCGAGCGGGACATAGGAAATCCCATGTAAATTTTAATGGGGTCAATTATTGGCTTCCCTAATTATTTTAGAGAATAATTCTATTTAGGTTTATTAAAGAGCACTAAAACCCACATTCAAAAGAATAACTTTAGATATTTTTGATTAGCCCGTTTACGAGTTATCGCCGATTCCTTTTTAAATATTTCACCTTTCTTATGGCCCTGTATTTACTTATGAGCACCAGTCAAGGTAAAAGATAACTGTCAAATGAAGTTGTCATTTAATAGTAATTAATAAGTTATTGAATATTGTAATAATACTATAATTAACCTTGTAATTGATGACTTTATCTTACTTTAATTCATATTAATTTGTATCTATAAATACATCTTTAAGATTTCCGATGTAGGAATGAGTTTTCAATAATAATAAAGCAGTAAATAGGTAAATTTCTGAAATGACAACTTCATTTGACAGTTTCTTTTACCTTGACTGATGCTCATACAGGGCCATAAGAAAGGAGAAATATTTAAAAAGAAATCGGCGATAACTCGTAAACGAGCTAATCAAAAATATCTAAAGTTATTCTTTTGGATGTGGGTTTTAGTGCTCTTCAATAAACCTAAATAGAATTATTCTCTAAAATAATTAGGGAAGCCAATAATTGACGCCCATTAAAATTTACATGGGATTTCCTATGTCCCATCCGACGATGCAACACCTGGTATAGATGATCTTTAGTCTGATCTGACACGCAAAACTGACAGGTAAAACGTTATGTATATGAGGGGCCTTAAATAAAACAGCAATTTAAAAACCGTAATCTTAATTTATTTACATTTGACAAAACAATCCTTACCTTCGTTGAATAAAAAGTAAAATAAATAAACTACAGAGTACTGTACAGATATAAACTTGCTTTGTTTCTGAAGTATCCACGATCGAAAATTTATATACACATAAAAAACAAAACGGTATAAAATCAATAAATGATTCGTCATCGACCAATAGAACTACACTTTTTTTCTTTATAAAATATCATTCTTCTCGTATAACGAAATACATATATAATACTAAAAATATAAAATTATAAACTTTGTAAATATATATATTTATATTCATTTCATATTTAAAATTCTCTACATATATATTCAACCACCTTTCATAATACTATACAGTAAGGACTAAACACATTTTTCTTACAGTAGCATTACTATTTTAGATATTAACAATAAATTTACAGAAATATATCATGTTGAATCTAAATATTTATTGACTAAATAGCCAAAGTATTATAACATTAAACGCTTAGCAAAACATTCTTAAAATATCTTAAAGAATCAGTTTAATAAAAACTTTTCCAACAAGTGCCAAACTTTTAAGCAGACCCTGTACAGGGTGGACCATTTTGGTTGTTTCTATAGGGTATCTAGGAAACCGTGAGAAATATTCAAATTTTGATACTGCAGTCTCGGGTTCTTTTTTTGAAAAAATTACAATGGCGCAAACGGATCGTGGCTATCTTGATCGGTTTTCAATTCTCAAATTTTGTACTCTTTGAAGATGTTCGATGGTTTGTTTATTTCAGCAACCACGGAAAAATGAATTATACATTCTAAAGGCACTTTTCTGTGTAGAATGCAGTGGCGTAGTCAGACTTTTTTCGAAAAAAATATTTTTTGAGATATTAACTAGACTTATGTTTTTTTAAATAGGGCCCCCTGTATATTTTTAAATTTTCTTATTCAGCTTGGCATGGGCTTCTCGAAAATATATAACACTCTATATTTATTTTCACTATTAACCTCAACATTTCAATTTTTTCTTAAAATGTATGCCGCGACGAGGAACAAAGTAAACGGTTGTCATGGTGATCGGAACATACCTTTGATGGATGCAGAACATTTCATTTCAACAGATTGAAGTGTGTGTATTTTAAATAATAAAAAAATGAGTAAATTTGAAAATTTTGAGAAATATAATATTATGTTAGAATGTTATATTGAGTCTAACAAACATAGGCAAATGGCAGCTGATTTATATTTTGAGCGGTATCCAGTGCGCGAGCAACCAAACCCAGCCATTTTTAAAAGGTTAGAAAATAGTTCAATCAAATTTTGGATCTTTTCAAAAACCGCGCCCCAAAAAATTATCAGAAAGAAGATGAAGAAAATCAATATATTATTGTCTCGGAGTTAAATAAAATGGAACAATACCCAGCAAATAAAAAATAAGTGTGACAGAAACAAAAAAACATATTTTAATATAAACTCTAGAGGTTACTTCAATCGGGCTTCTCAGTTAATATAAAAAAAATAACACACAAAGACTACATTAAATGTTCAGATTGCTGCCCATTATTATCTAGACAGAGTTGGTACCGTCTCCGCACGCCGCGCCGCCGCGCGTCTGTAACAGAATTTCAATAGCTCTACTTGATGTTGTTGGATCTAGTGTTACGGCTTCGAGGACATTAATATATTGATTTTATTCATCTTCTTTCTGATAATTTTTCAGGCCCGGTTTTTGAAAAGATCAAAAATTGATTAAACTATCTTCTAACCTTTTAAAAATGGCTGGGTTTGGTTGCTCAAAATATAAATCAGCTGCCATTTGCTTATGTTTGTTAGACTAAATATAACATTCTAACATATTATATTTCTCAAAAATTTCAAATTTACTCATTTTTTTATTATTTAAAGAGATACAATACACACTCAATCTGTTGAAATGAAATGTCACGCATCCATTAAAGGTATGTTCCGATCACCATGATAACCGTTTACTTTGTTCCTCGGCGCGGCCTACTATCCACTAAGTGGATATTTTAAGAAAAAATTGAAATGTTGAGGTTAATAGTGAAAATAAATATAGAGTGTTATATATTTTCGAGAAGCCCATGCCAAGCTGAATAAGAAAATTTAAAAATATACAGGGGTTCCTATTTAAAAAAAACATAAGTATAGTTAATATCTCAAAAAATATTTTTTTCGAAAAAAGTCTGACTACGCCACTGCATTCTACACAGAAAAGTGCCTTTAGAATGTATAATTCATTTTTCCGTGGTTGCTGAAATAAACAAACTATCGAACATCTTCAAAAAGTACAAAATTTGAGAATCCCCCTGTAGCTTCGAAACCGATCAAGATAGCCACGATCCGTTTGCGCCATTGTATTTTTTTCAAAAAAAGAACCCGAGACTGCAGTATCAAAATTTGAATATTTCTCACGGTTTCCTAGATACCCTATAGAAACAACCAAAATGGTCCAACCTGTACATATTTAAGAAAAAAATATTGAATAAAAAAATGTGTGCTGGTATAAAACCATGACATGAGTTAACACCTAATGTCACTGTCAACTGTGTTTGGTCCTTGCTGTACAGTCACACACAAATGGAATTTGGTTTATCGACATAAAACGCTTTTAAAGAAAAATAGACAACAATCGATCAACTTCATCATTTTATCCCTGAAAATCATCAACAATCATCAGTCCGCCAATCTATACAAAACTAGTGTACACTGATTTATTACGTTAAGGCCAGTTCAGATAAATACAGCAAAAATGCTGCAAATGTTCTGTTTGAAAAAATATTAAAAAAGCAATACTTTCTTATTTTCTTCATTGATAATGTCATTTTATTTAAAAAAGGGCACATTTCATACTAAAACCAAATAAAAATAATAAAAAGTATTGATGTTTCTCATTGTCTTGTCTTAACTGGCCTTTATACGGAGTGTCTCTAAAAAATGCCACTGCATATTTCTGGAGATCAAATACGACAGTCCAAATCAATTTCAACAAAATGAGGTCATATTGTATTTTTAAAAATTAGAAAAAATATACTATCCAATACCAAAAAGTTTATATTAACAAGTGTGACGTTTGACAGAGTATGGTATTTTTGGTAATACACCATAAAAAACTTGACTAAAACCCTACAATTCAATTTGTTAATGAATGTTCTATCTTAAAGAACAAAAAAAAGTGTGTGCACCATATTATATACAGGTTGTTAACTGAACAATCACTTATAAGTGAACAGAATGGCAACACTGCCTATTGAGAACGCATGCACTTATAGGGTTTTCTGCCGACTCGTCCCGTCGCGTCGTCTATCGACGGGCGGGCCGAGGTTGCCATATTTCAACCATAAAGCTCTTACTGCGAGTAATAAACAAATTAACAACCTGTATATATTACACTATATCGCTAGTCAGGAATAGAAATTGAAGCCAAATTCGTGTAGTTACCAAATTGAAGTAGTTCATGTGTCACGGCCTTGAATTTTAACTCCCAACGCGTAAAGAAGTTTCACTTCAAAAAGTTATCAGTTAAAAGAGGGACAAAATAAAATAAAAGCACTATACATCAAAAACTAACTTTTGGAGTTGTGTTTGATCAGCATATTCTAGTTGAAGAAATACACAATAGAATTTTATATAAACCTCTGTATATAAAACGGAAACCTGCCGACTAAAACATATTTAATATGTACACGGTTTAAAATCCTATTAAAAAATCAGAAATATATTTTTCTACATTTTTTTTTTCGTCTTCAGGTAGATTCGCGTCACTGAAACTTTTTAAGGCATCGAAAAGGGAAAATAATAAACGTTTTTTTCTGTCTTTACATTAAAAACAACAAAATATATACCGAAATGGAGAAATCAAATTGAAGATATGGTGTTTGAAGGGCGTCAGTCTATAAAAAAGGTTTTTCGACTAATTCTGCTGGTTCCTCTTGTTCCGGCTTCGCGACATCATCGCTTTTGTCGCACTCCTCTAGGAATTTGATCACTTTCTGTGTCGCTTTCACTGCGCAGACGCTGGAGGCTTCCGTCTATTTAAAAAAATCATAATTATAATATATATATAAATGTTGTATCCGTAAGACATATTGTAGCTCTGCTCTATCAATACAGTAGCTCTGCTGTAAAAACTGTCAAGTTGCCACATTCATTTACTTATTTCCTGACATTATCATTCGTTTTGACACTTTAGTTTTGTATTACGAGTTTTTGGTTTAAGAGCCTATTACCACAGATTAGGTATACTATATGTATACAGATAAAAATCTTATCCCTAATTCGTGATACGAAAATTGTTTTTATGACGATGTGCAAACAAGTAAAATTTCCTCTGCGCAAAAATAAACTCGCGTAAAATAACAATAAACAGCGTAATAGAGAGATATCGCTAAACTGAATAGCGTGCATGGACGTTAATCAGGCCAGGTGTTATTTCCTTTACGTGAGGTGGTATTAACTCTCTTCATTTATAGTTATCGGATCGGAAAGAATTCTGTTCGCGTCGCGTCCGCTATTTAAACTTAACCTAACTTTGAATTTAAAACTTTGAAATTGTTTTGTTTACTAGGTGTTTTAAAACTAAAGGGCTAAAGTGCTTATTTCCAGTGCTTTATTGTTCAACGTTTGCTAGTGGGTTTAGGGCAACAAGCAACAAATTCTCTTAGAAGGGCTAAATCGTCATCTGCTGTAAACCTAAGCCTCTTTATAGGTTCTTTAATATTGGAAGAGGTGGAAGGCTCCATATTTTGGGCAATATTTATTTAATTAAAACTAATCCCAGCTACTTAAATATCAAATTACCTAATAAATATGAACTATATAGAACGGTTCTCTGCTATGTTGGAACAAACCTATTATAACGATCATAAATCGACTGGCTGTCTGATTGTAGTATTATTAAAAAAAATAATTTTAAACTTAAATACAAAATGGTTTGAATAGGCCACTTACCGACGCAGTCAAATTCATGAAGTTGAAGAACTTCTTAAGTAGCTCGACCATGTCGTTGAAATTGCTGCCTCTGAGGAACTGCCGAATACTGTCCTGGTAAGCTGAATTGTCCATGATCAGGAAACCGATCAGCATGACGATATACGACGCCAAAAACGTGAACTCCATGTGCGTCCCTGCTTTTTGCAACACTGGAATATGTCAGAAAAAAATGATTAGTTAGTACCATATCCGTGAATCACCCTGTAGTTTAACTTACATTTAGCCACCGTTTCTTCGATAAACTCCTCGTTGCTCTTGTTTTGTGACGTAGGCACGTCTTCTACGTCTTTTTCGCCGTCCAAGATGGCGTTGGTTTTGTTTTCGGCAATTTTGGCGCAACCCTCCCACTCATAAAACTGAATGATGAGAGCCTCCACCGCACTCTCTTCCCCTGAAAAATGTTATAACGTTAGAAAAACGCTATTCCTAGAAAAAAAAAGAAAAAAACTCACGAGAATAGATGCTTTCGAGCTTGGAAGGCGCTTTAGCATCCATCAGTAATTTCTTGTTGGCCTCCTGATCTTGGATCAGGTTGATCAACAACATAAGTACCTGAAAAGAATAATTAGATTGTTAGGAAAGTCCCGTAGTTTTGGGAAAATTACATCCTACTGGCAATACCGTCCATTCCTATAAAACAGGACAACCCTGTACAGGGTGGGTCAAATTCGCCGCTTTTAAATGGAAACATCCTTATCTATAGGAAATAGACAAAAATTAATATCGGTGTCTGGAGCTCAATTTTTGTCAAAAACATGATGGTGAAAACCGCATATCAATATCTGTTACCGTTTCGGAGTTACGGGGTGTTTTTCAAAAATATGCATTTTTAACAAATCGCTGTAACTTTTTTGCTATGGAAAATTTTGTATTTTGATGAAAACATTTCCAAAGCACCTTTTACGTAGAATTTAATGGTTTAAGTATAATTTTTTTAAAATTTATAATTTATGAATTATCAACAGAAAATTTGATTTCTTATATCGTCCCACTGCTGCCAAAAGTCACTAACTTACTTTTTATTACTTCCGAGAAAAATGCGTCTAAAGATGAATTGCATTGCATAAAGATGTTATAGTTAGTAACTATTCGGTATTAAAATAAAACATAAATAGCCACAAATCGTAGTTAATGACATTTGCAATCGATTCTCCGATTCAAAACATAGTTAGTGATTGAATTTGGTTGTTCAGAAAAATGTTAGTTAGTGACTTTTGGCAGCAATAGGACGATATGAGACACCCTGTATATTTTTAAATTACTGAAAGAATTTAAAATTACCTTTCCAAAAATATAACACACTTGATATTTTGCTCGATTCCTCTTCGAGATATAGAGTATATAAAAATTCGCCCGCTTTAAATAAGTAGGCTTTGAACGGCACCGGCTTTAATGCAAAAAAAATCTAGCTGTGAGAATCAATTAAAACGAAAATAATATTTGCTATGGGAGATGCAGAATTTTATAACAATTTAAAATATATTTTACCAACATCAACACATTTAAACTATATCTAATAACAATAAAAATAAATAGCAAACCAAGACATGAGATTTTGCTACAAGTGTTCGACATATCGACCGTCTTCTGTTATGGACAGACGGGGCCGTTTTTGAACATTTCTCGAGGAATTGATTAACTCAGTAGGGGTGAAAGATACCCTCTCATAACTGCTGTGTTTCTAATTCTTGTCTAGATTATACGGAAGAATAAGGAACCTTTATTCTTCGGCAAATATCCATAGGATTAGAGCCATGGGCACTAAGTCAGGCGGCCTCGACGGCCAACGGCTGAGATCTTGGTTAGCTATTCAATTAATCTTGAAATTGGCTACAAAAATTTGCTGATAACTTCAGCGTTCTGAGGCGGGGCGTCGTCTTGCTGGAAAAATATGTTTTCGAGTTCCAATAAGGGGTCCAAAGCCTACTAGTTAAAAGTGGCGAACTTTTAAATATTCTGTATTTCGAAGGGGATTATAACAAAATATCAAGTGTGCTATATTTTTGGAAGGGTAATTTTAAATTATTTTCAGTTAATTAAATATATAGAGGATGTCCCAAATAAAAAATCTATTTTTCTGTTGATAACTCTTAAATTATTAATTTTAAAAAAATTATACTTAAACCATTAAATTCGACGTAAAAAGGTGCTTTGGAAATGTTTTCATAGAAATACAAAATTTTCCATAGCAAAAAAGTTACAGCGATTTGTTAAAAATGTACATTTTTGAAAAACACCCCGTAACTCCGAAACGGTAACAGATATTGATATGCGGTCTTCACCATCATGTTTTTGATGAAAATTGAGCTCCAGACACCGATATTAGTTTTCGTCTATCTCCTATAGAAAAGGGTGTTTCCATTTAAAAGCGTCGAATTTGATCCACCCTGTACACAATAAAATGAAAAAACTTACCAAGACTCCAAGCTCGAACTTCTTTTGCTCGGGAATATAGTTCGGTACTTGAAGTAGCAAATGTAGACTGATCTCGATAATCCCCGACTTGGACCCTATAAGTTGACTACCTAAGGCTATAAAAATAAATACAGATATTAAAAACCTTTATGATGTTTTTTATTAGTGTTTGGAACTTACATTGTTGCCTATAGTGATGCGTCAAGTTGATCAAAACTTTAAGTGTCACTAAAAGAGCCTCTCTAATAATCGCCCCTGTGGAAACTTTATCAGTTATATCCGTCACAGGATACAATGGTATTTCCCTATCACAAAGTTTGTACAAACTGACCAATGTGTCTATCATCATGCCGCTATTGTACTTGAGAATATACGTTTGATTTTCCTCATTATTTTGTGTTACCTGCATGAAAAGAAATATTGTTAATTACCTTACAACATATAAATAATCCTCCTATGGTAATCGCAAAACATTTTCCTTTGCACGTCATCAATCATATCGACCTTGACAGTAAAGTCTATAAACCTGACTAAATAAAATTTTGGCAAAAATGTTCTAATTTGTTGTATAATCTAAGATACCGAGCAGCTCTTCATTTTACTTTTTCTTTTACTTTTTTAGAGCAAATGATTGTAACAGATATTTTATTTAGATTAAAGCTGCAAAAATTAGTTTAAACCGAATTTTACAGTTGAGGGTTGGAACCTTTGGTGTTACACAGCAAAATAAAAACACTAAATCACCACAATACACCAAAACACTTTTACTTTTACACTGGACGCGCGTTTCGCTAACCATGTTAGCATCATCAGCAGATGATTATAAACTAAAGTACAATCTACAAGTTGGGCGTTTATATACTCGCTCAGTGGGCACCGAGTGGGCGTAACAGTTAGATTTCCGCCACTAGAGTAGTAGGAACAAAGAACTTGAAGGAATTGGACCGTTGACTCTGTTCATACTATCTTTACATTTATTAATTCTGATGCTTTCATATGCATCTAATTGCCTGTAATTTGAGACTTGTTTAATTAATTTTAAATTATTAAGATCTATACAATGTTCTTTATCAACAATATGTTCGTCAACGCAAGATTTATCCGGTCTACCATATCTTGAAGGAATTACTGAACGCAAATGGTCTCGACAACAAAACTGTGACTGAATATATTGAGCTTACATCGTTATGTATGAAACAAAACTGTTTTCAATTTAATAACAACTTTTTTGAACAGCGGGAAGGTACAGTAATGGGTAATCCATTGTCTCCATTTTTGGCTAATTTATTCATGAGCAGGTTTGAAGTGGAGGCTAAGAATCAGTTTGAGTATTTTCTAAGAGTATGGTTTAGGTATGTGGATGATATTTTTGCTGTTTTTGACACACATTCAGACACCATAGATAATTTTATTTCTAAGTTAAATAATCGTTTTCCTTCCATTAAATTTACGCATGAAATTGAGAACAACGACAGATTACCATTTCTAGATGTATTAGTTATTAGAAATACTAATAATTGCCTGGAATTTGATATCTATAGGAAAAATACGACCACACGCAGATATATTCCTAATGAATCACATCATAGTGTTGAACATAAAATGGCTAGTTTAAATTTCTTAGTTCATAGATTACTTAGTTTCCCACTTTCCAACGAAAGATATGAAACAGAAAGAGATTACATTAGGAATGTAGCTGAGTGTAATGGATATTCACTAGTTGATAAATTAATTAGAAAACGTAGGTATAGATTAATGATTTCTGAAAATTCGACTTTTCAAGTGGAGAAAGATACGTCTAAATATTTTTCGATACCCTTTGATAGAGAGTTATCCCGTTGTCTAAAAGGAATTTTTAAGAATGTCAATTATAAACTTGTGTATAGTGCTAATAATAAATCACAACAATTATTAGGTAATCCAAAAGATAAAACACTTCCACTGGAAAGGTCGGGTATTTATGAAATTTCTTGTAAAGAATGTAATCAGAAATATGGGCAAACTAGAAGATCAATATTAACTAGATTTAAAGAATATTTAGCTCAGATAAGATATGGTAGACCGGATAAATCTTGCGTTGCCGAACATATTGTTGATAAAGAACATTGTATAGATCTTAATAATTTAAAATTAATTAAACAAGTCTCAAATTACAGGCAATTAGATGCATATGAAAGCATCAGAATTAATAAATGTAAAGATAGTATGAACAGAGTCAACGGTCCAATTCCTTCAAGTTCTTTGTTCCTACTACTCTAGTGGCGGAAATCTAACTGTTACGCTCAGTGGGCTCTGACTCGGTTGGCTAGATTTTGCCACGCCCACTCGGTGCCCACTGAGCGAGTATATAAACGCTCAACTTGTAGATTGTACTTTAGTTTATAATCATCTGCTGATTATGCTAACATGGTTAGCGAAACGCGCGTCCAGTGTAAAAGTAAAAGTGTTTTGGTATATTGTGGTGATTTAGTGTTTTTATTTTGCCGAATTTTATTATCGCTATGTTGGTCACATTGCGCCGTGTTCAGCAATGTTGTCCTTTATAATTTGACAATTATCCTAGTGTCAGTCATTGTTTTATATAATATCGCGTCGTTGTTAAATCTCTGTGAGTAATTCTCGTTTTTCTGCCTATTTTCATAGTCTTTTTTTTAAAATTGCTCTTTTAAGAACTAAATTTTCGAGTTTTTGTACTGCATTTCTTGAAATTGTGTGTTGAAAATATGCCGAAGCATTTAAACAGACGAAGCAAAGAACATGTAGCTCTGTTTTTTTTAACTATCTTGAACGAGAACGTGACAATAAAGGTCGTTTATTACCCTTGACTGCTGTCAGAAAAGTAACTTTGATTGATTCATTATACCACTTTCTAAGTTAGTTTTCATTAAATTCTGTGATTATTATTAGTTTGTGCATTAATAGCACCTTCTTACTTGCTATTACCACTTATGGCGTTGTAAGATGTAGATAAATAAATAAATAATCCATAATAACGATTTAATAATCTTCATAAAGGACTAGTTTTTGCCAATATGTACTAAGTAAAATAAACTATAAAACAAATAAATCAATTAAGCACTAAAATATTAGTTATTAAATTAAAAATAAAACGTAAAACTCTTTAAAAAATGATATAATAAATATGTTGTTTGTCAATTTAAAATTAAGATTCATCTCATAAATCCATCACAATCTGGCAGCGCTGTCGCCATCGCTTGTCACGCAAAGTTGATCACGTGCATGAGAAATTGTTTCGCGATAACCATATAAGGCTAGTAAAGACTTTAAGCATCTACCAAGAGAGTAAGACGGCAACAACATGCACAATGCTACAAACCAGGGTAGACAAAGGATATTAAAATGTGTTAATTTTTTTAATTTCCAAACAGACTTACATTTTCTAATACCCTAAGACACCGATCGACTTTCTTAATTTTGTCCAACAGTAGATCGGTCCAGGACACGACATAGTCCGAAACTTGCCGACAGCACTCGTGAATCGTCTTCATTATGTGCTCCAAACCTCCCAACTCTCGCAGCTCCTCCTTGAACCACTCTCCCGCTCTTTTTGACGTTAACGACAGAAGAGTTTCCATGGCCAATTGGCCAGTCTATTGATAAAAGAAATACGAATAAATAAGAATAAATAAAACAGCTACACTTAAGTGCTTAATTGTAGAAAATAGCTTAAGAGCCAGAAAACATGTTTTTTCTTTAAATAAATGTCAGAAAACATTCCTATAAATAAACCCAATCAAATCTTAAATACAACATACCGGCTGCGTCTCAAAACCCCTATAACTTTTATTTTTTCAGATAAAAAAAACGAGATTTGATATGTTAATATATGACATAAATTAGGATTGATTGACGTATTCAATTGTTTCACCGGAATTGACCTCAACTTTTGATTTTTAAGGCACTATCGGTATTTTTTACTTTATTCGATAGAAAATGACACTCTGAATCGAATGACATATCATATGTCAACTTTTGACGTTTTTGCATATGGTTTATTGAAAAAACAAAAATTTGACTCAAAATACCAAGTGTGTGGTATAAATTATCCGTAAAAAAATGCTTTTTCCAAATATGCTAATGAGCTACTCTCGTTCCATTTGAAAAAATTGAAATATGATTAAAAATACGATTTGACCATTTTCTAACTGGCCAGGACAAGACACTAAAAACATTAGACGATCAAATCTATTTTTCCAAGGCTCCTTGATTAAGAATTAGTCTTTTTAACATAGCCATGGCACTCTAGATTGAATTTTAAAATACGATTTTTTATTAAGCGAGAATCTCAAAAGTTGACATATGATATGTCATTCTATTCAGAATGTCATTTTCTATGGAATACAGTAAAAAAATACAGAGAGTGCCATTAAAAAATCAAAAGTTGTTGTCATTTCCGGTGAAACAGGAAGTAACCGAAAACAATTGAGCATGTCAATCAATCTTAATTTATGTCATATACTAACATACCAAATCTCGTTGTTTTAACTGAATAAATAAAAAAGTTATAGGGGTGAGCCACTTTTGTGACGCACTCGGTATATAAACCGTTCATAAAATAAGGCGACAGCAAACGGTAACATTGTTGGGGTGCGAGTTGACTAGTGGGACGTAAAAGCTAGTCAGAAAACATTACCATCAATCAAATCAATCAATATTTCAAGTACAGCCTATAAGATACTTAGCCTCAGATTAAAAGTAGTTAAAATGTCCCAATTTGCAAGACATCAAATAAAAAATCGGTAAAAAAACTTTTAAGTTAAACGGTTTTATCTTATGTGCACTGAAAACTAGAAAATAATAATAACAATTAGGTATTTTGAACTTCTAGTTCAGAAATATTTTAGTACTAGGCAGAATAGCTTTTAGGCATATTAGACTAAAATAAAAACGTGGGGCCCATTAACTATTGCTGTAATACTTTCTTCTAAGTGTGGATTGCATCGACTTACTATAATCGTAACTGGAGATTTTGATAATCAATAACCAGCCGTGGCGGCTTCACCAGCGAACGCCGAGCTCATGATCTACCAAAGTATAAAGATGTGCTTTGCGATAGGTAGGATTTCAGAGGGGCCCCACGTTTTTATTTTAGTCTAATATGCCTAAAAGCTATTCTGCCTAGTACTAAAATCTTTCTGAACTAGAAGTTCAAAATACCTAATTGTTATTATTATTTTCTAGTTTTCAGTGCACATAAGATAAAACCGTTTAACTTAAAAGTTTTTTACCGATTTTTTATTTTGTTTGTTTTTTATTTATTGTTTCCATGTTGTTCCCACGAGTAATGGACATTTTAACGGTCGACCCCACCAGAGGTTCAGTAGAGGGGCAAGGCTATAATATACAAGTGGCGCCCAATCTTGAGGGGAAAACGCTTGCGACATTACATTTTTAGCCACCCTAATGCCATACAGTCCTCAGCACGTTTTAACCTATTACCTTAACTTGGGTGGTAAAGCTACCGCTAACTACGTAGGTACATCTAATCGCCTATTTTTTTTATCTGTCCTAACGTCACACAATCTTGGATACAACTGTTCTGGACACAACTACTCATGCCCTCACCTAATACACCATTTTGTAACGACGTCCATCTTGGATTTTAAATTTTGTCATAATCACAGTATTCTACTAGTGTAGCCCTTTCATTTGATACCCATATTGAGGGGGTTGTGGAAAAATATGAAATCCGCCATTTTGTACCGGCGGCCATCTTAGATTTACAATGTTATTGATATTACTATATTGTATTGTCATCGGAACTAAAGGTGTGTACTAAATTTCAGATCAATCTGATAACAGGAAGGTACTTAAATTTCAATTTCTAATTTTGACCCAAATAAACAAACAAATAAATAAATACCGTACGGGTCGAGCTAAATAAAACCGTTTAAAAAACAAATTTTCTGCTTTGTCAACTTTGAATTAAATAGTTTCTTGATCAAAACCCACTAGATATTTCTAATTCAAGTAATATTTAAAAAACCTTAAAGTACTAAGATAAAAAACAAACTAATACATACCGTAATATTTTCTAAATTCAGATGCATCGCATGTCCCTGACTCTGTATGTCCGCGCACAACTCTCGCACCTTCTGCTTATTCTTCTCCAACTGTCCCGTACTAAGGCCACACACGTCCAGCGCCTGCTGATAACTCACATCAGACTCCAAGAGATTCAACATCAGCTCCAAACAGTCCCGGTCCAAGTCCATGTTCAGCCTGTCCTGACTCAGGACGAACATAACCGTCGCGGTACACAACCCCAAGCTCTGATCTTTGGTAGCGTCGTGCAAGGCCTTGAAAAACTTGGCAACGATGCCGTGAGCCCGCACGTGCATCCTGAACGGAGCGGCCATACACTTTGTTGCCAGCGTTATCGCTGACAAACATCTGGTGCTTATCGGGTTGTTATCCTGTAAAGCGTCAAGAATGTATTCCACGTCATCGTTAAATTCCTGAAACTCGCCGATTTCTTGGATTTGGTGGGCTTTTTTGACGTTTCTCACGACCATGTAGTAGGGTTTGTCAGTCTTAGGGCAATGCACGCTGGTAGGGCCGGGTTCGTCCTCGACTTTAGACAGCCTGGTTAAAGGCTCTCCGATGTATTCATCAAAATCCAGCTCTGTGGTTTCTGGATTGGTTCTGGCAGGGGTTTCCCCGCCGGGTTTCCCGTCTTTATCGTCAATCCATTTGTGCACGTACCTGGCTCTTCTTTTCTTAGAATCGTCGTCCACCAAGGCGCGGCTTTTAAAAATGCTTCCTTTCTTCTTGGAGATGAGTAATTTTACTGGAGGTGGTTCGGGAGGTTTTTCGAGGATTTTGTCCAATATTTCGTGCTTGTGCTTCTCAATTTCATTAATATTCTCGTCGGGACTAGGAACTATCTGTTTAACTTCCATTTCAGGCATCGTACTGTTGGAATCACTATCCGTACACCATTCTTCCTCTATCTCTTTTCCCTTAAATTTCTTCGCGATCTGAGTGTTCTCCTCTTTCACAACCGGAACTGGAGCCTCAACTTCCTTTACAACTTCCGGTTCAACTTCTTCGAGCGGTCGTTTATCATTGTTAACCACCTTGTTCGTCGCAGAAGCTTCTTTCCTACTCCTAGTTTCCCTAAGGAAAGGCTTCTTCACGGCATTTACTACAGGCTCCACCGGTTTTTCTACCACCTTCTCTTTGTTTCTGTTTCGACTTCGAAGCTCGCGGACGACGGGCACATTTTTGGTCTTCTTTGGAGGTGATTCTGGTTCCTTTTTCGCGGATTTGGTAAGTTCAATCTCCTTCGCAATGTTCTCGATGGTTTCCGGCGTTTCTTCGATGGATTCTTCGGTTGGTTCGGGGAGTTTTATTTCCTCTTTAATGACATCTGTTGGTGGTTCTTCTACCTTAACTGGGGTGGGTTCTGGAGGAGGCTCTGGGGATTTTCCTGACAGGTCTTCTTCTTTTATGTCCATTTCTTGTTCGCCTAACGAGGCGTGGTTTGAATGGTTCTCCTCTTGAACTGGAATTAAACGTTAGTATTACAATATAATTAAAAAATATATACAGATAAGATGAAGGTAGTTTCCTGATTTATAGTTTCCTGTGTATCAGGAAGAATATTGATTATTCATAACAATAAAGATATGCTAAAACCTTAGATCTTATAATCTTCGTGGATAAAGCTATGCCATATGTATATTACACGCGACTTCGTCTACGGGACTTTCACATGCATTTTTCTATTTATTCCTTTCTAGAACAAGATTATCTTATAAGACTATCCGTCTCTGAATACGCTACTGAGCATGCGCAGAACGATATTACACGTGAATGCTAACTTGGAGCGTTTTTTTCGCTGCGTTGACAATAATTACTAAAAATATAATCCATTAAAAAATTTTAATCAAGATATAACTGATACGTGTATTTATTATTTTGAAAATATTTGTCATAATAATAATAATAATAGCTCCCGTATATAGCGTTTAACGCCTTGGGATATATGATTTATTTTTTGTTTAAAATTTATATAAAAAGTATAATGTTATTGTTATGTAAGTATAAGTTTATATTTTCCCAAGGCGAAAATATTTGTCATATTATTTCAATATACCTTTATATATAAATTTTAAACAAAAATTAAATCTACTTGCTTCATCCACGTTACCGTAGATGGAGCTGAAGGTTTTGTAGGCTATATATAAACAAACAAAATACAAGAAGCAGAAAAGGGGCCAAGAAAACCCTACATATATGCTTATTCTCTGCATTAAGTTCATCAGACTGAAGGGAACAGCCATTCGACGACCGGTTTCGGAGATTTATCTCCATCGTCAGGCCGACTCTGCTGTAACCCTCAATCTGACTAACGAAAAGCAGAAAATAGCATTTGAGTACAAAACGTACTACTATGGAGAGTGCCAGACGCTCTCGCCATCTAGTTCTCGCCATCTCGCCATCGTTGGTCAGATTGAGGGTTACAGCATAGTCGGCGTGACGATGGAGATAAATCTCCGAAACCTGTCGTCGAATGGCTGTTCCCTTCAGTCTGATGAACTTAATGCAGAGAATAAGCATATATGTAGGGCTTTTTTGGTCCCTTTTCTGCTTCTTGTATTTTGTTTGTTTAAAAATTAAATCATATAACGATAAATTCTTTTTTAAAAATGTTTTAAAATACTACTTTGAACTTGCTATGAGGAATGGAAACGTGATTAGGAAATTTACCTTTGATTTTTTTTCTTTAAATAATTAATATACTAATAAAAAATATTATCCAATAAATAATTAATATTCGAACAAAGATATTTATTTTCTCGAATTTATATATTTATATTTTCTATTTTATGACATAAGAATGTCATATGCCTAAAAGAAAGACAGAAGAGTGGTCAATCAGTGTCAAAGGCAAACATAGGTCGCGTTCATCAGGATGTAGCGCTACCGCAGCGATCACTAATTTTCTGCTGAATGCGCCGATTAGTTGTGAGCGCTCTGGGATCAGTCGCCATTTTTTCCATCAGATTTAAAATACGCTACGCTACCGATGCATGATGGATTAAACGTCACATACGCCAAATGTCACAAAATGTTTTGGAAAACGAAAACAAAGCATTTTGTATATTGTTCTCGGTTGACTAATCCCCTCGATTTGTGCCAAAAATGGGTGAAAACAATTTAATATGCATTACTTATGATTTTGATCTAAAAAGCACGTTCAGCAGAACAACCAATCGATGGTACATCGCTCACTGATCAACTTGTCCTGATGAACGCGACCATAATCACAAAGTCGAATGTCGCTGACGCGTCTTCAACAAAAATGAAGCGAATTTACTTATCCACGAAGTGTATAAGGCCAAAACACCAATTTACCTGTTTTTTCGGCTGTATTCGCATCTACTCCGTGTAGCTCTGCCATCGCATCCTCCACGCTCTTGTCCAAAGAACTGTCAACGTCATCTTTAGCCTCATTCGCATGGTTTTCTTCAGGCTCAGGCAATACAGGTTTCTCTTCGGCTTTAGGGGAATCCGGCCTTAGAAGACTGTCATACATTGCCTTACGTTCAAGCTCGTATTTTTCTGCCGGTATGTACTGAGGCGATAAATCGTTCTCTAAGGTCTCTGTAAGAAAATAAGTCACGTATAGTCTGTACAATGACTCGGGGAAAATTTCGATACCAATTTATATATTTCGCTAAAAAAAGGACTTGGACTTTCGCTTGGACAGACTATACTTATAGTCTATAAAATGAATAACTTTGAATTTTGACCGTTATTTTTTACCAACATGGCAAATATAAAAGCCCTCTATCCAAAAAGTTACTGATATTCTTTAAAATGAGTGCCTGAACGAATCAGATAGGTAACTCTTTTTACTTTCGTGAAATAGAAAAGGAAAATAATAAAACAAGTGACAGGTTCCTCTTCTTGCAAAAAATCAACGCGAAATGTCATAATTGACAAAAGTAAAATGTCATCAGCCTTTGACATTTCTAAATATCAGACCAATGCCGTCTCTAATAGAACAGCATTGGAGCGAGATTTATGACGTCACGCTAGTTAGATACCACGGATTAATAAATATGTTGTAGAATACACGGAAAACATAATTATTCCTCGTATTTTTGGTTTGTATTTTAAAAATGATAAAGTTTACATGAACTATACATAATATACAGTTAATAAATACAATATATATACCTATTTATAGTAATAAATACTTTGGCAAATAAATTATGAACCATACAAATGCATCAAATGTTTTACAATATACAAATATTGAATAGGTACATAAGATAATGGGTAAAATGTAAAATATATTTTAAATTTTGGGGTTTAAAAATCTAATTTAACAAAAAACATTCAATATCTACTAATAGTGATGTATTATTATTTGCATTCAAAAAATTTATATGTATATTTTGCAAGCATCAATGTGCGAAAAATTATATTTGCAAATAATACAATATCATAGAAAAAAAGGCGTCAGCGATGGCTATGAAATGAAGATCGCTGTCATTTTATATGTAAAATTATTCTAAAATTTTTGATTTTTTGGGATTTAGGTTCGGGAAAAACGCTGATTAAGTTTTCATTTGGTTTTTCATTATTTTTTTTGGTTAAAAAAAACGTTATAGCTAACGTTTATAGCCTTCATCAGTGTTGTGTCATATGAAAAAAATAGTGTCGAATATAATCTAAAAATTACATATACGAGGAATGTTTTCCATGTATTCTACAACATAATTAATCAGTAGTATCTAACTAGCGTGATGTCAGAAATCTCGCTCCGAGGCTGTTCTATTAGAGACGGCATTGCATCAGCACGGCCCGCGAGTTGCTAACCTAATAAAATTAACACTAGAAAAGCCCGCGGGAACTGTCAAATTCAAAGTTATTCGTTTCACAGACTATACATCGTCCTGCACTTAACCCAAAAAAAAAAACATTTATTTAATTCTATTTTTAGTATTTGTTCTTATAGCGGCAACATAGATACATTATCTGTAAAAAATTCAACTGTCTAGCTATAACTGTTCATAAGATAGACCTTTGTGACAGACGGACGGACGGACAACGAAGTCCGAAGTAATAGGGTTCCCGTTTTTACCCTTTGGGTACGGAACCCTAAAAACGACAACTTTAAAAGAAAACTTCCATTTTTATCCCTGACATTGAATAAAATACAACAGATATACTGGTTTCTATTTAAAAAGGCCAGCTTTTATTGTTTTTAGTTAGAGAACTGGTAACGCGCTTTCAATATCTAGTGAAATCGACTGGCTGTCTAATGAATAAGCTCTGCTCTTACCTTCTTTTGGGTTAGTAAATAAGGAGAACTCGCTGGGAGTGTCCGCAGTGACTGGACTACTGCTGGGATCCATTTGCATGCTCCTTCTTGCGCTGCGAGTGATGCGACGGGTCGGAGGTTTGTTGTCAGTTTGCGAATTGGACGATTCCCGAAGAGCACGCGGTGATGTGGTGGCTGACGTAGAAGGCGTTGAACTGAAAACGAAACAAAATAAAACGTAGTAACACGTAATTCTAAAGAAATATACAACATCCTGGCAACACTGTGTTAAACCACTATGGAACCATATGCTAAGCCCGCGTAAAAGTACATTTTGGCCTTTAAATTTATAAAAATATAAAAAAACTTCTAACTTGAAATATATTTTATTGTTTACTTTATTTTACCCGGTATTTTATTTCATTTTTGGATTCTAGGACATAAAATAAGGCATTTATTATAAGGCTTTAATATGCCTAAAAGCTTTGGTTTTTTAGATATTTAGAGATATTTAAATATGCATGCTATAATAAAAAAGGTTGTTAACACCCTGTACAGGGTGGGTCAAATTCGACGCTTTTAAATGGAAACACCGTTTTCTATAGGATATAGACGAAAACTAATATTGGTGTCTGGAGCTCAATTTTCATCAAAAACATGATGGTGAAACCCGCACATCAATATCTGTTACCGTTTCGGAGTTACGGGGTGTTTTTCAAAAATGTGCATATTTATCAAATTTCCAACGCACCTTTTTACATAGAATTTAATGGTTTAAGTATAATTTTGTTAAAATTAATAATTTAAGAGTTATCAACAGAAAAATTGATTTTTTATTTGGGACACCCTCTATATTTTTAATTAACTGAAAAGAATTTAAAATTACCTTTCCAAAAATACAGCACACTTGATATTTTGTTATAATCCCCTTCGAAATACAGAATTTTTAAAAGTTCGTCACTTTTAACTAGTAGGCTTTGGACCCCTTATTGATGATATGCCCTTAATGGAACTCGAAAATATATTTTTCCAGCAAGACGACGCACCGCCTCAGAACGCTGAAGTTATCAGCAAATTTTTACAGCCAATTTCAAGAATAATTGAATAGATCCCAGCCGTTGGCCGTCGAGGCCGCCTGACTTAGTGCCCATGGATCTAATCCTATGGATATATTTGCGGAAGAATATAAAGGTTCCTTATTCTTCCGTATAATCTAGACAAGAATTAGAAATACTTAGCAGTTATGAGTGGGTATCTTTCACCCCCACTGAGTTAATGAATTACGCGGGAAATGTTCAAAAACGGCCCCGTCTGTCCATAACAGAAGACGGTCGATATGTCGAACACCTGTAGCAAAATCTCATGTCTTAATTTGCTATTTATTTTTATTGTTATTAGATATAGTTTAAATGTGTTGATGTTGGTTAAATATATTTTAAATTGTTATAAAATTCTGCATCTCTCATGGCAAATAATATTTTGCATCCAAAAATTAAGTAAAATAGCGGGTGTTCCATAAGAAAAAATATATCTTTGGTATGGATCTTAGTTCTGACACACCCTGTACATTTCAAAATAATTTTAAATTATGCACATTGTCTTCCCACATATACCCATAAAATATTTTGTTTCTATATTTTTCCGTTTTTGCATAATTAACAAAATTTATTACGAGCAGGTAAGCTAACCTATATTTTTTAATACTTATTCAATAATTAAACTGCAAAACAGTCAGCTTAAATCCATTTATTGCTCATCTTGTTTTAACTAGTCCCACAAAATTATGGAAAAAGAATTTAAATGTCTTCAAAAAAATAATCATTTAATTTTTGGTTTGTTTGGACCAAGCAGCAAAACCAGCTTGCCAACCAAAGCAGCAAAATCAGAATAACCACCTATTTCAATCTATGTTGATCACTCTGTATACCAATATAAATATCAATCACTCATTATTAACATAATAAGTAAACAAATTCTTCAGTGCAAGTACATATTTTTCAAAAACATAATTAAACTGTTTAAAATTATCTAATTACCTTGGAGTAACTGTGCTTTCGGACTCATCAGTATCATTTAACAACTGTGACTTCCCCCTACAAATCCTCAACACGATAGGAGCCCTGGGAGACTCGCTTGTGTCACTTCTGTCACTGTTTCTTCTCTTACTCGATGTGTTTGGTGGTACCGTCACCTTTTCATGTGCGTTTTTCGATGAGAAAAATTTCTTTGGTGAAGAATTTCCTTTTGTATGCCTACTAAAACATTTTTGTTATGATAAAACGCTAAAAAACTAAACAAAACATGGACTAACTTGTCTCCATCATGATTAGCTCGAGATTTTCTAGTGTTAGAGCCATAACTTGCTGTAGATTGGTAAGTAGGTGTAGTGTTGACTTCCTGAGAATCAGGATTGCGACTCTTGAAGAACTTTTTTGGTTTTGGTGTGGCATCGGCAGCTGAAGTGGAACTAAAAAATGACAAACACATTCAAAGAAATACACAAACTCAAGTTTTTCAAACAAAAATTTGAAAAACAGTAAGTACCTGTAAATGTTCATTGTCTATCAATCATAACCTTATTTAATATTAACCACTGGTGTAATTATATGTATAAAAATTATCTAAGACATACATTGTTTATCTATATCAATGCTGATAGAGTTTGGTAAATAATCTTCAAAAGATAACTTGACTTTTTAATATCTTTCAATCGTGTACTGTTGTTTATATTTTATGAATTAAAGGTAAATTATATCATTTAGTTATAATATATCCATATAAAATGAATAATCAATTAGTAGGTATCTATAAAAATATATTTAAAAACCTCTACACTGTGGAAATGTTTTGTTAACACTTATTTATCAGTATTTGATTCATTTTAACATAATTCATTAGTAAAAAAACAGTTGTTTTCAAAAACAGATACACCAAATAATTAACTAACCTGGAATCATTGTCTGGTCTTCCATTTAAAGTTCGTATACTCGTAAAGCTGGTAATGCCCCATTTACCAACCGACGCTGCAGACCTCGCAGCCGAAGGCTTATTAGCATTCTCTTTAAAGAGCGTATCAAAATGAAAATTAGAATGGCTTGCGCCCCTTCTGTACTTCCCAAAACCTCTAGACATGGTTATCTCGGTGTAAAATTTTGGATTACACTATATAGATTAATAAAAACGTTAACTTCTCGTAAAACATGTTGGTTTCCTAGATCTAATAATGAATAACTAGTAAACCGCTACTTATTATCCAGAGTTTACGGATTAAACACTATTTATAAAGGCTATTTAAACGCTGGCATTGATTAACACATCGCCATTTTTCTTTAATAAAACAACTGTTCGTTTAGCGTTTTTCTGGTTGCCAGGTTCAGTGAGATTTTCCGATTTCTTCTAATAACTTTCCCATTGAATTTCCTCTAAAGGATTTCTCGTTACTTGTTCCAATTTTAGTAAAATTTTACTTTTTCGCTTGTCAAAAACTGTGGCATAAACACGCTACGCGAGTAAATAAGTGCTACGAAAACTCTACGGATAATTACAGCGCTACGAACTTAGGTGCATATTCCTGTTTTTAGATCTATGGTACGCTTAAAATTTTAAAGAAAGAAATTTAAAATATATTTAATGAAAAATACCACACAGTTAACTGCTGAAAATAAAAATACATAATTTGAGAAGTATGGAGAATTTTTTAAATTTACCGTTATTAAATAAATTACCTATAAATTAATAATTATTACTGGTTGCCTAACATACTTTTTTAGTTTAGACATACATAGTCAACCAGCAAAACAGAGCCCGCCAAAACATTTTTATTTCCAATTTGCCCATATTTTTAAATGGTATTCTTTTCTTCCTCACAACTCACAACAGATGATATTGGTTTTGTTTCTACAACACAATTTACTGGATAGTAAATACTTTGACAAACTTGCTTTAATAAATTAATATGCATATTCCGCATTTATTTTCTTTCCATATATAACTAAATCTACAATACAATAAATGGTTCAAAATACTTTTTAGAAAAAAAATTAACGTTGTGTTAAGGTAGAACTTCATTATTATTTAATTTATTGTACATTAATAATTCTAGACACATACAGATATTGATTATAGTTATCATGATGTAAGTGGATTTTCCTAAGTATATTACAGACTCAGAAATAAACTAATTTAATAAGTATACCTAATAAGTTAGGCTTATAAGTACTAGTTTGAAAAGTTTATTTGATTCATATATTTTCTCCTACGTACACATTTTATTAAAGTAATTTTCTTTTATTAGGTAAGGATACCAAATATTAATTTTTCGAAAATAGTGTCAGGTTTATGTTTTATGAAAAAATGAGCTAAAATAAATAAGTTATAAAATGTTATAAAAAGAATGACTTTTTTTCTGACTAGTTTACTAGATATTACTTGATATTACCATAGAAGGCAAATTGTGAATCAGTAGCAAATCCCTATTTGTCAAATTTGTGTACGTGCATTTAATATGTAATTCTAATCAGTAATTAAAAAAATCTCATTTTATTACTTTAGTTATTTTTATAAACAATTCAATCAAGGTTTATTATGCTATAATTTTTCTCGATGATCCGTAATTAATTATAATATTGAATAAATATTCTCAACACGACGAACGAATCCTTCTCTGATCCATTCATACATCTAAAAATGTCGTACACGTTTGACAAAGATATTTGGAATATATTATATATTAAAACAGTAATATGACATTAATGTCAATCGCTGTTAAAGCTCAGTATCTTTTAGAGTTTGCTGGAGATCAGTGAAGAGTTTAAAGAGTTAAATTATCTTGTCAAAATGTGTCATTTTATTCGAGCAATGTTTTTGGTAAGTGAATTGATAAAAATTTGCGAGCGTCGATATCAATAAAATAATTTAGTTTTTTGATATTAAAAGAGAAATATTTTTTCTTGCAAATTGTAAAAATTAATAACCCTATACAGGGTGAGTCCTAAATAAGTGCAAATATTTTCAGTGGTTGTATATATTACGACCCCAGGAATACGTCTATGAGTTTTTTTCGGAAAAAAAAATATTGAAAATCGGTGCATTTTCTTTTAAATTTTCCTGCATATTTTAGAAAACTTTTTAGAACTGCCTGTTCACCGTAAATTTTCGCACAGTATTCGTCAATCTTTGATATTACCATGGTTACGGCACTAAAAGGGATGGAAATACTCTAAAACTCCGGTGGCTCTCAAAATTTTTTAAAAATAAATCAGTTTTTTTAATAAAAAACGGTAAAGAGGAAAATATGTCTATTTTACCGAGATCTACCAGCCCTAAAAATATTTGCACTTATTTAAGACTCACCCTGTAGAATTAGAAAATAGACTATTAAAAAATGTAAATATTGTATTTTTAGCGATTTTTTTATTGCATTCAAAAAATTATTTTTTCTCAAATTTTAAACTAATAAGTCATTTAAAAATCATTTTTACTCAGCATAAAAATAAATTACAACCTTCTTAAGTCCAACTGGTAGTAATCGCAATGGCGCCAATTAAAAAATAAAGAATACGTGCCAAGTAAATTTCTAGGGCTTGACCTCGCCAACATTATCATTATTATCGATTGTCATTCACAGCCCTTTTTAACGCCGTTTTTTTTTCGATCGTAATATAGCTATAAGTCCTCTAACACACTAATTTGTTTTTCAGTTCGTGATTATCGCATTATCACTGACAATCATCTTAGCAGCGCCTGCACCATTGCCACGCCCAAACCCTCAATGGTTAGTGAGCCCTTACGCTTACGCTTATCCATCTTATTATAACAGCTACTACTACTCAGCTCCAGCTTACGGTAAGCCATTCGAAGCATTCTATATTCACCAGATATAAATAAAATAAAAAATAGAAAACTAACATAAATAAAACACCTTAAAAAAACAAGATTTAGTAATTTAAAAAAAATGTATATTGCTAAAATGTTTTTATTTTTTAGGATACTACATTTTGTAGGATACCTAGTATAATGTAGCCAACGAAGACGATAATTTCCTGGATTTGATACTAACCGAATAATAAAACAATGTAACTAGGCAAGACAAATTTCTTGCTGCATAGAGGATGACAGTTATTACTCATAATAAATAAAAAATTTAATGTTTTTATAATAAGTGTTGAAGACAATATATTAGTGATTAAATATATAATATCGAGAAAAGTATTTTATTAATCCATTCGTAAGTGTACAAACTCTGGATAGTAATGTTGCTAATAGCCTTGTATAAGGCTAATAGTAAGTTGTTCTAGCGTAAATTTATTTAAATAATTAAATTCAATTTCAATTATTTGATATGTGTATTGGTCAAACTTTATAGATAGGTAATGCTAAGCTGATGCCAGGTCCAGACCAAGCAGACAAAACAACAACAAGCCAGAAACATTCATGTTTTACGATAAAATTGCGACAAATCCAATATATTTCTGCGACATTTTTGTCTCATTTTTGTTTTGTTTCAAAATTCGGAGACTTTTCAATGTCCCGTCTCGAGTCGGTAAAGATCAAAGTGCCTATGTTTTGTTCGCATATTTTTATATTTCGAAAAATTAAAAACTATTGAAGAAGGACCTCCAAAGCATATTTTGAATATTAATACTAAATTAAAATCGTGCATTCGTCATTTTAGTGAAAATGTTTATAAAAGTGGTTATGTGGTTGTAAGGCACTCAATAAACTTTTTTATTGGTTGGTCTACTATTTTAGCTATAAAATATACATTCACAGCTTTGTTTTTTACCGAAATATAGTACTTTTTTTTAAATTTGTTTGATTATGTTTTTAACCTGTTATTTTTTTTGTATATTTTATTTTTGTAACTTCAAAATTAATGACTTTAATAAAAAAAAGAGAAAAAACTTTATTGTGTTCGTAAAATGTTAATTGCAGTTACTTATTACATCCCCTATATTAATTTATTATTAAATATTATTAATATTAGTTATTATTACTATTAGTCCAACCCACAGCAATTTTGAATAAAAAAATAATGGTGTTTAAGATAATTACAAAGAACCTAATTTTAAAGTTTTAACATCCTGTAACTAAAATTATTTATTTCCATAACTATCTTTATAGGAACTTTTTTTCATATTTTTTGATGAGGAATCAATAAGAACTTAGTTAAAACTTTCGCAAGTTAATGATATTACATTTTTTTAAAGGTTGCTATTAGAGTTGGATCAAGGCAAATTAATAAAATTACGTTTATCTCATCAAGGAGGCCGAAATCGGCAAAATTTAAAGAGATGACTTTTGATCGGCTTTAAACTGCTTACACTACTCCGTTAACAAGAGAAAAAAAGTCAGTGGCGTACATGATTTTTAGAAAAATATTCCAGTGATAACCCATATATGCACGTCCCTGGTGAATATGTCGACACAATAACTTTTACCCTCAAAATTTCAATCGAAATGCTAAAAGTACTTAGAACATCCTGTAGCTACGAAACAAAGCAGAATCGGACCTATGTTGATATGAAAAATAAGTCTTATTTTTAAGTGAGGAATCTCCTCACGAGAGATGGCACATGTTTTTTGAAACACCCTTTATTTCGTATATTTTTCATTTTATTGATTTTATGGAAAGCACTGTTCATTAAAATGTTGTATCCTATGTTATAGGGCATGTTTCTCTCTACAATTTCCTGTCTCATAATGTACCGTTTGTGTCAAGGAAGGGTTCATATTTTCATAGTTGTCGATTTTCGAAAGAAATCAGTACATTTATTTTATTTCGTATATTTTTCATTTTATTGATTTTATGGAAAGCACTGTTCATTAAAATGTTGTATCCTATGTTATAGGGCTTGTTTCTCTCTACAATTTCCTGTCTCACAATGTACCGTTTGTGTCCAGGAAGGGTTCATATTTTCATAGTTGTCGATTTTCGAAAGAAATCAGTACATTTATTTTATTTCGTATATTTTTCATTTTATTGATTTTATGGAAAGCACTGTTCATTAAAATGTTGTATCCTCTGTTATAGGGCTTGTTTCTCTCTACAATTTCCTGTCTCACAATGTACCGTTTGTGTCCAGGAAGGGTTCATATTTTCATAGTTGTCGATTTTCGAAAGAAATCAGTACATTTATTTTATGTTGTATATTTTTCATTTTATTGATTTTATGGAAAGCACTGTTCATTAAAATGTTGTATCCTATGTTATAGGGCTTGTTTCTCTCTACAATTTCCTGTCTCAAAATGTACCGTTTGTGTCCAGGAAGGGTTCATATTTTCATAGATATCGATTTTCGAAAAAAAACGATACATTTATTTTATTTCGTATATTTTTCATTTTATTGATTTTATGGAAAGCACTGTTCATTAAAATGTTGTATCCTATGTTATAGGGCTTGTTTCTCTCTACAATTTCCTGTCTCACAATGTACCGTTTGTGTCCAGGAAGGGTTCATATTTTCATAGATATCGATTTTCGAAAAAAAACGATACATTTATTTTATTTCGTATATTTTTCATTTTATTGATTTTATGGAAAGCACTGTTCATTAAAATGTTGTATCCTATGTTATAGGGCTTGTTTCTCTCTACAATTTCCAGTCTCACAATGTACCGTTTGTGTCCAGGAAGGGTTCATATTTTCATAGTTGTCGATTTTCGAAAGAAATCAGTACATGTATATTTTTCATTTTATTGATTTTATGGAAAGCACTGTTCATTAAAATGTTGTATCCTATGTTATAGGGCTTGTTTCTCTCTACAATTTCCTGTCTCACAATGTACCGTTTGTGTCCAGGAAGGGTTCATATTTTCATAGTTGTCGATTTTCGAAAGAAATCAGTACATGTATATTTTTCATTTTATTGATTTTATGGAAAGCACTGTTCATTAAAATGTTGTATCCTATGTTATAGGGCTTGTTTCTCTCTACAATTTCCTGTCTCACAATGTACCGTTTGTGTCCAGGAAGGGTTCATATTTTCATAGTTGTCGATTTTCGAAAGAAATCAGTACATGTATATTTTTCATTTTATTGATTTTATGGAAAGCACTGTTCATTAAAATGTTGTATCCTATGTTATAGGGCTTGTTTCTCTCTACAATTTCCAGTCTCACAATGTACCGTTTGTGTCCAGGAAGGGTTCATATTTTCATAGTTGTCGATTTTCGAAAGAAATCAGTACATGTATATTTTTCATTTTATTGATTTTATGGAAAGCACTGTTCATTAAAATGTTGTATCCTATGTTATAGGGCTTGTTTCTCTCTACAATTTCCTGTCTCACAATGTACCGTTTGTGTCCAGGAAGGGTTCATATTTTCATAGTTGTCGATTTTCGAAAGAAATCAGTACATTTATTTTATTTCGTATATTTTTCGTTTTATTGATTTCATGGAAAGCACTGTTCATTAAAATGTTGTATCCTATGTTATAGGGCTTGTTTCTCTCTACAATTTCCTGTCTCACAATGTACCGTTTGTGTCCAGGAAGGGTTCATATTTTCATAGATATCGATTTTCGAAAAAAAACGATACATTTATTTTATTTCGTATATTTTTCATTTTATTGATTTTATGTACAGCACTGTTCATTAAAATGTTGTATCCTATGTTATAGGGCTTGTTTCTCTCTACAATTTCCTGTCTCACAATGTACCGTTTGTGTCCAGGAAGGGTTCATATTTTCATAGTTGTCGATTTTCGAAAGAAATCAGTACATTTATTTTATTTCGTATATTTTTCGTTTTATTGATTTTATGGAAAGCACTGTTCATTAAAATGTTGTATCCTATGTTATAGGGCTTGTTTCTCTCTACAATTTCCTGTCTCACAATGTACCGTTTGTGTCCAGGAAGGGTTCATATTTTCATAGATATCGATTTTCGAAAAAAAACGATACATTTATTTTATTTCGTATATTTTTCATTTTATTGGTTTTATGTACAGCACTGTTCATTAAAATGTTGTATCCTATGTTATAGGGCTTGTTTCTCTCTACAATTTCCTGTCTCACAATGTACCGTTTGTGTCCAGGAAGAGTTCATATTCTCATAGTTGTCGATTTTCGAAAGAAATCGATACATTTATTTTATTTCGTATATTTTTCATTTTATTGATTTTATGGAAAGCACCGTTCATTAAAATGTTGTATCCTATGTTATAGGGCTTGTTTCTCTCTACAATTTCCTGTCTCACAAGGAAGGGTTCATATTTTTATAGTTGTCGATTTTCGAAAGAAATCAGTACATTTATTTTATGTATAGAGGAAAAAACTGAAAAATTGAAAAACGCCTCATTTTTACACCACTTGACTTGACCTGACCCTACATCCAGCATACGAAAAACAATCTTCCAGTTTTCCACGCACGACATTCGCTCTGGACTCTCTGGAAAATGCGTGGAACTGTCCCGGACTACTCCGGGATGAAAATCAATACAATCTGTTCGGCGTCATGTAGAATCATCGTCGGGCGTATATTATCCGTTTTTTTCTTAGAAAAAATGCTTCATTTAGAGCGTAGGGCAGTGCTTAATTAGGATCAAACATTCTCAGCTCAATAGGACAACATTTTTTCGACCGCTTTTTGGGGAGGCAGCGTTGTAGGACCAGCCAAACGATAAAATATCATCGTATATTACGCACTTTTTACGAAGATGAAAACAGTTTGTTTTGGATACTGGAAAGATTTTTCGTAAATCATAAAATAAGGTTGGTCTAATTTAAAATTTAGTTGTTAATAATTTTTATTCGCGGGGTTGAAAATTATTGAATTAAAAAATCTTTATAATTTGTTCGTTAATTGTTAATAAGTTGTAAAATACAGGGTGGTCCGAACTGTATACCGGAAACGACAGTATATTCTGCTGATAAAAATAAGTAAAAAAGTTCGTATAAATGTATGTCCTAAAATGCTTAGTTTCGGAGATACAGGGTGTAGAAGTTTCACTTTTATTTCGATTTTTTTTTCAAATAATTTGTGAAGTAACGTCACTATTTGGATGGAAATTGGAGTCTTGAATTTTTTTAACATAAGAAATTTGATTTTGATTTCAATATGACTCCTATTTGTAGGGGGCGTCACCGACATGTGTTTTAACTGTTTTGAAGGGCAATAACTTTCCGTCCGTCCTGTATAAAACTACTGAGTGTGAAAAATATACATTTCCGTGATTTTTTACGTAAAAAATGTCTCTTGGTAAAAATCGCTACGAGCAACCGTTCTCAAGATATTTAGAATGGAAATAGTCAATACATGTCATTATTGACTAAAAATAGACATGAACCGAGAACTTTTTATTTTTTCTAATTAATCATAAAATAAAACAGTTTCTGTTAAACTTTATAATTGGAAACATTTCAAATTTATGATTTATGATGTTTAATTTGTGTCAATGATGACAGGTATTGATAATTTCGATTCCAAATATCTCGAGAATCATTATTCGTAGCGATTTTTACCGAGAGACATTTTTTACGTAAAAAACGTCGTAAATGTATATTTTTTTACTCACTAGTTTTATACAGGTACGGACGAAAAGTTATGACTTTTCAAACCAGTCAAAAAATATGTAGGTGGCGCCCTCTACATCTACAGGTAGGAGTCATATTGACATCAAAATCAAATTTCTTATGTCAAAAAACTCCCAGACACCAATTTTCATCGAAAAATTGACGTTACTTCAGAAATTATTTGGAAAAAATCGAAATACAAATGAAACTTGTACACTCTGTATCATTGCCTGGAAACTTATATTGTGAAATTTTGATAAAATAATTTAGTACTCACTAAAAACACGGTATGTCGCTAGTGGTAGGAAAAATAATTTTTAGAGGTTACTAGTTTATTTGGTTGCCTGTGATATGCATATACAGGGTGTTTCCTAATTAATCTAAAAAATAAAAAATCGTTAGAAAACGGCTTAAGGCGGGCTCTTAATAAGTATATTTATTTTTTTCTCGGCAACCGTTTGATGAACAAGAGAAACTCAAAAGATCAATTTTGTTGAAAAAGGATGGCCAGTCAAATAAAAAATATATTTTCTTTAAAAAAGGCAGTAGTGTACCATTTATGTTAAGCAAAATATCGATTTTTTTTTAATTTTTAACACCCTGTAGATCAGAAAGAAAGTACTTTAGACCCAATGGTTATATAAAAATTGTTTTAAGAACGCATGAGGAATCACACCACAATTTTTTAGACTAATTAGAAAACACCCTGTATATTGTCAACTTGACAATGATTGTTGATAAATAAAAAAATACCTTTTCTGTGAAAAAAGCCCGATTTTCGCAGGAAAAATTTTGGTTTTTATAGAATTTGGGTCTGCGTCTGCAAATACCGGTATGTTTTTTAATATTCTATCTATCTAAATTTTAAATATCATAGTCAGAAATAGTTCTATTATTTATTAACTGTAAAAATGGTATACTTATAAGTTTTATCAAATATTGTGATTTACTTTCTACCTTGAAGTCAAAATTTATATTTAATAAACTGTAATATATATATATATATATATATATATATATATTCTTATGTTTTATTAAAGTTACTCTGATACACTAATATATCAGTGTAACTTTAGAACTAAATCCTTTGAAATCAAATATAAAAATAAAAAAAAATTCCAGCAGAAAAGGCGAAGGCGCTGGGTTAAACGTAGTCTCTACTAAGAACAGGGAGGGGCGCTTTGACCCAAAATTTTACTATTAAGTTTCATATCTATCTTAATAGAAGATTATTTTCTTTTATCTATGACTCTGTATCTCCGAAACTAGGCATTTTAGGACATACATTTATACGAACTTTTTTACTTATTTTTATCTGCAGAATATGCTGCCGAAGTTTCCGGAATACAGTTCAGACCACCCTGTATAACAATAATTAATATTTTCAAGTGTATTATACTTTCTTGTAAAGTAACCAGCTATGTTATTTTAATAAAAACTCTTGTTTTTAGATAACTATATATTACTAACCTGCCAATATTATAAAAGACAAATACAAGCCCAAAAAAAAACAAGAAAAAAAAACATAATGTTGAACACAAATAGAAATATATTGTTTAAAGCCACCATCCTAGCTTTGTGCGTTATATCACTAGTGCACGTATTCCTGTTTCCGTTGTACGAAGTGGGGAGCGTCTCCCCCAGGACTTACGGGGACTTCGAACAGAGTTTGTGCATGAACAACATCAAGAAAAGAAAGGTTTGGAGACTGAGCAGGTGTCCGCAAGATGGGATTGTGACTATAATGCAAGGTGGACGCTTAGGTGATTATCTTTAATAAGTTATCTTAAAATGAAAAAAATTTACAACGTATTTCGATAGAGTATATACCGGTGTTTTTTTTTCTTAACCCTATATAAAATATTTTCAATTTCAATCCAGAGTTTTCTGTATTAAAACAACTGATTTTTAATTAAAGAGTCTTAGAAAAATATATTTAATCGTCAAATAATATCTTTTGGTCGGTTAAAAGATGCCCAAATCGTATCATAACTCAATTTTTTTAGTTATTGTGAGAGTGGCTCATTATGGACCGTGTACACTCTTAGTTATGCAAACCATAAGTATACGCAAACTAAACACAGTATAAATGGAAGCAGATATTTACTTAATTATCAATTATTAGACCCCAGTAATTGTCAATGGAATTTTTCTATTTACGAAATTAAATCAAGGGGTAATTTTCTTTGTTTAGAATATCGAATAATTATTATTTTTTATATTCGAATAATTATTATTTATTCTTGGACCTATATAGGAGTATACCGCGATTTTGTAAGGGGCCCTTTACAAAATCGCGGTATTTACCTGGAACGGTCGCGAAAGTAACGCGGCTTATATGTGGAACCGGTATTCCCATCACTTTGTCATCATAAATTGCCATTAAATATATGTAAACATTCGCTCGGGGTTTGTTTTATTAAGTCAAATTGCATTCGTTTTTCAATTTAAATGTATTATTATAAGCTTGAAAAAAATGATGTTATCGTTTTTGATACCTTTTTGAAGCTGGGGCCCTCAAGGGGGCCCTTAACTCTTTGGTCGGGGCCCGTCGCGCGTCGGGTCCCTACGTAAAAACGGCACTGCCGATGAATAACATATTTATATCTACAGTATGTCCGCGGATTGTCTTCATAAAAATTTTTGCTTCTTCTAAAATGGTAATTCATGTTTATACTTTTCCAAATTTCCATACCGTTTTAGAGAAAAATAAGAAAAACATGAAAATGTAGTTGAATTTTTGAACTAGTAAAAATAAAACGCCTTTCTATGGTAATATAACTTCGTGATAATTTTTTGATAGATTATTATTGACAGAATTTTAATTAAAGTTATATTTTTTGCTGTTTTAGCACAAAATTTATTTAGTTCAATGCTACGGAAAGGGTGATAATAGTTATCGGAAAATGTGATAGGTACTTTAACATCAAAAAATATGACGTTAATCAAAATAAATTATAACGATCTATCAAAAAATGAAATCGAAATTATATTACCATAGCGTTTTAATTTTTAGGACTTTTAGTTTTTTTAGGATTTTTTTTGGGGGAAAATTACATTAAAAAACTACATTTTTATGTTTTTTTTTTATTTTTTCTAAAACGGTATGGATATTTAGAAAATTATAAACGCCATTTTACAACAAGCAAACATTCTTATGAACGCATTTTTTTCAAAAAGAAAAGTTACAAAAAAATTTCCTTTTGTAAAGACAATCCGGGGACATACTGACTGTAATATACAGGGTGTCCCAGAAATAAGTACAAGTATTTTATGGTAATATAGTTCAACCCCAGAAACACGCCTATGAGGTTTTTTTCGCGAAAAAACAATAGAAAACTTCAGGAATTTTTTTAGTTTTTAGTTAAAAAACATAATTTCTTGTTAATATGACAACATAGGTATAAAGAAATATGTGGTAAAGAAAAAATAAGGAAAAAATGTGGTTCTTAATCTACCACCCCTTAAAATACTTGCATTTATTTCTGTGACACCCTGTATATATATATCGATTTTTATTACAATTAGTACAGGATATAAATACTTGAAAATTGTCAACCATTATTCATACGTCATTCAATCTTTACAAAATGTGCAGACCGGGGGCCACATTTAGCTTTGCCGCCCCGGGCCCCCGACAGGCTTAACAACTCAAAAATAAATAATTTTTTTAATGAGAACCTTAAATATGCGAATTATTATAACTACCTTAAAACTAAGAATTTTATTATAAACAATAAAAAAAAATTGAAGTTTAAATTTATAATTTTTTGAAAAAATTTTAAGGAGATAATAGTAAAAAATACTAGTTACCTAGGGTATGCAAAGAGCCTGTAAATCTAAATATAATGTTGAAGTTTTTTCTTTTTATATGTTTTGTTCAGTGTATTTTCAAATTTTAATATATTTGTAGGAAATCAGATGTGGGAATACGCATCCGTTTGGGCTGTATCCAGGCGTACCGGCTTGGAACCCTACGTTCCCAGGTGTATCAAACTGAAATTGGACCAAATTTTCGAGCAACTCACCGTTCCCGCTTTTGAAGAAATCGCGCATTGTCCGGTCGAGATTAAAACTTTCGTTAAGTCGCTAGAAGATTGGACGTTCACCAATCAGGTAAGAAATTTACTAATTAAAAATAATAATATCTATTAAACAGTTGTCGTCATCAACATCATATGAATAGCACCGCAAAAGGGTTTTAGATAGTGATGGAAATACAGGGTCCGGCAATAGTGCGTCCGGCATCTGTAGCTCCTAGAATAAACAAGTTGAGAATTTTGTTTAAGTGCATACCTGAAGTATGTACCAGGATGTATTTCAGGAAAATATTTTAACTTCTATAGAGTGGCTCAAAAAAGTGTGAGTGGACCTGAATGATTTTTTTTAAATGGAACACCCTGTATATTATTAAATTTTTGGCTTCCTTTCCGATCACTTTACATAACCCTAAGATATGAATAAATAAATTTTGATAGTTTCAGAGATATTAAAAAATAAATAAAAAATATAGTTTTTTCAGCCCTTCTTAAAAAAATTATTAAAAATACAAGAACTGTTCTGAAAACAAAACTATATTAGGTATTTACTTTAGATGGTCTGTACTTACTTTGCTAAAAATATGAAAATCGTAAATTATACGGGATGTTCAAAATTCTACGCCAAACTTTCTAAAATATAAAATAATTTTTCTTCGTTTTTTTTAAATGGAACACCACGTATATTATTTTTTCAATATACGGAGGATTAAAAAATTAACATTTTTTGTATTTAGAGTATTTCAAAATTTTTAACGGTTTCGCAGATATTTGCGGTTTTATATTTCATATGGCATTTTCCACAGTAAATTTTTATCAAAGCCACCCAATAATTTTTCTCTCGTATTTTACCATTGAAAGCGCTATATGAAATAATACTGCGTGTATCTGTGAAACCGTTAAAAATTTTGAAATACTCTAAATACAAAAAATGTTCATTTTTAAACTCTCCATCTAATAAAAAAATAATATACACGGTGTTCCATTTAAAAAAAACAAAGAAAAAATATTTTATATTCTAGAAAGTTTGGCGTAGAATATATACATCCTGTATGAATTACGATTATTATTATTTATAGCAAAGTAAGAACAGACTATCTAAAGTAAATACCTAATATCATTTTGATTTCAGAACAGTTCTTGTATTTTTAATATTTTTTTTAAGAAGGGCTGAAAAATACATATTTTTGATTTATTTTTTAATATCTCTGAAACTATGGAAATATATTTATCCATATCTTAGGGTTATGTAAAGTGATCTGAAAGGAAGCCAAAAATGCAATAATATACAGGGTGTTCCATTTAAAAAAAATCATCCAGGTCCGCTCACACTTTTTTGAGCCACTTTATAGAAGTTAAAATATTTTCCTGAAATACATCCTGGTACATACTTTAGGTTTGCACTAAAACAAAATTCTCAAGTTTTTTATTCTAGGAGCTACAGATGCCCGACGCACTATTGCCGGACCCTGTATAATCGGATGATGAAATTTACCTTGCATCTTTTTAGATCAGAAATGGTTACTGAACTTCTTACTTTTTATTTTCCATAAATTAAGCAAGCTTTTCATCTATACTAATATATAAAATCCTTAAGTGACTGACATACTGATTAATCACGATCCTGCTCAAACCACTCAACGTAAGAAGCTCATTGTTGGCATACAGGTTGATTCTAGGGTGTAGAGGTTCGAGAATAAGGGATTTTTCGAAATTCCAGTTCCAAGAGGGTGAAACCAACCCTCAAATATTACAATATTTTTTATTTAAAAAACGATCAAGTTTCCGAAAAAACGCTTAAACACGTATATTTTATTTCGTTGTTTTACATATTTTACGATTTTTTATAAATTTATACAGGGTGTTTCATAAAATATGACCAATGAGTAATCATGCACGATTCTGCTTAAACTGCTTGACGTTTAAAGCTGATTTTTGGCAAACGGATTGACTGTGGGGTGTAGAGTAGTGATGGGAATAATCGAATTATTTTCACCATCGAATAATTAGTAATAATTCATATTTCATAATCAAATTAATAATTCGAATTATTTAGTAGTATTATAAATTTAACCTAAAAATAAAGTCGTCCCAGCTAGTGCTCGTCTAGGGGCTATTTTAAACAAATCTGAACCATTGCCATACCTATATTCCATCACTGAATAAAAAATAAAAAAATATATTCTTTATTCAATGTATTCTATTAACTGTGCCGAAGCCGTTTAATAAATTAAACCATAATTTAAAGTTTTAAAAAAAGTGCCGAGTATCGTATTTTTTCGTATTTCTTTTTATTTTATCAGTTGCAATCAATAATTATTTAGATAAAAGAAGAAAATTAATTTTAGTGTTCGGCAGGTGTTCGATGAAATTTGGGTGAGATGGAAATGAACCAAATAATAGTAGTATTCTTTCGTTCTGAACGAAATGAAAATTTTCACTTAAACTGATTTATTCCTACGTTGTATAGGAAATAACAATGATTTCTGGATTTTTCTATATCGGATCGTTCCTTTCTTTGTCGATTCCCTTTATAAATCAGTTTAAGTGAAAATTTTCAGTTCGTTCAGAACGAAAGAATACTACTAATAGTACTATACTAATTACTAATATTCGCATTCGTCCATAAGAGGTTATGTTTTATGTTCATTTGGTTCATTTGTAATTCGGTTAACCACAGATATAATATAAAATACTACTAATTTTTATCTCGATTATATCGAAAAAGATAATTCGAATTAGTTAGTTTTAATTTACTATCGAATTAGTAGTATAATTTAATTCGAATTTTCCCAACACTAGTGTAGAGGTTCGATAAGGAGGGGTTTCTCGAATCTCAAATTCCAAGAGGGTGAAAACGCCCCTCAAATATTACAATATTTGTTATTTAAAAAACGGTTAGTCTTTCGGGAAAGTGCTTGGACAATCATATAATTTATTTGGTTTTTTTACATATTTTGAAATTTTTTAAAAAATCATACAGGGTGTTCCGAAAAGTTGTGTAATTTCTTAACCACGATTCTGCTTAAACTGCTTGACGTAAAAAGCTGATTTTTGGCAAACGGATTTTTCGAAAGTCAAATTCCAACGAGATGAAACTACCCCTCAAATATTACCAAGTTATATAATAATATCGCCATATTGTTTTTTCTCATGCTGACATAAATGTGAGAAAATTTTATCCAGTTTGTATGTTAATGGAAATTCTTGCTTTGCATTATCATCACCATTACAAATGATTAATTCGACGCGAACGAAGTCGCTGGTACACGCTAGTAATTTGATAAATTGACATAAAAACTGCTTATTTAAGTTCTACACTTTGTATCAGGTTTGCACAGATGGCCTGTGCGAAAAAACTGTAAGTGAAGGGCCCGCTTTAAAGTAATGAATAATTTCCAGAGTATTATTTTGCCGCGCTACTCCCTGCAACCAGAGCTGGTGTTAAGTTGGGTCCAAGACATAGTGCAAGAGTTCACGCTGCGCAAGAAACTTCGCGAGAAGAGCCAACAAGTGCTGAGAACTTTCGCGAAAAACCTGCCAAACAAACAATACACGTTCGTGGGAGTTCACGTCAGAAGAACAGATTATATCGGCTATCTGAGAAGGTGAGTTTTTAACTTTAAGCTGGAACAAGCAAAACTTTAGACACACAATGATCCAGAGCTGCAAGCTCACAGAAAACCTAAAAGTCCATTTCACTAGTCCGAAAAAGTAGCAAAATAAGCGTTCGGCATTTAACGTTTTATGTTAAACTGGCTAGGTATTTTTACACAAATGAAGAAGGAAATTAAAGATAAAGGATTATATTATATCCGTATTGTAGCACATTTTTATACAACTTCTTTATTTTTAAGATTTTGATGGTCAAACAGCAACAAAATATCCCTTATGTTTGTACTAAATTTTCACAAAAATAAAGACATAATTTAAAATTCCGTTACAATACGGAAATAGATTGAAGTTTTGTGATTACAGTGATATATAATTTATATGGATTTGTAACATATTGCTTGCTATTTTGTGGCAAATGCTGAAGCTCTGCAAACCTTAATCAAAGCACGTGTTTGGAATTTTGGATGTGATTCTAGAAAGACTTAAAACTTAAGTCTTTTTAAAACTCAGTTGTTGCAGCTCTGCATTGATCCAAGTTACGTCCATTTTCAGAAAACACAACATAAACCCAGCGAACCAATCTTTCTACTCAAACGCCATGCGCCACTTCAAGCTGCGATACCCCAACCCCCTGTTCATCTTCGTCAGTGATGACCCCACCTGGTGCCTGAAGCATTTCGGTCACAAGGAAAACGTTTACATCGCCTCGCATAAGAACAAAAACACCCCCGCACTGGATCTGGCAATTCTGGCGGCCTGCAACCACACCATCTACGACTACGGTACTTTCGGAGAGTGGGGGGCTATTCTGGCTGGGGGCGAGGCTGTGTTCTACAACGTCACTCGTAGTAGTTCCAGGAAGATAGGGGAGGTGATGAAGAATTGGTATGCGATGACCTAGTAATGTTATTTTGACCTTATTTAGGTAGATTATCAATAATATAGATAGTTTGACAGTAGAGGGCATAGACTTAAAATAAAATATAGACTGAGCATCTCATTCATAAATAGCTGGAACATGCGGTCAGACACTGTCTTGTTATTGTTTTAGGTTATAACGAGTGCGACACGAGCGATAGATAGGTTGTCTCTGTCGTAACGGTCGTTCCCTGACGACTCTGCCGAGAAACACAACACTGTCTTTCGTTTCTCAAGTACACCTGAACTCTCCGTATCATAGCCGGGTAATTTTTTATTTTAATGAAGCTATAATTAAATTAAAAATATATCGTATTTAAACTTTTTTATATTTTATTAAGATTTAGGACAGGTTTTTTAAATAAAAGTTTAGAAAAACCAATTTAGAGTCCAAAAAGGATAAAAATAATAAAATACACGTTATAGAAGAAATTTTATAATCGAAATTAGGTAATTTTTGAAATTCATAATAAATTATTAATTTTAGTCAAACATTTACAACCCCTAATATTAATCAAAACAGGATCTATTCCACAGATATAATAGAATCGGCGACAAGAAAAAAAATATGATTGTTGTAATTTTTTTTTCTGGTTAAGTGATGTCTTATTATGTAAAGTAGAGAAAACATAATCTGTTCCATTAAAGCAAGGAAGGTGATAGGAAGTGGATAAAATAAAAACTACATTTATTTAACTCGGTACTGTCTTTATTATACCGGGTGCGTCTCAAAAGTGCTCTCATCCCCATAATTTTTTATATTTTCAAATAAAAAATAAGATTTAGTATGTTAGTATATGAAATAAATTAGGATTGATTGACGCATTCAATTGTTTTTGGTCACTTCCTGTTTCACCGGAAATGACTATAACTTTTAATTTTTAAACGGCACCCTCGGTATATTTCTACTTTATTCGATAGAAAATGACACTCTGAATAGAATGACATATCATATGTCAACTTTTGACATTTTCGCATATGGTTTAATTGTAATTGTAACACGCGATTCATAACGACAATTTGACTCGAAATACCAAGTGTGTGGTATCAATATATTCATAAAAAATGCTTTTTCCAAATATGCTAATGAGTCACCCTTGTTCCATTTGAAAAAATTGACATATGTATGATTAAAAATACGATTTGTACATCTTTTAACCGGCCTAAACAAGACACGAAACCTATTAGACGATCAAAACTATTTTTCCAAGGCTCCTTGATTAAAACTTAGTGGATTGAAAAAAACTGGATTGAAATTTAAAATAGGATATGTTTTTAAGCGACAATGTCAAAAGTTGACATATGATATGTCATTCTATTCAGAGTGGCATTTTTTATCGAATAAAGTAGCAATATACCGAGGGTGCCTTTAAAAATCAAAAGATGTAATCATTTCGGTGAAACAGGAAGAGACCAAAAACAATTGAATACGTCCAATAAATCCTAATTTATGTCATATACCTACTAACATACAAATCTGTTTTTTATCTGAAAAAATAAAAAAAGTTATAGGGTTGAGCCACTTTTGAGACGACCCGGTATATTAAAAAATATTGTTTCATAATGTAATATCATTTTAAAATTCTTGTACGTTATTTTAGATTCTGAAGATAATTTTAGAATAAACCGGAATATATTTTTAATAAAAACATTATTAATTATTAACAGGGTTATAATTATGAATTTGTTACAATGTAAGTAAGTAAATAATGTAATGTAAAAGAAAAAATTCAGATTTTACATTTTACTAAAATATTATCTAAATAAGCGCCTTTCTACAACAACGCCACTGACTGCCAATGGGTAAATTGAGAGTTGCCTACCGGTCAAAAGTCGTTTCAAGACTTAAATGGATTATTTAAGTCAAATTTCTTGCAAATTTGGCACTGGCGAACCATATTTTATAGTTTTTGAACAGAAATAAAATGATAATAAATAAAATAAACACTTAAGGACTACAAGCTAAGAAAATGCGTTAATACAGCCGGGGAGATAGCGGCAACAAAGCTTTACCGCACACGTGCGACACGTACTACAAGGTAATAAATAAATGAATAGGCTCCCTCGCCTCTAATCGGTGTTGTCCTATTGTAAAGAACTTATCCTTATTAAACAGTATCCGACTTATAATTTAGTAGTATAAGGACTATTTAATACATCTATGGAATATTAAAACCTACTTTATTAAACTGTAGTATTAATATCTCAATATACCAAGAAAACAAGTGTATAACAGTATAAAGTGTATAACAAGAAAAAAAAATATTGATAATATTAAAGACGTGACAACATAGGCTGGATGAGGAAGGCTCGGTCGACTGTACCCAGAAGTAAACATGTGTACAAAAAAGGTTGTTTGTCCGCGTTGAGATGTAAATAGTGTAGTCTATATTTTATTTTAAGTCTATGGTAGAGGGTAATTCAAATTTTATCTTCACTTAAATTAGGGCAAAGTTGTGCATTAATGTGCCAATGAGCTTGAGGTCTAGCTAAAGTGCCTTGGATTATTTGCGCTCCAAATGTGTTTATTTTTTTTACTAAATTAGTATAAGATTATATCGTCTTGATTACTCTAACCATAAATAGAGTGATAACTCCCTTGGGACATTATTAAAACAGGAATTATAAGAGGCCATAATTCCCTCTACGAATAGAGATACATACAATAGAGATTTGGAGTAATAATATAAAATGAAAATGAACACTCATCTAACTACTTTACTAATTTATTTACATCATTAATGTCACATATAATAAACTTACAAGAGAAGTTTCATCGACAACCTCTGCTACGATATTTTTCTTCTCAGCACATTGATGCACAACTTCTCCCGAATTTAACAATCCTGGTATCTCCTATAGCTTTCGAGATCCTCACAATGGAGGTTGAATTTGAATTACCCTGTATTTGTGTGAAGGAAAAACTTAAATACTACAACCACATGGAATCTTTTTAAAAATCGAATTACTATACAGGCCCCCACAAACGTTCAATTTTCACTTTGGAGAAAATCGTAAAACTGCGAGTATGTGTGACAGGCAATAGAGCAGGTTAAACTGCGCCAACTGGCCTGCACAGTAAGCCTGCGCTGTAGAACAGCACGTCTGTGGAGGCTTTTAAACATTTTATTTTGGATCGTGATATGAGATATGAATATTTCTTTAATAACACAATTCTCTGTTATAATTTAACAAATCTTATATAATACAGGGTGTGTAGAACAACTGTAGTTAGTGAAAAAATTCATTAAATTTATTATAAACTTATAAAAATTATAATATATTTTCTTTAAAATCTCTTAATGACTATTTTCATATTAGAACTAACAAAACTAGGTCATGACGTTAAAAATAATATATATACGAGGAAAGTTATATTTCTATATTATTTATTAAGAAAACCAACTTTCATAACTAAAAATTAAATCTAAAAACAGTTTTCACATATTGTAGACGGCAAAAAAATTAGGTATCTATATATTTTGAAATGCAAAAGGCTGAATATCTATCTCATAAAACTATAACTTATTTTTTATACCGGGTGATTTATTTTTTTCGCAGAAAAAAAACGTACACTTAAAAGTAGGTGTAAAGGTTATTTTAAAATACTATTTTTAGTGTGCTTTAGGCAGATCTCTATGACAAAGTGTGTACACCTGACCAGCATACATCTATTGTGACATAAACTAGAAAATTATATAAAAAAACAATATAACTTCTATTAAACTTGCAATAATAAATTAATATAAATAAGTATAATATGTATTTTTATACATTTTTTCCAACATTTTCAAGTTTATTTTGAGTGTTTATTATTGCAATAATGATAGAAATATGATGTCCATTAATAGAGGATATGTCTCGTTATGCACGTAAAAACAGGAATATACCATTTGATAAAAAAAAAACGGCGTTACAGCAACCTTTGAAATAACGACCGATGATAATTTCTGTAGAGCCCACCTCTGTATGACATATCCTTCATTAAATGGCGCTACATAGATATGTATGGATATGTAAAATAAGGCCACTGGGTACTAACTAGTTATATACTGATAAGTCTAGAAAATATCATTTCCTAAAAAAATCGGATTGGTATTTTCTGTTTATGAATTTTTTGAAAAGAAGTGCCAAAAGAAATAATCGCATAATTCTGTTTACTATATCTCATAATTATGTTATATTATTATATTCGGTGCTATAATATATTTAATTATATTTAGTATTTAAAACAAGCCAAATGTTATGATATATGTGCCAAACTTCAACGCTTATAGTATTTATGAAATCTGTGATCTATGCTTTGTTTGTGATAGCTATTTTCTTTTTGGAATAAGCGCAAATTCATATTATTTATAAAAATATGGGTACGTTCTTAGACGCTAGATACATGATGGTAGACCAAACCCAGTCGTGTATGTATACCTTTATGAAAATTCAGTTTCCCTTAGATATGTTCATTTGAACAAAATCTGGAATAATTTAAATATAAATCAACTTACAAATTTCAAATTTTGAATTCAATAATATACTGTAATATTTACTATAGGATCTATCTTTATTATTTTTTTATAGTTATACCGGGTGCGTCTCAAAAGTGGCTCACCCCTATAACTTTTTTATATTTTTAGATAAAAAAACGAGATTTGGTATGTAAGTATATGACATAAAGTAGGATTGATTGACGTATTCAATTGTTTTCGGTTACTTCCTGTTTCACCGGAAATGACTACAACTTTTGATTTTTAAATGGCACCCTCGGTATTTTTTTACTTTATTCGATAGAAAATGACACTCCGAATGGAACGACATATCATATGTCAACTTTTGACATTCTCGCTTAAAATAATCACATTTTAAATTTCAATCTAAAGTGCCATGGCTGTGTTAAAACACTATTTTTTAATCAACAAGCCTTGGAAAAATATATTTGATCGTCTAATGTCTTAGTGTCTTGTTCTGGCCGATTAAAAAATGCCCAAATCGTATTTTTAATCATATCTCAATTTTTTCAAATAGAACAGGGGTGGCTCCTTAGCATATTTGGAAAGACCATTTTTTTAAGAATAATTTGGTACCACACACTTGGTATTTCGGGTCAAATTGTCGTTATGAACAGTATATTACAATTTCAAATAAATCCTATGCGAAAATGTCAAAAGTTGACATATGATATGTCATTCTATTCAGAGTGTCATTTTCTATCAAATAAAGTAAAAAAATAGCGATGTGCCATTTAAAAATCAAAAGTTATAGACATTTCTGGTGAAACAGGAAGTGACCGAAAATAATTGAATACGTCGTTCAATCCTAATTTATGTCACATACTAACATACCAAATATCGTTTTTTTTTATCTAAAAAAATAAAAAAGTTATAGGAGTGTGCCACTTTGGAGACGCACCCGGTATAATAATATTTCTGTAGTTCTCGTGTAATTTCAGCCGAGATGAGAACTATAGATATAATAAATTACTCGAAAAAGGTATCTATTTAAATTATTCATGGTCTTCGAATGTACCAAATATATTCTAATTTGTTGTAAATATCCTACAAAAAGGATTTACTTCAAAGTATTGTCTTAAGGCCCCCATACACCTCCGGTTATTTTGCCCGGATTAGACACATATTGAACGAACAAGTAAAACTGGACTGAACACATTCATATACTGACGTTTTTAACTGAAGAATCCTGCCCGTTCGGTTAAAACCGGGCAAAATAACCGAAGTGTATGGAGGGCTTTAAACTAAATTTATTCTATAATATGTTCTATTACCTTAAGCATGCTAATATTTCTGGTAAGGTGACCTGAAACTTATATATTTAAACAATTTCCTATTGGTTTAATAAATAAATAAACGAACAATTTAAAATTTAATTAAACAAAAAAAAAAGAAGGAAATTCTGTATTTATGTATTTTTTATGTATTAAACTAATAGGAAATGATATATAGCGACTATTCTAACTGTAAATATATATTCTCTGTGATAAAATTACTATATACAATCATCGTAGAAAAAACCACCAAAAAAAATTACAAAAATCTACTTGATGTTCTTGATTTTGCGGCTAGGTATAATATAAAAAATAATTTTATGTATGGAAACTTGTAACGAAGGTGTAGTAAAAACATTGTGTAATAAAAGAAAAATGCCTCTGAATTGACTTTTTTTAACAGTCTAGATTTTGTTGATTTTGCTGAGTGATCAATAATGAAAAATTGACGGCCTTTTTTTAGCAATTTTTTGCATTTTTTGCATCAGTAGCAATCATTAATCCTAAAATCATTGTTGATCACTCCATACCGTGCTGGCAACTATTACTTTTGAGTCGATTTACATGTGTGCAAGTAAATCGCATAGGGATCTTATTAAGTCGGAGTGAGAGAAATGCGACGGTGTGCTGTTGCGGCGTTGCCAGATTTCTCCGGTACCGCTTATTTTTAAAAGACTTTTTTCGATAAGATAACTAGATGAAATCATTAGATATGTTTCTAAGCATCTGAAATGGAATTATAAGCATATCGTTAGTTACGTTTTTCAAAAATGTGCATTTTTAACAAATCGCTGTAACTTTTTTACTATGGAAAATTTTGTATTTCTATGAAAATATTTCCAAAGCACCTTTTTACGTAGAATTTAATGGTTTAAGTTTAATTTTATTAAAATTAATAATTTAATAGTTATCAACAGAAGAATTTATTTTTTATTTGGGACACCCTCTATATTTTTAATTAACTGAAAAGAATTTAAAATTACCTTTCCAAAAATATAGCACACTTGATATTTTGTTATAATCCCCTTCGAAATACAGAATTTTTCAAAGTTCGCCACTTTTAACTAGTAGGCTTTGGACCCCTTATTGATGATCTGCCCTTAATGGAACTCGAAAACATATTTTCCAGCAAGACAGTTACATCAGTTACAGTTTATCAGCAAATTTTTGCAGCCAATTTCAAGAATAATTGAATAGCTCACCAAGATCCCAGTCGTTGGCCGTTGAGGCCGCCTGACTATCTGCCCATGGATCTAATCCTATGGATATACTTTCGAAAGAATAAAGGTTCCTTATTCTTCCATATAATATAGACAAGAATTAGAAATACTTAGCAGTTATGAGAGGGTATCTTTCACCCCCACTGAGTTAATGAATTCCGCGAGAAATGTTCAAAAACTGCCCCGTCTGTCCATAACAGAAGACGGTCGATATGTCGAATACCTGTAGCAAAATTTCAGTCTTGGTTTGCTATTTATTTTTATTGTTATTAGATATAGTTTAAATGTGTTGATGTTGGTTAAATATATTTTAAATTGTTATAAAATTCTGCATCTCTCATAGCAAATATTATTTTCGTTTTAATTGATGCTCACAGCTAGAATTTTTTTGCATTACAGTCGGTGCCGTTCAAAGCCTACTTCTTTAAAGCGGGCGAATCTTTATATACTCTATATCTCGAAGAGGAATCGAGCAAAATATCAAGTGCGTTATATTTTTGGTAAGGTAATTTTAAATTATTTTCGATAAATTAAAAATATACAGGGTGTCCCATATAAAAAATCAAATTTTCTGTTGATAATTCTTAAATTATTAATTTTAAAAAAAATATACTTAAACCATTAAATTCTACGTAAAAAGGTGCTTTGGAAGTGTTTTCATAGAAATACAAAATTTTCCATAGCAAAAAAGTTACAGCGATTTGGTCAAAATGCACATTTTTGAAAAACACTCCGTAACTCCGAAACGGTAACAGATATTGATGTGCGGTTTTCACCATCATGTTTTCGATAAAAATTGAGCTCCAGACACCGATATTTGTTTTCGTCTATCTCCTATAGAAAAGGGTGTTTCCATTTAAAAGCGTCGAATTTGACCCACCCTGTACACTTCTTAAATACGGAAATCGCAACCCAAAACTAACCTTTGCCCAGCCCTTAGTATAACCGCCACAATAGAATATGACGAATAAAAAAAACGGCGTCAAGTAGCCTATGAAATGACTTTAAATGAAATTTCACCAAAAAGAAAAACACAGAAAATACTCTATATAAATATATTCACAAATTAGAAATGATTAGATCAAAACAAAAGTTACATTAATTCGTTTTAACAGACTGAAAATCATACAAACTTATCCTAGACGTATATTACTATATTTTGGTACAAGTCGACTTCATTTCTGTTTAACAGTGCTATACAGTAATTATACAATTTTTTTATATAAAATATAAACTTCTTTTTAAAGCGGAACGTTAGCTAAGCTAATAATTCTAAACTTAACAATAGACGAACGTAAAAATACTGCAATCTGAACAGTCTTAAGCAATTGCCACGTGTATAGCTTCGTATCATGTGGGACTAGCGTTGCTTCGGGTCATCCTCTGTTGCTGTTCCCTTCGGCATTCCTGTGCAGTGTTTTCTAGCTGTTCCTTTAGCTTTAGCAGTTCTCTTATTCGTTGATACACGGGATCCTAACGAAAAAATAACGTAAACCTTCGACCGTAATAACAACTAGACACGGTCTTTTGTTTGTTAATTGTAGCCAACATATTTGACGTCATTTTGGGGCATAAATATAGAATTATCTTAGGATTTTACCAAGTAAAATTAACTGTAATCCCTTTCAATTTTTTATCAACAAGTTATTTCTATTTAATTATCAACTGAGATACAAATGGATTGGAATTGTTTGAATTATTAATCAAAAACAGTTTGACGATGAATATCTTTTAAACGGTTAATTTAATCGACTAACCATAAGAAACCATTTTTGTTGTAGAGCAGTAAATTTCCTACAAAACTATAAGTTGCGTGTATAATAATGATTTTTTGTTAACGAGTTAGAAAATTCATAAGAAAAAAGAAATCTGCCTTAAAATAATCAAACTTCAACCTTTAATAACTTTCGAACAGTGAGGTTTCCAAAAAAATTGTAAGTAACCTTTTTTGTAGAGAATTCAATTTCCCACTAACATATGAGACGATATATTTTTTCCAAATAGTAGATACCGACATATGAATTTTTCTTTCTAATAATAAGGAAAAATTAAATTAAAATTAAGAGCTCATACTTGGAGAGAATTTTTTTGAGGTGCCTACCTAGGAGGTGTGTGCGATAACCTAACCTAACTAAATAAAAAATATTTGACCTTAGACCATACCGGGTGTTGCATCGTCGAGCGGGACATAGAAAATCCCATGTAAATTTTAATGGGGTCAATTATTGGCTTCCCTAATTATTTTAGAGAATAATTCTATTTAGGGTTATTGAAGAGCGCTAAAACCCACATTCAAAAGAATAACTTTAGATATTTTTGATTATCCCGTTTACGAGTTATCGCCGATTTCTTTTTAAATATTTCTCCTTTCTTTTGGCCCTGTATTTACTTATGAGCACCAGTCAAGGTAAAAGATAACTGTCAAATGAAGTTGTCATTTCAGAAATTTATCTATTTAGTGCTTTATTATTATTATTAAAAACTCATACCTACATCGAAAATATTAGCCATGAATTACACTACCGAAGAAAAAGCATTGATGATTAAATGGTATTATCAAGGAAATAGTTATCAAAAGGTGTCGGACATGTTTGCTGCTCTGTATCCGAATAGAGCGATACCTGGAAAATCTACAATCGCAAGGAATATACAGAGATTTGAGACCAAAGGTACCCTAATAAATAACTGCAGATGTGAAGCAAGGCAGGAACAAAGAGAAGATGCAAGAAATGATACCGACTTGGAAGTTTTATTGTGCGTGGAAGAGAACGATGGAAAGATCAGCACAAGGAAACTTGAGGATGAAATAGGAATAGATCACACTACAACGTTTCGAATTTTGAAACGACATAAATACTATTCCTTCAAATATGAAAAGCACCAAGAGCTACGAGATGAGGACGAAATACGGCGGCAGGCGTTTTGTTTTGATATGATGGAAAGAGCAAACACGGATAGAGAATTTTTAAAAAACATATGTTTCACTGACGAATGCACGTTTACCTTAAATAATGAACCCAATGTTCAAAATTATCGATATTGGAACAAAGAAAACCAACACAGGTTTGTCGAAACAAGGACGCAATAGCCACAGAAAGTAAATATTTGGGCAGGGATATTCGGACACAATATTATCGTGCAATTATTTCTTACGCGAAAATTAAATGCAGAATATTATTTGGAACTACTCGAAAGTCATATTTTACCTGCTTTACATGATGCCGCTAGGGAAAACCAGGAAGTTTGGTACCAAATGGATGGCTGCCAGGCACATAGTACCCTGGCTGTTCGGGAATATTTAGACAATAGTTTTAACGGAAACGATATTGGCCTAATAAATCATACAGTAAATTGGCCAGCAAGGTCTCCTGATATTTCGCGAAATGATTTCTTTCTCTGGGGCCATTTAAAAAACAGGATATACAAGGATAAAAAATACCCAAATCTAGACGAGTTAAAAAATGCTATTTCTGCCGAATGCAATAGAATTTCAGTTTACCAACTAGCGAATGTAAGAAGAGAATTTTATGATCGCCTGGGTTATTGTCTAGCAGTCGATGGAATAATATTTGAACATCTTCTTAAATCCTAAAGTTCTAACAATTTAATAGTACCTAAATTAATGTTATTGAATATTCTAATAATACTATAATTAACCTTGTAATTGATTACTTTATTTTACTTTAATTCATATTAATTTGTATTTATAAATACATCTTTAAGATTTCCGATGTAGGAATGAGTTTTCAATAATAATAAAGCACTAAATAGGTAAATTTCTGAAATGACAACTTCATTTGACAGTTATCTTTTACCCTGACTGGTGCTCATTAGTAAATACAGGGCCATAAGAAAGGAGAAATATTTAAAAAAAAATCGGCGATAACTCGTAAACGGGCTAATCAAAAATATCTAAAGTTATTCTATTGAATGTGGGTTTTAGTGCTCTTCGATAAACCTAAATAGAATTATTCTCTAAAATAATTAGGGAAGCGAATAATTGACCCCATTAAAATTTACATGGGATTTCCTATGTCCCGCTCGACGATGCAACACCCGGTATAATAACTAGAGACATTTTTAACGATCACTTTTGTAAGCAACATATTTTACGTCAGTTTAAGGACTGTTATTTAACTATAAATACACATCTAAAAAGCTCCTTCATTAGGGAACAAGACTTTATTAAATATTAATATAGAGATTTTAATTTTTATTATAATCATAAACTTACCTGAGTTCTCATACTAGGATTCCACCTACAATAGTAAGCCTTCCACAACTGTATATGTCTTATACTAGCTATCGGAACCAGCACCTTCTCTTGTTTAGTATTGGCCCAATACAAAGGATTCCTGTACAGATCTAAATTACAATTTGTATACGACCACAAGGAAACCGTAGTATCTTTAATTCCTATTAACAATAATTAATCATTTTAAACATCATATTTCTTCTAGAATATAAGTAACTTACTCTCAGCCATTCTTTCTCTTTCACTGTTAAACAAAAATGTACCAAATCTGCACGAATAAAGATGGTCCAGGATGGTAATAAGGAAATGTTCGTTGAACTCAAAAGCATTGGGGAATTGTTGGGTAATCTGCCAAACGCAATCGATAAACTGGAGAAATATTGGAGAACGGTCGGCATCGCTGTGATAATCGTCTCCCAAACCCACTCTCTACAACATTTTTTTTAATTCAATCAAAAATAATAGGGTTGTTATGTTCATGTTTAAAACAATATTACTTGTTTTAAATTTGCATAAGTATACTCCTTTTTTTTCTCAGATAAAATTTCGACAGACGATGACAGAAAAAAAGCAGATGACGCCCATACCAATCTATTTATTTTACTAAAAAAGTTTCTAATATTTTTTAAGTTAACTATGGATAGGTTTATATATAAATCTCTTGTTTTTAACCAGTTTTATTGGATTATTTCAAAAATGACAGATCATACTTCAATATTATTTGAGGGACGTAATGATGCACGGACGTAGCTGTTGCGCATGAACTCGACTTAAGATTTTTGAGGCTTGTCAAAGTCTTGCCAAATTATAGGTTATAATTTGTGTCAAACTATGTCGAATAGAGATGGGCAGTTATTGGTAAAAAACCGGTTATAGGTCAACCGGAATTATCTTTAAAAAATAATAACTTGACAAAATTAACCGACACAAATTAACCGGTTATTCAAATAACCTAACCTAGCAAAACTAAATATTTAGTTTTCCTATAGGTTTACTTACCTCTACACTCCATAGGTCTACTTCAAATTTAGATAATAAACTTAGTTAAATCGCATGATTAAATAGAGATTGTAGCAATGTAAGTATGTATATGTACAAAATGAATTTAAATAAAAATGCTAACCTCACTTTTTGAGTAGACATGGATATAATATTAAATATTAAAACTAGTAATTACTTAACGTTTAAAAAACCACACAACTCACAAGTTCTACAATCTACAACCAAGTTATTTTAATCAAATACCAAAGAAAAATAAGGAGACTGAATGAATAGATAATGAAAGATTATCTTCATTCATTACTTGAACTTTAATTTTGTATTCTTTAGTCTAAGCTTCAAGAGAGACTTCAAACTACAAATAAAATATATTTACGGTGAAACGTGGGTGAAACTGGGCGAAACCATGGAAGACTTTTGAAGAACCGTTGAAAATCCGTTAAAGTCGGTTAAAATTTAAATATAGAATTTAGAGAATCTATTTGAAGTTAGGTTGGTATCACTTGGCTAGCTGGTGGCTAGTAGTAGTCTATGCCATTAGTACTTTGTTTTACGGCCTGACCTGTCAGGGCCATTCGGCCGTTGTTTTGATTATTATCATCAGGGTTCGCCTAATGCCTGATTTAATTTTGACATTTGATGTTTGATGTCATATATTTTCGTTTTGGGAGCGGGAGCGGGATCTCCCGTTATCGTCGTAATATCTGGAAGATCCGTGCCGTTCGCTTCTTCGAAATTTACGATTCAAACAGCTAAATATTTAATTGTTACTTGTTTTAAACAAGTACGATTTTTTAAAAAATAACCGCTATAGGTTATTGAACGTAATGCAAGGTTATTAGGTTAACTGGTGAAAAAAAAACTACCTTTAAATAACCGGTTATTTTAGAGGAAAATACCGGTTATTCAAAAAACCGGTTACTTTTGCCCATCTCTAATGTCGAATAACCTGCGTTTTGGAAGATGATGCATTGTGATTCGTGTTATTACGTGTGTTTTGTGTCTTTTGAAGTTAAGTGGAGGAAAAATCGGGGGAAAATTAACTGTAGACCCCGAGCACAGTTTATAGTTAATATTCGGTGCCCAGACGGAGAGTTTTGCACACCAGTAAAGTTTGTATACCATCTCGTATATGTTATTAAAAACTGAAGTAGCTGCAAAATAACGCCATCACACGATAGGTAAATAATAGATTTTAGTACTGCAGAAAAATAATGTTAAAAGGTATTGGTTTAAAAAAAAATGAAATTAAAATTAATTAAACAACTTTTAAGGTACAAAGGGCAACGGCCCAGCTACATCGAAACACCGGTTCCCATTAGAACACCGAAGTTAAGCGACGTAAGGCGATGCTAGTTGATGGACGGGTGACCGGTTCGAAACTTTGCATCGTGCTGTTGTCCAAGGGAAAAGTGTAAAATCTATTGATACACACTGCTCATTCACGCCGGTTCGAGGCCGGATGAGATCGGATATCTCGTGAGTAAGAGTTAATTTAGACACTTCCTAAGTCGGTAGGCCATTGACCATGATATGGCCGAGGACCGCGGTTCGGATTCCGCGTAAACAAAGTAGGTCCCGTCCAGTTTAGCCATTGCAGCAGAAAGGAGACGTTAACTTGAACCTCAATTAAGGTACAAAATTCAGTAAGTGTTATTATTAATAAAATTTTCTGTTCTATTTCTGTTGTGTTTTATTTATTCCTGTACAATATTTTTTTTTATTTGTACCTAAGTTATATTGATAAATACAAGGTGTCCCAGAAATAAGTGCAAGCATTTTAACTGGTAGTATAGTTCAACCCCAGAAACACGCCTATGAAGATTTTTCCCGAAAAAAAAAATTTGAAAATGGGTAATTTTTTGAAAATTTTTTTGGAATTTTTTTTAGTTTTTAGTTAAAAACCATAATTTCTTGATAATATGGCAACATAGGTATTAGATTAAATTTACAAGAAAGAAAATCCAGAAAAGATCCAGTGGTTCTCAAAATTTTAGCAAAAAATCATCTTTTTGGAAATTTTCAAAGTAAAATAACTCCGTTATTTTGGACTTATTTGAAAAATGATAAACAGAAAATATGTTAAGTTTCTTTTATCAAGATCTACCACCCCTTAAAATACTTGCACTTATTTCTGGGACACCCTGTATAATAATAAATGCAGGAAATTTCTTGAAGCTTGAAAGTATGAAATAGTTCTTTTTTTATTTTTTGGTATGTGGTGTTTTGTTTAAAATACACCCTTGTTTGTTTTGTATTAACACATACTGTATTTTTTTTAAATAAAATAACTCAATTAGGTTTTCTCAGTTTTATACAGTTTTTTTCACAATATTTTGAAATAATCACTCGTCACTCAAATTTTAAATATATGAATTTCCTGCTATGCATTCCAATTGTACCAACTTATTTCTTAGTAAAATAAAATAAATTACATACTTTGAAATTAAAATGACAGGCACATCTATCACTGTCAAGGATTTTGTCATCGGATAGACTATATTTGTCTAAAACTGTATAAAACATTTAAAACTCTGTTTTTTTTAAATACATCGTATTTATTTGGTTGCACGGTTTATTTTTCTATGTATGAAAATTTCGAAAAGTATAAACGGGATTAAGCATTTTTATGAAGAATGAATTTTTCTCAAAATGCAAATAATAAAAGTTTTTCCTCTTGTAAAGACAATCCGGGGACATACTGTATATTGTTTAAAACAAAAAAAAAACTGTTTTAAACCATCCAAACCAAACACATATAATTAAAAAATAAAACAAACTAACCTGTTGAAATTTGTGTCCAAAAGATACCCACTCTTTCTCTATCAAAACTTCAAAACCTTTAATGGTCCTGTAATATGGATCTAGCATCAACATTGACAAGGCTGTCAACTGAGCTGTCCTGTCCCATCCATCCGAACAATGTACCAGCACCGATGTTTTGTGGTTCTCAACCTAAAAGAGAATATTTTTTTATAAAAATTCAAATAAAACAGTTAATGATTGCCTACCTTATCCACAATTCTAACTGCCCCGGCCAAAATACTCTTAATATGTTTTAACCAGTACGTAGACTCAATTCCACTAAACCATTTCGTTTCATCAATATTCGGATAGCACAGTTCCTTCAATTTTCTCAATGACTCTCTCATTACATGGATGTTATGGATATCCAAAAATACAAGTTCTGCATTTTGATAAGCATCTTCTGACTCATAACTAAACTCACAAATCATTAAAAATCAATTAAAATATAAATATATTGTTTTACCCTCCTCCTTTAGCTTTGTTAGCAATCGCATTGGCAGTGGGTCTAGCATCCATTATAATCATTTTATGACTCTGAGCATTAGCATCCATAATCAACTGAATGTAATGTTCGTCTTCCCTACACCTTTTTCCACTAACCTATTGAAATAACATCAAAAATAATTAAAAATAAACATAACATTAATCTCTGTACTTACTCCAACTAATGGCTGTGAACATCTCGTTATTGTAGCCTGAGATTCAGTGTGAATCCAGCTTAATACAGGCAACCGACCTGTAATAAACCAAAAAAAAAATATTACAGCTATTGTAAATATATTCCTACCTAGGTACCTCTGCTTCTGAAATTCGAAACTACCCTTAGATCATCATCAGTAACTTGAGCCGGAACAGCCCAAACTGCTGGATAACTATCACATACATCGTAGCGTTCATTAATCTTTGTTATTTTCCACATATCATTATTAACCCCCTTAAAAAAACTTATTATAACATCAAATATTTTCAAAATAACCTGACATACCATTCTTTTAAGTTCAGCAATTGGTTCATATACAGCCCATCCGTTTTCAGGAAAAACTTCTGAATATTCGAAAGCAAAAAATTTCAATTTGTGACTCAGTGGAAACGCAAACATTTGTAGTTTCTCAAACACGTTTCTCCTAGAGTGATTTTCTTGCTTGTGAGCAAACCTTAGGTTCCTCATATCTTTACAGAATATCTCAATGCCGTAAGCATTCTCTCCTCGAGATAAAGCACCACCAACTTTTTCAATTCGAGAAATCTTAAACAAAATGTCATTAAATCTTTTAACAGTCAGTAACTAAAAAGATTATACATACAACACCCAAAGTGACATCAATGATATTTGAAGAATCCTTATCAGAAGGACGAAAATATAGTTTGTAATTGGTCACAGTAAGAACACCCCTGGCTGGGCCTTGATAAGGACACAAATATGTAACATCCCTTGACTGGCCAGTAATTTTTTCACCTGGTAACAACGGAGGATCATCGGGTCGATTCAAAGTAGCTGCATCATTTGAAGCCTGAGCCTAAAAATATAAAGATTATAATGAAACATTTAATACAAATTATGGATAAATAATTATATTTTCCACTATTTGCTTTTCACTTAATAGACGTTGACAATTTAAAATTAAAAAAAACTACTTAGTTTATAAATTCTAGAAAAAAAGTGAGAACCTTCTTCCTTTCCAGTGTCGATACAACATTTTCAGTTGATGTTGAACTAGAGGAGCAATAACTCTTACTTGGTGATATTTTACCCCAACTTGTCTATAAAATAAAAATAATTTGCATTTGTAATTTAATAAATATTAAGCACTTTATCATACAATAACATCTAAGAAAGTTTTAACACATTAAATAGCAGTACCGCAAGGAATAACTTATTAAGACTAACAAAGTATATGATTAGATAAAACCACTAACTTAAAAAAGCAATATTTAAATAAAATAATGATGTTATAAAGATATTTTTCTTGCTTACCGAATCTTGGCCCTTCCCTAAATTCAAACTTTTCGTTTCAGACCTGTAAGGCTCTTTACTAAAATGATTTGCGTCCATATCTAGTAACTCTAAACTTCCAGTTTTTCTACTCATTATTTAAATAAATTGTATTAGCACTTTTTTATTCTTAAATTCTAAACATCTTCATGTTATTAAAAAATTGACAGAAACCGTAAATTGTGTATTTTGTATGACATTTATTCACCACAGAATAGAATAAAAATATATCGATCCGGTAGGCAACCAAATATACACAAAGTTTAAAATTTCCCTCTAGTTTTAAGAAATAAATTACACAAAATTTACAATAAACAACTTTTTATTAGAGTCGCTATAACAAGGTAAGGGTCCGCGTTAGCACAAGGTCTTCTATCTTCGAAGAAACCCTTCTTTTTATCAATAACAGCAGGTGATAATTTAACGTGGGCTGTCCTATCTCCAACACCACTTTTAAATTTATCTAAACAAGGGCTTCCATCTTTTCCTGTGAAACGTTTTCTCATATCTCCACCTTAAAAACATGCGATATTTAATTTTCATTATTACTAAGTAGTACTGACTGATGCTCAATATACAGACCTCCAGCTAAATCAAAACTTTTAATATCATTCGCGTGATTCTTCTCCAGTTTCTTCATGAATTGTTCAATGTATTTTATACCTTCATCTTGTCTGCTATTTTTTGTGGACATTGCCGTGTGTAGAGCTAAGAAATATTGTTTTATGAGCATGAAAAATGTGAGAATTTCAGTGAAGAATCTTTGAAAATATAATATTTAATATTTATTTACCTAGGTACATGTAATCTTCGAAATTTTGATGAGTTTTTAAGTTGATTTTACCTGATCCTGGAGCATTTGGTACTAGTTTCGCCTTGAAGGACGCCGTCAAACCATAATCTTCAGAAACTCTACTGATAATGTATCTCATTAACCACAGGTCATCGGCGGCTTTAATGCTTAAGGTTGGTCCAGTAACCAGTTCCCATTGACCAAAGGCTATCTGAAATTTGAAGATAAACTTATGAGAAGAAAAATATATATGATATTTTTCTAATAAATTCCTAATTAAAAAATGTATTTGGTCATATACAGGGTGTTTCAAAACAAATGCGAAAAACTTTAGGGGGCGATTCCTTGTTCAAAATAAAGGGTAGTTTGCTTTATAAACGTTGGGTCCAAAAGTCAACCATTAGGGAGATATCGCGGTACAAAGATGGCGGAAAAATAATGTTTTAATTTTTTATCTTGAAAACGAAAAGAAATAGACTATTGAAATTTTATGGAAGCATTACTGTTATGAAAACACACTTTCAGGTAATTTTTTTTACTTTTTTAAAATGAGTGGAAGGGGTTGAAATAAACTACCCCTATCATTCTTGTTAACGAAATTTAAAGAAAAATATTATCAAACACATGCAAATGCTTTAATTTGGATAGTTTAGTTTGTTTAGAAACTTTTTTACCTCTTGTGTTTTTTTTGATAAAACTCACCGATTGGAAATTAAAAATAAAATGTAAAGCATTACATGCCGGACAAAAAACATTTTTAGATTAAGAATCTAGTGATAATAACGATAATAATAATCATCTAGATAATAACGTATTGCAGTAGAGTAATGGTCAAATAAAATAATATTAGGAACATCCTAAAAAGTAACAGCGGCCGACTAGATTTTTTCCTAAAAAAATACAGCAGCCCACTAAATTCTTTATCAGAAAATGTTTTTTGTCCTGGCGTGTAATGCTTTACATTTTATTTTTTAATTTCAAATCGGTGAGTTTTATCAAAAAAATACAAGAGATAAAAAAGTTTCTAAATAAACTAAACTATCCAAATTATTTTTTTTGCATGTGTTAGATAAGATTTTTCTTTAAATTTCGTTAACAAGAATGATAGGGGTAGTTTATTTCAACCCCTTCCGCTCATTTTAAAAAAGTGAAAAAATTACCAGAAAGTGTGTTGTCATAACAGTAATGCTTTCATAAAATTTTATTAGTCTATCTCTTTTCGTTTTCAAGATAAAAAATAAAAACATTATTTTTCCGCCATCTTTGTACCGCAATATCTCCCTAATGGTTGACTTTTGACCCAACGTTTATGAAGCAAACTACCCTTTATTTTGAACAAGGAATCACCCCCTGAAGTTTTTCGCATTTTTTTTAAACACCCTGTATATTACTCTTTGTTACCTCGGCTTTACAACTGTAAGCGTCAACGCCAGAATATAAACAGCACCTGTAGATACATTCGACCACATCTCTGCCTGTAACTCTATTAGAACCTATTCCACAGTAACTTTTGCCTAGAGAAGATTAAAAAAAACAATTATTAATATTTTTTGGGTCTTCTCTAGGTTTGAAAACTATTTTCCAAAAAGAAAAATGTATGGAATACTACCAGCTACGATGATTTATGATGAACATTGAACGTTCATTACTAGAGAGTATGAGTTACGTTACCACATTGTTGCAATTTTAGCTTGAAAATTGTCTGTAACAAGTCGTTACCTTCAGTGTCAATTTTGGCACCACAAGGCCAACCATAAGGTTTATCGTCATGGCCCACCAAGAAAAACTCTTGTTCGAAACCGAATTTCACTTCGTGATCGCAAACTTTGTTCAAAGTTTCGATGCAACACTGCCTGTTGTTCGTTTTGGTAGGTTTCTTTTCCGGAGTAAAAGCCTCACACAGAACAATCTTATTGTTACCTAAGAATCCAGAGATAATACAGAAGTATTTTACAGAATTCCAGCAAAAAATTTATCAAATTGGGTTTTCAATTCGATAATTTGTGGTTGATTTAAAACGTCTATTAGAGACACTGATTGACTTCTGAACCCTCCAATGAACTGACACATACAGGGTGTCCCACTTAAGATGGATACAGGGCAATATCTTGGTTGTTCGTTGAGTGATCTTTTTCATTTTTGGCAGGAGGCTGTATGGCTATAAGACGTACATTTTGCACAGGGTAAGAAATGCGATACCTCATAGACGTACGTTTTAATGGATTAAATAGATTATTAACTGATAATTGGATATAATTTGTTATTGATAATAAACCAGTTGTTTATCCAGTGGCGTCGTAAGTACTTAAAAAAATAATAAAAATAAAAATGTCTTATTTTAATGACACACCCTGTATCAATATTTATCAAAATTAGAACTTAAGTATCTTGGCTAAGGAGAATTCAACATAATTTATCAGATTTGAAATAAATACTGTCGTAAGGGTAGTTTACTCTTGACTCGAAAAATATCAAACTCCTTTAAAACGTACGTCTATGAGGTATCGCATTTCGTACCCTGAGCAAAATATACGTCTTATAGCCATACAGCCTCCTGCCAAAAATGAAAAAAATCGCTCAACAAACAATCAAGATATTGGCTTGTATTCTTGTATCCATCTTAAGTGTGACACCCTGTATATAAAATTGAATTAAACGAAAAAATCTCTAAGGAAGGTATAAAACTGGACCTTATTGTTTGTATAAATTGTAACTGGGGATTAATTAAAAAGATCTGTAGGAAAAACTAGATAAATAAATATTTTTTTACCTCGTCTGAATGGATCTGGATACATTGCGATCGGTACTATATAATAATCGGACTTCTCTGGACCACCTACAAAATTTTAGTGTAATTTTTAAGATATTTTTTTCTTATTTTTAATATCGTCTCTTACTGAAAAACGTACTGCTTCCATCAAATGTCCAGTTTGGGCATTCCTTATAAGTGGAAGGCACAAAATCCAGAGTTCTTGTTTTCGTTCTTAAGTCTATTCCAGTTCCGTCAATCCAGACATAACAAATTTGAGTTTTTGGTTCGGGTATAGGCAGACACATGTATCTGTTTGATCAAAACCGTTAAAATATACTATGTGGCATAGAAATTGCAACACCCAGTAAGTTTAAATATAGTTTATTAATATTTTGGGAAGTATCGCCTTTCTCTATGCCTGGGACTCTTTTAAGACCATCGTGAGACTACAAATAAAAACGTGACTCGTCACTATAAACAACCCGATTCCACTTCTGATTCCAGTGAGCCCGTTCTTGTCATCATGAGAGACATAGCTGTCTATGTTTATTGGTTGGTTAATGGCAATAATAATCGCGGACAGTATGAATGTAGCCCATAAGCTCTAATTTTTTTGATAAATGGGTTTGGCAATTGAATCTGTTAAAGAAGGGTTTAGTTTAAAAAAATTGTGGGAAGTTATTCCAACATATTGCAAAGCATATTTCCGAGACGTTCGTTTTAAAGCAGCGTATCTCCAATATAAACAGAAATAATGTCGTGATTAAAAAAACAAAATGCTCACAAAAGATAAGGCTACAATGTGATTTGATTTAGCAATAGCTACTAATAGAGCTGCACCTTACAGGGTGTCACAAAGTTCGAGCAAAACACTTCGGCTTATTGTTGTGCCCTGTATATGCTCAAAATAAATTCGGAATAAAAATGTCTGAGGTAGCATCCGTTAAGAAGGAATTAATTGACAAATTAAAAAAAAATCATCAAAATCTAATGAGTGGTTCGCGAGAAATCCAACTCTGAAACTGGGACTAGTTTTTAGTGGCCGGTTTTTTTTGCCGGTGAGTGTAGTTAAGTATATACTGGATGTTGCAATTTCTGTGTCAAGCAGTATAGTTAAAACGTCCCCTATCTCAAATACTGTTATAGCTCGCATTTTATCCCAGTATCCTTCAGGCAGAAATTTGCGCTATCGAAAGATGCGTACAATTTATCTTAGATAGGAACTATCGAAAACAGGAAATTGCCATCCTATCCGATAGTCAAGCAGCACTTAACGCGATCAACTCAGTAACCATCAATTCGAAGTTGGTTAAAGAATGCCTAGAGAAGCTCAACAAATTAGGCAAAGAAAATAAAGTCCTCCTACTCTGGGTGCCTGCTCACCAATGGATAGAAGGCAATGAAAAAGCAAATGATCTAGCTAGAAAAGGAGCGAACACTCCACTGACTGGACCAGAACCGTTCTGTTTTCCAAACGAGAACCAACTGAAAGCGGAACTGAAGAATCTGGAAGACTCCATCCGTAACTTGGAATGGGTGTCCTCCAACGGTCTAAGATACTCGAAAAAGTTCCTTAGAACCGAGAAAAATCAAAGGTTTTCCTTGATTTAAGTAAAAACAATCTTCGGATTGTCACGGGGTTTCTAACAGGACACTGTCTCCTCAACGAACATCTCAGTAGGCTGAAACTGAGAAACAACGGCGAATGCAGATTTTGTGGGGAAAATGGGGAAACACCAGAACACCTTATCACTGAGTGCGCCGAGACGACGACCATTCGTGCCATGAACCTTGGTACGTCTGATGTCGAGGATGGAGAGCTGGCCTCTGTGGAGCCGTCTCAGATACTGGCTTTTCTTAAAGCCCTGAGACTGTATAATGAGTTATAACTCGTTATAACTCAAGAAAGGGGAACACACAATAGATATATAAGGTCGCGGTGATTAACTCCCCTCCTAAACATTCTATTCTATTCTATTCTAGCTCGCATTTTTAAAATGTGTCAGTATAAAAGAAAATAAAAAATTAACTCGTAATTTTTGTGAGATACATCCAATTCAAATACTATCATTGCCTTGAGACCGTGATAGATATAGTTACAGTACTTCGTTAGATAAAAGTAGTACCTATAGGGAAGTCTCAAATAGAGTAAGATTTTTAAGTTACGCTCTTTTACTTGAGATAGAGGAGACGTTTGTATAAAAAATAAATCAAATCAAGCAGTACCTACCTGTCAGAGATATTTTTGTCTAATTGTGAGTTCGGCGAACACTGCAGCTGATTTAATTTGGGAGGGGAAAAATGAAAACGTCTTTTTGCGTTTAGAGTTCCATTGGTAATTTGTAGTATTTGTTTTAAACATTTCATTTTCACATTGATAAGCTGTCAATTTGTATGACGGAATAAGTTTTTGGTTTGAAGGAAGGTGATTTATGTTTGACAGAAAAATACCCGAAATAAATTTATATACAAGGTATCCCGAAATTTCGTGGATATAAATCTACTATGGTCTTTGAATCAGAAGACTAAGGAAGGAGCATAATGCTATCCATGTATTCATGCATGATGGGCGGAAAAAGCACTCTAGGGTGGGGATCCTTGACAGTTCTGTTTGACGATTCATTTGACACATTTGAATTTGATTTGAAATTTTGTGGATTTGTCAGTCTTTACGAAACTTATTTTATGTTATTTATTATTTATTCTACTACTGATAGTTGTATAAAGGTAGTAAATCTAGATGGAAATTGTGGCAGAACTTAAATTAACAGTGACACTATCGCGATTTATCGAAAAGACTCTAAAATAGTTGGTTGTGTAGCGTGCGGTAGATCTCGGAAAAAATTGAGTGAAATAATGGAACAACTTTTCGCTAGTAAGTGACTATATAATATACATACGTGTAGTAAACCGATCATTTATGAAATTCACTTAAATTAACTAAATTATATATTTTTCTTGCATTTTAACTTTTATTTATTACTTGTCAAAGATTAGATGTCAAAGAATTTAGATACGTTAATTTGACTTACTTACACTTTATTTTTATTATAATTATATATTTTTATAACAATTTTAGTAACTACCAACTTTTATTCACAACGTAAAATAAAACAACAAATTATTGAGTCTACCCCACGTCTACCCTACATCATAGTTTTACATTTTTTAAATAAAATTAGAACGACACTGAGAAACCGGAATTTAAGTCGGCCATATTTGAGGCCCATCGCGGTGTATTTACCTAAGATTTTTGATATGCGTCTTCTTATTCAAAATCTATAGTTCATATCAAATAAACTTTTAATCAAAATATTTTAGAAAATAAAAACAAATTAATTATAAATATATAAACAGTTATTATTTACATCAACAAAACTCACGTTCTTAACTGCACTGAAGATAAAGGGCCATTACTACAGCATTCCTGTTCAAAATATATTATAATAAAGTTGCGATGAGTTTTTTACGTCTATTAAGCTATCTTGTTGTAAAAAAGGTTCTAAAAAGAACAATGTTCGACTGCAAGGCCTGCTAGTAAAAATGTTTAAGCTTAAAATATCACAACCAAAAACTCGTAATACAAAACTAAAGTGTCAAAACGAATGATAATGTCAGGAAAAAAAATAAATGTGGCAACATGATATTTCTTTTACAGCAGAGCTACCACCTGAATCCCCAGCGGGAAATTTAAATTCCACTTAGTCAGCTTGGCGCCGAATATGTTCATGGTTGGCAACAATGAATTAAAAAACTGTGCTCTCGATTACGTACCTAATAGTTTTGTTGGTATCGAATATACATATTTTTGCAATCATTAATAAGAAAAAAAAATTGATTATAAGGAAAATTCCACACTTGTAATTTTTAACCAATCAAAACATGTTTTTTTGACAAATCACCATGGCAACGGATAAATTTTAGTGAAAATTCCACACCTGTAATTTTTAACCAATCAAAACATGTTTTTTTGACAAATCACCATGGCAACGGATAAATTTTAGTGAAAATGTTTTCCTTGTGGGCACCCAACAGCGAATTATACTGGAAATTTTTTGACGTTTATAATGACAGAATATCTTTTTGAGAGTCTGATTTTTGTTAGTTTACATGACAATTTTGACACATTTCAATTACAAAGCTGAGATGAAAGTTTGTAAACCTTCCATACGCTTGACTTTGATTTCCTAGTATTCGCGGGTGTCAACTGCTTAATCTCCTGGCGAAGATTTTCTTTGCTTTCATGACCCAAGCGAAACATTTTTTTAAGCCGTACCGCTTGACAGCTTCAAAACCATAGATAAAAGAAAATAATCTACTTGTTCAAAACCTTTGAATAAGAAGACTAAGGAAGGAGCATATCAAAAATCTTAGGTACACCGCGATGGGCCTCAAATATGGCCGACTTAAATTCCGGTTTATCAGTGTCGTTCTAATTTTATTTAAAAAATGTAAAACTATGATGTAGGGTAGACGTGGGGTAGACTCAATAATTTGTTGTTTTATTTTACGTTGTGAATAAATGTTGGTAGTTATTAAAATTGTTATAAAAATATAATATAATTCTAATAAAAATAGATAAGTTATAATAAGTATTTATTAACACAAACATCCGATACGCTACTGAAGCAGGTAAGTCAAATTAACGTATCTAAATTCTTTGACATCTAATCTTTGACAAGTAATAAATAAAAGCTAAAATGCAAGAAAAATATATAATTTAGTTAATTTAAGTGAATTTCATAAATGATCGGTTTACTACACGTATGTATATTATATAGTCACTTACTAGCGAAAAGTTGTTCCATTATTTCACTCAATTTTTGCCGAGATCTACCGCACGCTACACAACCAACTATTTTAAAGTCTTTTTCGATAAATCGCGATAGTGTCACTGTTAATTTAAGTTCTGCCACAATTACCATCTAGATTTACTACCTTTATACAACTATCAGTAATAGAATAAATAATAAATAACATAAAATAAGCTCCGTAAAGACTGACAAATCCATAAAATTTGAAATCAAATTCAAATGTGTCAAATAAATCGTCAAACAGAACTGTCAAGGATCCCCACCTTAGAGAGCTTTTTCCGCCCACCATGCATGAATACATGGATAGCATTATGCTCCTTCCTTAGAGCGCTTGCACACACACCGGCAAAATCGGTGCCGGAGTCAGCGCCGGCTTTCTACATCTTCCGACAGTTGTATCCGTTGTATTTAATTCTATTGTATTTACCGGTCGCCGACTATTTTACCGGATCGGAGTATATGTGAAGGAGCTAATTTATTTATATTGCAATCGATTTCAGCTCCGACACCGGCACCGATTTTGCCGGCGTGTGTGAAAGCGCTCTTAGTCTTCTTATTCAAAGTTCAAAACTGAAATAGTTTTTAGCAAGTTTTTAGGTTTGGGTGTCACTTAGTTATCATCATGCCCTAGACACTCAATGGTAATTTTATAGAACTACAAATTTAGTTTCTTCCGCATCGCCAGATAGCGCAAAAAATATTAAAATACAGGTTTCTAATTTATATATGAAGGTGACATGACAGTCTCTATGTTAACTACTGTCTATGGTCTAGTTTTTGTCTAGACAGAATGTTGGTGATCCGTCAAATCATTATTTATATAATTATTAATTCAGATATTCCTAATTTATCGGAAAGTTCAGTGATTTCAGTGATTTGTGTTTATAGTTTGTGTTTAGTGTCTTCTGATATTTACAGTCGATCATCATTTTCGTGTTAGATACTAAACTTTTTTGTTAAAGTCATTTTGACATTTTAGAAATGATAAATTTATGAACCAAATAAAAAAATAGTTTATAAATAAGTAAGTACATAGTTGGTAATATATAGTATTTTTAGTAACAGTTAATTAGTAGTCTATACTATTTTTACTATATTATAATTTAGTTGTTAAATCAAAAAAAATAGGCGCTATGTAATCTATTGTTGGTGTTTAAAATGTATGTATTCATAATTTTAATTTTGTTTTAATTATGTTACACTTCTAATGATCTAATAAAACATAAAATGTAGTAAAAAAGTCTATATTTATTATTTTATATTTTACAAGGAATAATTTTCCGCTTGAATAACGTTACCGTTTTAGTTAGCGTTAATACGTATCGGAACGCTAAAATTATGTTATGCTAAAACTCTCCATTAGTTTCTTCCGGATCACCAGGTGGCTCTAAATGACGGACCCATTTGTTTTATATCAGTGTCCAATCTATCTCTAGTACGTGACATTAGTCTATGTTATCATAGTAACTAAATAATCAATTCGACCAAAAATCGAAAAATACATTTTAATTTTATTTGATTTTCAAACACAATTTGGTGTGGAATTTTCTTACCGAATACCACACGAGGTCAAATTATTTCCGGAAATTTTTTCGAGCTCGACGAGAATACACGAGAAAAATTACTTTTTTATCTTCGACTCGGGATAATTTTCAAAATATTCATGAGCTCGAAAAAATTTCCGGAAATAATTTGACCTCTAGTGGTATTACTAGTGAAAAAATAGGGCAAATGTCAGTGGCACCTGATTTTTACAGTAAACTACATAAATTTTAACTTAATTAAAATTTGTGTATATATGGAAACAATTATTTATGAAACTTTAAAAAATAATTCCAACACAAAATACAAAAACATATTTTTATTGATAAATAAATAAAAAAAAACAGTAGTAGGTACTTCTTAATACGTTGGAATAACTTCCCACAATTTTTTTAAACTAAACCCCTCCTTAACAGATTCAATTGCCAATCCCAGTTCTTCAGAATATACAGGAGGTCTATCTTTTTCGTGACCCTCATCAGCCAAATACGCAGATATAGTGTTGCTTATTTCATCCTTAGGATCCTCTACAATCTAAAATATCCCTAATAGTAATATTTTTAAGAAAAATATTTTAAATTTGAGTACTTCTAAGTCGTTAAAAATGTTGCTCGTTTGAGGCGCTTCAGAAGTTTGCAAACTCCATTTATACTCAACTCCATAAATGGGATTATTCATGTAAACAGTATATAAAGAGGTGAGTTCTTTGAGAAGGTTATGTAGTTTTTCTTCTGGATCAACTTTAAAACCAAGAATGAAGTTTCCGCTACGTTCGTTACTCCTTATCACCAATGCATTTCCAAATTTGGAGTCTCTAATTTTAATCTAAAATATTATAAAGTAAAATCGTTTTATTTTAAGAGTTTAGTCTTACTGATTCAATTTGCAGGTATGGTAAAGATATGTTGAATCCTTCGTTGACGTCAGCAAACCAAACGAAGCGAATATTGCTGACTATGAACGTGCCCAGGCTGCCTTGATCGCTTGACAGGTTCCAAACGCCATGGATGTTAGAAAAAATCTGTTCCAGAGGTAAAACCTTTAATTTTTTGTTATGTACTACACCTCCTCTGAGTTTCAGTTCTCTATACAACTTTGATGTTATAAAAGCTCTAAAAATATAATAATTTGGAATTATTTTATTGAATTATTATGTTGTTAATATATCAAGACTCAATCATATTTATGCCAATCATATTAAATGTCACTCAGTTGACAGGATATAACATACAGACCATAGAATAGGTACATTAAAGAAATGCTAACTGCATGTTAAAAAATGGAAACAGGCGCCACCTGGTGTCGCCTGGCAGTACTAGCGAAATTGAGGGGAATTGGAGGGGCGGGGCTTAAAAGAGGGGAAATTAAAAAAAATATATTTTTATAAGTAGGTATTACTGACTTACTGTTTACAGTTAATAAACATATTTTTTATTACTTTAATATAATTTAATGTATTAAAAAATATGTCTATTAACTTTACACAGCAAATCAATGATATTATTAAAGACTTATTATTTTCAGAGAAAATTCATAGTAAATAAATTGCACATTAGTAAACAATATCATTTATTTTTTAGAGCTGCGATTTATATTACAATAATATTGAAATATATATATATTTTTTTAACAATGAAAAAGAATATCCCGGAACCTGAAAAAGAAAGATGATCAATTAATGACTTAAATTAGTTCAAAATACATTTTGCAAATAACTAGTGAATTGGGAAGATAAACATACTATTAAAAAGACATTTTAGTAGTATGTTATCATCTATTTACTGATAATACATTACATAAATATATAATAGGTAAATAACATGCATAAAGCACTATGATACAACTACCTGTATCATGATAACACACTAATATGACAAAAAATATATGCTAATTTAAATTCCTTTAATGATCTAATGAAACACTATCTAGCCTCAATGCATGCCATTCCAAAGGCAAAAAAAACTGTTATACCAAATAAATATAAGCTGAATAAAACATAAACCAAGCCAACGTGCATAAAAAACCAAAAAATGCATCAAAAAATACTTTTATCAGATCATACCCTTGGATATATTATGTATTTTATATATCGCACATCCCGTTCAAAAGTTTACTAACTCAAAATAGAGAATATAGAGAACATTGTCAAGAGAAGTAAAAGAAAATTTAAGTTAAGGCAATATGCTCCTTTTTGGATATTAATGGCCAAATAATATAATGTTGATTTAATAAAATTTTACTGGCATCCTTCTGAGGTATAAATCAGATTAAAAGGACATTGTTTTTGTAATAATTGTTTGTTTTGTAAACATTTTTTGAAGACAATACAGTTTTGAACGGGCTGTGCGATATAAACAAGGATCTTACTATTATTTGAGGTTAGAAAGTATTTAAATAACATAAAACATAATCAAAATCATTTGTCATCATAAATTATAGAGGTACTTACGTGTTTTGATATTATTATCAGGAAATAATACGTTTAGTTAAACAGGTACGCTGCCAGGCAAGTTCTATCGGCGGGTCTTTGCAAAAGTTGAAATCTAAAAATACAAAACTACGTTTACATCTTAGTTGTATTTACGAATAAAGTATTTGTGTGTAATTTCTGACTTACCAGTTAATTGAATAATCGCATTAAATACATCCAAATGGTAATTTAATATTGTAAAAAGCAAAATTGTTTTAAATCGCTTGCCAGGACAGCCCGGCCAGCTTCTTTGTTGACAAAATGGCCGCGGTATCATGATTTAAGCAATGTGAGTGACAAAGAAAGCCAATGCCTGGCAGATGTTGCTTTCTTTGTCGTTGGTCCTGGCACGTTTAAATTTGACTGTTGCCTGTTTTCCCATACAAGTGACACCCCCGTGATACAGACTATGCATAGAGACATAACTTAAAAATATATGATTATCTTTTCTTTACGCAGGTTAGGCAGATATTTAGATTAGGTTGCTGTTTGGTACTTACTTGTGAACACCAACCACTGAAGTAAAATGCCTCATATTATCTTGCTCTAAATTAGTAAATATAAATTCGTATCTGGTACCATTAGAAATTGTTAGGAGGTGTAAAGCGTGTGTGGTTCCTTTAGTTTTCTGAAAGAATGACTATTAACCTTAGTACAATGCTAGACCCAACTTAAGTCTCTAAAAAATATTCTGTTATTATAGATATTTATAATTTTAAGATAAAACCAGTTATTATGAAGTGCGTTATTTGTTTTATTTAGCATAATATAAATAATAATAATGATGATAGTAATACTCATAATAATAAATTTGGTCTCGACTTACCGAATTAACAATTTTTGTATTTATTGAAATTATGGTGTTCAATCCAATACCTAAAAAAATAAAATAAAAATAATAACAAATATTTTAGACTAGGATTTTTTTGGTTTACTTAAATTTACTCTTGGACTGATCATGGAATGCCAAAGAATCCTCAGATTAGTAATGATTAAACGTCCACGATCACCTGCATTGCCTTTTGTGTCTTCTATGTTGTCCAATTTATCAATTACTTTTTCTCCCAATCTTAATCTCATTTCACTAAAAAGAGTATTAATTTAATCATGTTATATTTAAAATCGGTTGAATGTTTTGTTAAATCTTTTGTTAAAAAAAGCAAAGATGACACACTGGTACTGAATATGTTGTGATCTAAATTATACTGTTTTTTTTTATTAATTTTGTTGAATATTTTGTGACTATATATGATAATTACAACAATATACAGAGTGTCTCTGGCTGAGCGTGCATTAGAAGTTTCAAAAGAAACTAAATCTTAAATAACTTAAAGACGATTTATTTTAGGTATAGGAACATGTACAGTGTGACCCACTCAAGACCGGGCACCCTCCATAAAATCTGTGTTTATAGTCCGATTTTGATGATTTTTTTTTCAAATATAAAGTTTCAAAAAATGTACTTTAGGGCTCAATGTCATGTTATTTCACAAAAAACAAGGCCTACTTAATAAAGTTTTTGTGGTGAAAAATTTGCAAAAATCATATTAGCGATTTTTTTTCAAAAATTTGAGTACACCCCCTACATTCGGCATCCCCAAAACAGTTCTGTACCAAATTTCGTTTAAAAATATTAATTATTAATAATTCTGCAGTTAAATTAAATAATTCCCTATTTTTGCCAATTTAACGATGAGTTATCAAGTAACCCTTGAAAAAAACAATCCACGACAACGAGTTTTATTAAAAACAATGATAAAAATACTACAAGCAACACAATAACCGAATAATAAGTTAAACATATTCAAATAATTCTAGTTGCTTCTACCAGCCCTCCATTCAGTTCAATACATTTGTCGCATCTTTTTCTTAGATTAACAGTTACATTCCTAAGCTGCTGTGTTGTAATATTTGCAAAAGCCTCTGTAATTCTAATACGTAATTCATCTACAGATTGAGGTTTAGACTTGTAAACTTGTTGCTTTAAGAAACCCCAAAGAAAGAAATCAAGGGGTGTTAGGTCCGGGGATCTCGGTGGCCACTCAATTAGCGGGCTATTTCGACCTATCCACTTATTTTCAAAATTTTCATTTAACCATTCCCTGACAACTGCCGCGTTATGCACAGGTGATCCGTCCAATTGAAATTTTAAATTCAAACGGGTTTGGCATGGTAAATTATGTATTGCATCCCAAAAGTCATTAATCAGAAAATTCAAAAACGTTGGACTATTCAAATTTCTCTCAAAAAAATATGGACCAATGATTCTATCATCAAGTATGCCACACCACACATTTAATTTCTGAGAATACTGTCTTCTTGTATTGATCACCCATTCAGGGTTTTCGACTGCCCAGAATCGCGAATTTTGAGAGGATACTACTCCGTTTGTACTAAATGTTGCCTCATCACTAAATAAAATTTCTTTTAAGAAATTTCTATTATTTAAATACTCTGCTTGAGCCCATAAGCAGAATTCTAATCGTCTAACATCATCTCCGTTTTCCAAAGTGTGTAAAATCTTTGGTTTAAAGGGTTTAACTTTATTAGTTCGCAAACATCTCCTAATATTTTCCCTTGGTATATCCAAATCAACACTGGCGCCTCTAATGCTTGCACGAGGATTGTTACGAAAATATTCTAATATTTCCTCATTCCGCCTATTTATTCGATGTTCCGGCCTTCTGTTTTTTAGTAAGTATTTTGACACACAACCAGTTTCATTAAAAACTCTATTTATTCGTTGAACCGTGCTTCTACTTACTGCAGGTCTGTCGGGATGTCTGTTGTTAAATTCTCTGGCAGCTTCTCCTGCTTGAAGATAGTTATCACCCACTAAACGAATAATTTCAATTTTATCCCTAATATTTAATTGTTCCATAATGCAAATAATATTTCTTGATACAACACTTTCTGCGTGCTATTAAATTAATATTCAATTCTACGCTGCAAGAATTGACAGCTAATAAAACCCATTGTTGTGGATTGTTTTTTTCAAGGGTTACGTGATAACTCATCGTTAAATTGGCAAAAATAGGGAATTATTTAATTTAACTGCAGAATTATTAATAATTAATATTTTTAAACGAAATTTGGTACAGAACTGTTTTGGAGGATGCCGAATGTAGGGGTGTACTCAAATTTTTTGAAAAAAAATCGCTAATATGATTTTGCAAATTTTTCACCACAAAAACTTTATTAAGTAGGCCTTGTTTTTTTGTGAAATAACATGACATTGAGCCCTAAAGTACATTTTTTGAAACTTTATATTTGAAAAAAAAAATCATCAAAATCGGACTATAAACACAGATTTTATGGAGGGTGCCCGGTCTTGAGTGGGTCACACTGTATAATCAAAAAGTAACGAAATAAAAAACATTTTCATTAGTGAATCAAAAATGTGGGTTTCCATTTGAACGTTTGAACGCATTTGTATGCCACAGCGGCTGTGTTAATCACTAAATTTGTTGTTTAGGTTTAGGCTATACAGATTTTTTTGACAGGCAGTTTTTTTCCTCCAAAAATTTTAAATATTTTTTTTTCTCAAAAACGGCTAATGTTAGGTACTGAGTGTTTGATATCGAGGTTCATAAAATTTTACAGATAATTTAAGTGTGTAATAAAATATGGGGGTACCTAATTAAAATAAAAAAGTTGCTGTCAACTTCCGGTATTTTCGGAAGTGCCGCCATATTGAAAATATTTTTAATCTATAGATCTCGTTGTGAAACAGTAATGTGCAAAAAGATATCCAGATATTGTAGTTCTCTAAAAACTTCTAATGCACGCTCAGCCTGGGACACATTGTATATAATAATTAATATTGCGTACTTACGAGAAGGACACATCAAAATTAACTTCTCTATCTTCGTAGGTTAATGCCATTGTATATAAAATTCTTCAAAATTATTTCAGAAATTAATAAAAATAATTCTTTCTCTGCTGGTAAACTATACGCTTGGATAGGCTTTTATCGATCATAAAAAGAGTTGCTATGGTTACACTGTATGGATACAAATAAAATTTGTCCCACTGTCCAAAGAGACGATACCTGAGAGTGACAGTTGTATTCTGCCTTTTTAATTTAGAGGTTAAGGTAAACTGTTTTTTTGCCATTTTTTGGATCTCGTCTGTCGAAATCTTGTTAGACAGAAGAAGGACTGGATCGATTTTAATAATTTCTGATTTGTTGGAAAGATTGTTGGAGAATTTAAAATTTAGTCTAGGATTTGTCTTATTTCAAAATCACTAAATAGATTTTAGCATGGTAAGGTATTTTGGTTCTTTCGAAAAAGAAATTGTATAGTAAATGAACTGAGTAGAAAAATATAAATCCATTTAAAAGACTTATTTAACTTAAGATAATATGAGCGAATCACCCCGTATATTTTTTAAAATATATGCTACCATTGCCCGCAGGTATAAAATATGGAAATTCTTCGGAACAGTAGATCAAATCTAGAGAAAACCAAATACTTTTCTAAAATACTTTTATTTATATATAACGTAAATTCGTAAAATATAACAACAAAGTTCGATACACATAAATAATAATGACTTTCCATTAATTATACCTAATTATAACAATAAATATTATTTTTTGTACATAACAATCTTACGTCCTTAAAAACTAAGAACTTGAATTTGAAAAATGTCTAAACAATTACTGATATATTAAAACTATTAAACTAATTGAGAGTTATAGTTTACATCATCTAAAATATCATAATTTATTCGATTTTTTTTTCATTTTACATATATCCTTTCATATCTCAAGTTAAACATAAATCATAACTAATATCAGAAGTTGGATTTTGAATATATATGATAATTTTTGTTTATTTTCCATTTTATCTACACATAATATACTATTGTTCTAAATTTGAAAGAAATATGGCATATTAACAATCAATAAATTTATAAAGATTTTTTATACATTTATATCTTAACAATAATTATTGTGCCCAGCTAATTTTTGCTTCATTATTTTTAATAACTGTGAATGTACAATTTAAAGTCCATATAATATTAAAAATAACACTTAAAACAATCAGATAAGCTGACTTAGTTTATGTAAAATACTGGAGATGAACGACATCATGGTTGAGCTCTAACTCTACAAATAAATACGTACAATCTGTACCAATGCCACACTTGCTTGATTCAACAAGATGATTCGTTCCTACAAGTTCCTAAAACCAAACGAATTATCGAAAAACGTGATTTTTGGTGGAGTTAATCCTATAGGAACCTCATTGGGATCGTTATTAGAAAAACTCGACTCTTGATTTGACCTGAAAACCCTAGTATTAGGAACCAAAGCTGCGAAGCTCTGAGTTTCAAACGGTTGAACACTTTGTTGAATGTTAAAACTGTTCAAATTCGTCACAGTTCCCTCATGGTTTGACCTCAAAAATCGACTGCTTTGAGGATTGTTATTGAAGTTTTGAGGCTGGAAAGCAGAGAACCCTGAGTTTTGATTGAGATTCGAATTGAGTTTAGGAGACAGGAAAGAAATTTCGTTATTCTGTCTTAAGAACCCGTTTGTTCTGACTAGGCTGATCTCATGTTTTGGTCTAAAAGGCTCGTCTGAGGGTAGTATCGAGAAAGTACTCTGACCAAATCCGTTATTAATGGGTTCCTGTCGTAGAAACAGGTTTTGGTTTGGGTTATTAAAGCTTGGAAAATTGTTCGTATTCTGAACCTGAGTATTTTTAGCAATGTTACTCCTGATATTGGGTGGTATCAGATTAGAACTTGGTAAAAAGTTCTGATTATTACTGTGAAAATTGACTGGAGCACTTAAAGTCGGTAACGAAATAGGAATATTGTTAAAGTTTGTATTAAAACCTTCTATCTGGTTTGGTCTGAACTTAGAAGATTTCTCTTTGTTGGGTAACAAAAAAGACTGAACGACTGGTAGAGTATTCCTGGCTTCTACCAAAGGATTAAAAGAAACACTCGGCAAGAAAGATACATCCGCAGAATTCTTAATATTCGATTGAAAGTTATTGGGGTTGAATTTATTCAAAATCGACACTGCATTTTCGTCTAAAAGTTTTTCAGGATCTACAGAAGCCAGTTTGGTAACAATGCTTCGATCTGGTTCACTAAACACTGGTTCAAGTTGTTTAAAATGTTGAGTTTTGCCTTGGTTAAAACCGTTCTGTAGTAGAGACTGGAAATTTGAGTTTTGATTAAAACTAGGGAAGCTGTTAGATGTGAAAGATGGGTTGCTGTTTCGCAGTTTCAAGCTTTCATCTTGCAAAGTTTGTTGGTTGCGTATGTTGGCCAGTTCTAGTTCCAAAATTTGTTGTTTCTTCTTGAGATCGAAATTATTAAACTCGGGAGATTGAAGCAGTTGTTGCTGTTGTTGCGGTTGTTGTTTCTGTTGTTGCTGGGACTGTGGCTGTTGCTGAGGTTGCTGAAATAGCACATAAACATACATTTATTAATAAATATAAATAAATATTAACTTTGCAATTATTAAAAAAAGTATTTTATCTTATTCTAATAAAAAATACTGATTTGAATTAATTTATTTTCTATAGGGTGGTCCAAATTGTATTCTGGAAACTTCGGCAGCATATTCTGCAGATAGAAATAAGTAAAAAAGTTCGTATAAATGTATGTCCTGAAATGCTTAGTTTCGGAGATACAGGGTGTAGAAGTTTAAAAATAAATAAAAATAAAACAGTTTCTTTTGAAGTTTTATTATACATTTTTCTATTGAACTTTATATTTCAAATTTATGATTTCAGTCTAGTAAACTATTCTCCGGATATTCTCCTTCACGAGTTGATAAATTAATTAGAAAACGTAGGTATAGGTTAATGATTTCTGAAAATTCGACTTTTCAAGTGGAGAAAGATACGTCTAAATATTTTTCGATACCGTTTGATAGAGAGTTATCCCGTGGTCTAAAAGGAATTTTTAAGAATGTCAATTATAAACTTGTGTATAGTGCTAATAATAAATTACAACAATTATTAGGTAATCCAAAAGATAAAACACCTCCACTGGAAAGATCGGGTATTTATGAAATTTCTTGTAAAGATTGTAATCAGAAATATGTTGGGCAAACTAGAAGATCAATATTAACTAGATTTAAAGAACATTTAGCTCAGATTAGATACGGTAGACCGGATAAATCTTGCGTTGCCGAACATATTGTTGATAATGAACATTGTATAGATCTTAATAATTTAAAATTAATTATACAAGTCTCAAATTACAGGCAATTAGATGCATATGAAAGCATCAGAATTAATAAATGTAAAGATAGTATGAACAGAGTCAACGGTCCAATTCCTTCAAGTTCTTTGTTCCTACTACTCTAGTGGCGGAAATCTAACTGTTACGCTCAGTTGGCTCTGACTCGGTTGGCTAGATTTTGCCACGCCCACTCGTTGCCCACTGAGCGTGTATATAAACGCTCAACTTTTAGATTGTACTTTAGTTTATAATCATCTGCTGATGATGCTAACATGGTTAGCGAAACGCGCGTCCAGTGTAAAAGTAAAAGTGTTTTGGTGTATTGTGGTGATTTAGTGTTTTTATTTTGCTAGTAAACTGTTTATAGTCAATATGTTTAATTTATGTCGATGATAAGTATTGATAATTTCGATTCCAAATATCTTAAGAACCATTACTCGTAGCGATTTTTAGCAACAGACCTTTTTTACGGAAAAAACTTCGTAAATGTATATTTTTATACTCAGTAGTTTTATACAGGTACGGACGAAAAGTCCGTACATACTCTTCAAACTGGTTAAAAAATATGTAGATGGCGCCCTCTATCAGTAGGAGTCATTTGGACATCAAAATCAAATTTCTCATGTCAAAAAACTCCCAGACACCAATTTTCATCCAAATATTGACGTTACTTTATAAATTATTTGGAAAAAATCGAAATAAAAATGAAATTTCTACACCCTGTATCTCCGAAACTAAGCATTTTAGGACATACATTTATACGAACTTTTTACTTATTTTTATCTGTAAAATATGCTGCCGAAGTTTCCGGAAAACAGTTCGGACAATCCTGTATACCTGGCTTCGTGGAACTACTGGCCTAGCCTCTCCCTTGCTTTCTTGCTTGATTGGATCCAAACTACTTTTAAAAATAGGTTCAACTTTCTTTGGTTGACCCTGTTCATCCTGGTGGACGGTAAATGCAGCTACCAAGGGTGCGGAAAAAAACTGTACCTAAAAAAAGTAAATTTTTGTATTCAGAAACTTCTATATTTCCATTTCGTAATTACACATAATAAGTGATAATTCTTGAAAAATTCAGACAGTTCTACAGTCAATAGATAAAAGTTAGTTTGTGTTTAATGATTATAGATTTCCTCATAAGATAAACACTCTGAACTAGTAGTGGGAACTATCGAATGAATACTATCGAAACATTCGATAGTTGCAATTCGGCAGCAAAAACCATTCATTTATAAAATTCATTCATTTATCAAATTCATTTATTCGTCAGGATTGATTTTAATAAAATATAAACTGGATTTTAGTTGTCGTCCGGCGACGTAGGTTTCTTACCTAGAAACCCAACAGTGGTCGGTGACAATGCTATGAAAGAAGCCGGCATCTTTGATTTTTTGCACAGTCTAATAAAGATAAGGACACATTATTTTTTTTATTGAGGTGCTAGTATTTACACAGAAAATACATTATGTAGGGCGCTGTTGCCATATATTCATATTAGTTGGTATTAGCAAAGAATATTATTCTTTAGCATTAGTTAGTTAGGGATAGTATGTCTATATGTTTTGCATTTTTTTATTAATATTCTGTTGTTACAATGCAATAATACTTTTTATTTTGGATGTAGGAAAATGATTTTTAATGTTTTTAAGCAAAGACTGGTTTAATAAATAATAATTACAGTAATAATTTGTTGTACCTATTAACAACAAAATTTAAAATCATTTAATAATATAAACATTTTTTTAAGTAGTAGCAAAATATAAACAACAAATAGAAGTCAAAAGTATTTATATTAGATCCTATTTAAAAATAATATAGTCTCTAAATGGCAACGTTGGTTTATTAAATAATAATAATTACAGAACTAATTTGTTATATTAACAACAAATTTTAAAATCATGAAATATAAACATTTATTAATTTTCTAATCATGAAGTGTAATGAAAGGAAAATATAAATAAAAAATTAGAAATCAAAATTATTTATATTACTTTTTATTACTTTATATTACTATTTAAAAATAATATTTACTTTTACTGGCATTTACTTTAAAAAATAAATTAAATATTTCTTCGCAAAAACTACATGTAAGAGAATCAGCATAAACAAAATAAAAACATTGTTAACTTTTTTTTTAAATTGGCACGTGTAAAACTTTCAATTTAAGTTTCTCACCCCAAAATTTGAGTTCGATAACCATTTACTTAACCACATTACTTAAATATGATTATTAAGTTCAACTAATTCATATTATTAAAACATATAAAATTCAAATATGTATTTTTAAAATTAATTGTAAGTTCATCTCATCTCTCTTAAAAATTGCTACTTCTCAAAATTTCCCATTAAAAAAATGCAATCTAACCTAACCATAATATTCCATATAAAATTAAATAATTGAAAGATCGGGCTACGGAAAATCACACAAATTTTCGGAAAAATTTTGACCACTTCGCACACAATCGTAAATTAAAAAAAACCTACTGTTTTAGTATTTTAAATATTTTAATAAAGGCAAAAATAGCATAGTATTTACAAGGCGAAGTTATAAAAATTTGGAAGAACTAATAATGCCACTGACGCACACAAAAATCAAACGAATACTAAATTTCATTTATCAAAAGCATTCGATAGTCGTGGCTCGTGGCGCAACGATAACCATTTAGTCGCACGGCGAGGTTGTCACATATGCTTTAGTATACAAATGAATGAATGATTTTATTCGAATAAAACCATTCGATAGTTGAAATCATTCATTCAGTAACCATTCGATAGTCTAATTCATTCGATAGTTCCCATCGCTACTCTGAACAACAATACTTTGAATTAATGTCATGAAAAAATGTACTTAACAGAAATTTTATGTTCAAACATACCTGTTCAACTTTGGCTTCGTTTTCTTCAGTAGACGAAGTTATAATTGCCACGGTTGTCGTTTCGATCTGTTTATTCTCTTCTTCGTTTTGAATTGAAGATTTTTCACCTGGAAGGCTCTTTGACGGCTTTTCCGGTTCCGTTATGGAATTAAACGAGTTGGAACTAGCCAGTTTTATATAAACCGGACTTCTGTTTTCATCGCTAACGAAATTGTTAGAAGAACTGGTGACGAAAACTTCAGAACTCTTGGCAGGGTCCACAGAATTCCCTGGATCATCGTTGTCATCGTTTTTCTGCGTGTCTCTGCTTGATAAGGTTTTTGTGGTTTCGCTGTTTTCTTTTTCGAGCTGCGTTGCATTGGAATGTACCAATCTGGAAGAAAATTCTAGCTTAGCGTCTTATAAATTTCGATTTATATTCTGCAATTTGTCATCTTTTTGATATTTTTCTATTTCTTACTTACCGGTAAACTGATTGTTCATTGGTACTGTCTGTTTTAGTGACAATTGCGATACTGCTAGCTCTAGCTTTTTCGATATTTTTTGCCTCGTCCAAAAATGGATTCTCGCTGCTGTCATCATTTTCCAATTCTGTTAAGGCCTACAAAATAATCATTATTAAGAATAAAACACATTTATTTTCACTAAATCTTAGTAAATCATTATCTGAAAAAGCTTCTGTGGAGATAATTTAAGCTTTAAGATGAAATAAGTAGAATTTGATGTTTAATATAATGAGAAATTTGTATTTATTAGGATTATATGCAATATAAAACCTTACTTTTAATAATGCGCTTCTTAGATTAGCATCGAGTTTGTTGTGTTCTGAAGATGAAGCGATATCGTTTGATGAAACGTCGATGTTGACTGTAGTACTTGTACTTGTAATACTTTCTGTCGTTTCAGTGTTTTCAGATAGCGTAAACTGTAGTGCTAGTATCAGTTCCAACAGAAATAAGATGTGTTTTGCCTGAAAAGAAATAATCCATGTTATTACCTATATTTGTTTAATATTCATTTTGTTTAAGAGTCTATTACGTTGTAATGTTCGGGTCGCTTTCAGGGGTCGAGTAAAGAGGGTTTGATTGAAAAAAGGAAAATTAATAATATATTTGAGAAATCTGTCTAGCTTAGCCCGATCCTGTCGTGTTAAGCCACACCCAAAATTCCAAACACACGTACTTTGATTAAGACTTGATTAAGGTTTGTAGAGCTTCAGCATTTGTCATAAAATAGCGAGTAATTTATGACAAAACCATATAAATTATATATCACTGTAATCACAAAACTTCAATCTATTTCCGTATTGTAACGAAATTTTAAATTATGTCTTTATTTTCGAGAAAATTTAGTTCAAACATAAGGAATATTTTGTTGATGTTTGACCATCAAAATCTTAAAAATAAAGAAGTTATCTAAGAATGTGCTACAATACGGATATAGTATAATCCTTTATCTTTAATTTCCTTCTTCATTTGTGTAAAAACACCTAGTCAGTTTTACATAAAACGTTAAATGCCGAACGCTTATTTTGCTACTTTTTTGGACTAGTGAAATGGACTCTTAAGGTTTTCTTTTTGACTATCTGATCTTGATTTTTTTCTTTTTTCATTTACTACCCCTTCGTACGGCGACTCCCACTATAAAGACTGGCAGATTAGTATCCCTCCCTTATCAGGAATACGTGAAACGCATTCACTTAACATAAACAAACAAAAGGAGAAGTGTTTTAACTTCTTTTAAATATAAAAGGTCGTTTTCACTCGTTCATAGCATTTAATTATACAGATTAGTAATTATTTAGCACTTCTGAGAGACCTGTCAACGAAATTAAATGGATAATTTAAACGCAGTTTTAATACCGCTGAGCATCTGTTATTGTCATATGGCTCGAGAAATTGAGTCAACGAGTTACTATATAAAGAACTTTGCTGTTTCCAGTAATTCTCTTACAAGCAAACAATTTTTTTTATAATCATTGATTTTTATCATTTTAGAACATCAATAGTCTACTTCATATTATTTTTTTTGCATTTTGTTTCATGTACAGGGTGGTCGAAATTGGTCTGTTTTGACAGAGAAAACCTATTTCCTGACTAGACAGAGCAAAACTGAAAAAAGACAAAAAGAGCACGCATAGAAAAAAACTGACTACGTCACTGCCTTGTTATAAAAAGTTATGGGCAATTTTACAAATCGTAAAAAATTGAAAAAGACCCCGTATCTCAGTTGGCAGTGAAAATATCAATAGGCGGTTTACGCCATTAAACATGTCTCAGAAATCGAGCCCATGACATCTATGTCGGTTTTGATCTATCTAGTCAGGAAATAGGGGTTCTCTGTTAAAACAGACCAATTTCGACCACCCTGTACAAATTTTTCAACCTCTTTTTTTTATATGAATTAACAAGAACATTACATTAGTAGATAGTAGAACATTATATTGTGTCCTTCTTTCTTCAGTTATCAACCTCAAACAGTCTCAGGACTTTGACAGAAGCCAGTATCCGAGACGCTTTTATAGAGGTTAGTTCTCCATCTTCGATATCAGTCGTACCAATGTTTATGGTAGGAATGGTTGCCGTCTCGGCGCAGTCAGTGATGAGGTGTTCTGGTGTTTCCCCAATTCCTCCACAGAATCTGCGTTCGTCGTTGCTTCTTAGCTTCAGTCTACTGAGGTGTTCATAGAGACTGTGATTATAGAGACTGTGTGACATTCTTCTGAGACTGTGTTCTGTTAAAAACCTCGTGACAATCCGAAGATTGTTCTTACTTAAATTAAGGAAAATCATTGATTTTTCTTGCTCGTAAGTTCAGATAAATTTCTTTGGGTGTCTTTGACCGTTGGAGGATTTCCATTTCTTATTATGGATGGTAGAGGTGTGTAGTTCGTGAACGAACTTGTTCCAATGAACTATTCCGACCCTGGAACGAAAGGAACTAGCTCCCTGTTTCTCAAAGAACTAGTTTCTTAGGACCTATTCCGGGATCGAGACTGTACGGATCGGCCAGCGCGATCGTAGCCCGATGCTAGGCGAGAATAGAGAGTGCCAGCCATATGTTACCTGTCCCGGACCGAAAGGACTGAGAGGAACTAATTAAAAGACTAGTTCACGGGAATCTGTTCAGTCGGTAGATCCGAGATATAATACAAGGCGACGACGATAGATTCGGCCTTGTCTATTGCCACAGCCGGCGTATAATTACCACAGAAAATTGTCGTGGGTACTGTGTTTGATTTTTAGTTTGTTCTTTGAATATTTTATGGGAATGTTTCACTTTAGGTCCCTAAAATTAAGAAATATCTTATAAAAAGAAATAAGGAAAAATGCAATTTTTCGTAAAATTGTCGTATTATTTGCTCCAATTGATCTGTGATATAGTTTTTTAAACTCTGATTTGAGTTTCTTTTTTCTTTTTTCTTTTTTTTATCTGCAATAAAACTTACCTATATATTTTTAACATACGCAATTACACCTCTCGTTATATTTCGTACATTATAAAAAATATACAGATCATACTGTGAATAGTTCTGACTGCCAACGAAAGTCATTAGCAAGCAACGGGGACGTCAATGTTAGTCGGGAACTATTGTGAACTAAATACCTAGTTCAACTATTCCTCTGGAGGAACTAGAACTAAGGAACGAGTTCCTCCCAAGGAATTGGAATTCCCACCATTAATGGATGGTGTCCTTCAGGTTCTTGAGTTCCGCTTTATGGGAAGCAGAACGGTTTTGGTCCATTTAGTGGAGTGCTCGCTGATATTTTATATTGTATCAGTAACTTATACCGGGTGTTGCATCGTCGAGCGGGACATAGGAAATCCCATGTAAATTTTAATGGAGTCAATTATTGGCTTACCTAATTATTTTTGAGAATAATTCTATTTAGGTTTATTGAAGAGCACTAAAACCCACAATCAAAACTTTAGATATTTTTGATTAGCCCGTTTACGAGTTATCGCCGATTTCTTTTTAAATATTTCTCCTTTCTTATGGCCCTGTATTTACTTATGAGCACCAGTCAAGGTAAAAGATAACTGTCAAATGAAGTTGTCATTTCAGAAATTTATCTATTTAGTGCTTTATTATTATTATTAAAAACTCATACCTACATCGAAAATATTAGCCATGAATTACACTACCGAAGAAAAAGTATTGATGATTAAATGGTATTATCAAGAAAATAGTTATCAAAAGGTGTCGGACATGTTTGCTGCTCTGTATCCGAATAGACCGATACCTGGAAAATCTACAATCGCAAGGAATATCCAGAGATTTGAAACCAAAAGTACCCTAATAAAAAACTGCAGATGTGAAGCAAGGCAGGAACAAAAAGAAGATGCAAGAAATGATACCGACTTGGAAGTTTTATTGTGCGTGGAAGAGAACGACGGAAAGATCAGCACAAAGAAACTTGAGGATGAAATAGGAATAGATCACACTACAGCGTTTCGAATTTTGAAACGACAAAAATACTATTCCTTCAAATATGAAAAGCACAAAGAGCTACGAGATGGGGACGAAATACGGCGGCAGGCGTTTTGTTTTGATATGATGGAAAGAGCAAACACGGATAGGGAATTTTTAAAAAACATATGTTTCACTGACGAATGCACGTTTACCTTAAGTAATGAACCCAATGTTCAAAATTATCGATATTGGAACAAAGAAAACCAACACAGGTTTGTCGAAACAAGGACGCAATATCCACAGAAAGTAAATGTTTGGGCAGGGATATTCGGACACAATATTATCGGGCCATTATTTGTTACGCGAAATTTAAATGCAGAATATTATTTGGAACTACTCGAAAATCATATTTTACCTGCTTTACATGATGGCGCTAGGGAAAATCAGGAAGTTTGGTACCAAATGGATGGCTGCCCGGCACATAGTACCATGGCTGTTCGGGAATATTGAGACAATAGTTTTAACGGAAACGTTATTGGCCTAAATCATACAGTAAATTGGCCAGCAAGGTCTCCTGATATTTCGCCAAATGATTTCTTTCTCTGGGGCCATTTAAAAAACAGGATATACAAGGATAAAAAATACCCAAATCTAGACGAGTTAAAAAATGCTATTTCTGCCGAATGCAATAGAATTTTAGTTTACCAACTAGCGAATGTAAGAAGAGAATTTTATGGTCGCCTGCGTTATTGTCTAGCAGTAGATGGAGGAATATTTGAACATCTTCTTAAATCCTAAAGTTCTAACAATTTAATTGTACCTAAATTAATAAGTTATTGAATATTGTAATAATACTATAATTAACCTTGTAATTGATTACTTTATTTTACTTTAATTCGTATTAATTTGGGTTTTAGTACTCTTCAATAGATGTAAATCAATAGAGTTCAATAGAGTAAATAGAATTATTCTCTAAAATAATTAGGGAAGCCAATAATTGACCCCATTAAAATTTACATGGGATTTTCAATGTCCGTCCGACGATGCAACACCCGGTATAATTGTACACAAACAAAATACAAAAAAATGTTCTCTTCTTGATACTATAGGCTAAAATGATCATAAGTGTGACAAACTCTCAAAACGGAATTAGGTGGTTAAACGCTAATGGATACACGGCATTAGGTTTTTCTATAAAAAGTGAAATTCTTCGATTTTTTGCAAGAGAAAGTTCTGCGGCTCATCTTTAAGAAATATGGTAATCCTTCCTTGAACGATCATCGAGCTATTAAATAACAATAAAACCTGCGTTTCTTCCGGCAATAAAGTGCGAGATTTAGAGGAGGCAGATGGAACATAGCAATATATTTTTTAATAAGCAATATTTGGTATTGGTAAACGTTCAGCGACCCAATATGAGTACATAATAAATAGTTAAAATCCTGTACTGAGGGACAGAGAGACTCAAAATCACAGTCTTGTATAAAAAAATTATTTTAAACTTTTACTATTAAATAAAGGGGGCAATAATATATTTTTCTAGGAGTTTATTTCAG